CTTGGCTGCATTGCTCACCCAATAAGGAGTCTAAGAACGACTGGGGGTGGAGCTGGCATGCCTTGTGCCAATCAAATCGGCCGTGTTGCCTGGGGACTCGCCTTTGCTCAGCGCTTCCCAGCAGAGAGGTGACGGTGGTTTTCCTTGCTGCATCCCCTTTGCTGGGTTGCTGCGCTATGGGAACCACCACTTGTTTGGCTGCTGGTGAACTAAAATCCCTTATTTTGGCTGCTGGTCCCTTATTTTCGAGGCTGCTGGTCCCTTATTTTCAAATCTGTAAGTTGACAGCTATGATTAGCCCCCATATTCTAATAGCTTTTGAAAGGTGGAATTTTATTCAAAGGCTTCTGCATCCCTTAGACCAGCCTTTCTCAACCTGTGGGTCCCCAGATGTTGTTGAACTACAACTCCCATCACCCCAGCTAGCAAGGCCAGAGCTCAGGGATGATGGGAGTTGTGGCCCAACAACATCTGGGGACCCACAGGTTGAGAACCGCTGCCTTAGACACTCTCTTACACCAGCTCTTAGCACATAACACATGCACGCATTTATCCATGCTGGGAATCAGTCTTGTGAAACAGCAACTCCACAGCTTGGATACTGATTGGGAGATGCAACTTCTACCACAAATGCATAGCAGAAGCTGCATTTACTGGCATTCTAAGGAGGCGCTTTCTATACTCCTGATTGCAATGAGAAAAAGGAATTGCATCAGAATGACAGTTTAGGGGGAAGTTACCAGTTGGCTGAAATTTTAACTAGGTCGAAATGTAATTGGGTCTCTGACCACACACAAACAAAGCAGATGAGAGACTAGAGTTTTTTAAATTTTTCTTTGAAAAGATGATATTTTACAATACATACAAAAATACTCTGAATATACATTATCTTTTTCCCCCCTCATTACAAAAACACAAGACAACACGTAATTTAAGATTTGTAAACAGTATTTGTTCCTAACACTTCTGGAGATTGATTTGAAGGTGGAGAGCAAATTTTGGGAGATATTTTGGCAACATGAGTGCAGTGGTGTTAAATTGGGCAGTGTTGATTCTAGGCAAGTTATTCATAATAGTACGTTGTCCAGACTCCAGTAAAACTCAATATTCCAGCCCTGCCTGCATTCATAGTCACAGCTGACAGAAAATAGGTAAACTAAAAAAGGCAGGCCAGGAATTTTTATATAATCTGGACAAGGTATGAGCAATAGTTTTGAGATTTCAGCCAATAAAACTCACAATCCAAATTACTTGTGTTAAGGCCATATAGCAAAGCCTTCAGACCGTTCCAAAGTTCAAGTGTCAGAAATTATTCTAGACAATTCAGTATTGTGGCAGATTTAAGTTTTTGCTTGAATTTTAATTTTTAAAAAAAAACAACCCAGAGTGCAATCCAATTAAAACTGATTCACATTTAACTCTCATGGATGTCAAATAGGACAGGGAAGAGGAGCAGTGAGAGAAAGCCATGCTCAACTCTCCTTACGATCCATGGAGCATTTATGTTCTTAAACTATGGGTGGATTGTGTCCCAGGTTTTCGTTTTGTGGGCCTCCATGGGAAGCAGTTTTTATGGAACATGAACACAGTGCATAGGTATAGGTGCCTAATTCTACAAGTTTGCCTTTCAAAAGGAGAAGCACCCTTGACACACACAGTTTCTTCTGTGCGTAAAATTATTCCAATCAATTTCACAAGAATCACCTAATTCATGAAATCTATCAGTTTAAGTGGAGCGGTCTCCACCTTTCCACGCCGCTAAAATTGCTTGTGGGTTTCCTGATTAGAGCTGCCAACCGTGTAAAGAATATGTTTTAAGGGGGGAGATCCAGACTGCCTGTGCTACTGGGGAATCCAGTGGAAGTCCACCATAGCCAAGCTGTCTGCATGACACCCCTTTCGGGAAAAATAGGCACAAGACATTTTTTTTTGGATTTTTATAACAAAAGACGTTTTCCACTAAAGACAACACGAGACTTAAAATGAAGCTATGCACCCGCACATGAAGTAGACACAGTCCAAGGGAACAAATATCCAAATCACGGGCACACAGGGCCGTGGATTTTGGGCAATAGCATCTTGGAATATATATACTTTTGGCAACAGTTCAGATGGTGCAGCACCTGCAGAGTGAAATTTACAGAAGATTAAATCAGTTTAAACAAAGACAAGGTGCATTGCATTGCATTGCGCAATCCACTGAGCTCAGAACTTGGCTACACTCCACTTACCTGCGTGGCAGCTATCCATGATGTCAGGCAGAGGACTTTCCCAACTGAGATCTTAGCTGGAGGTGCACCACCATTTAGCTGTGGCCCCTACCTCCCTGCTTTAAATCAGGGATAGGGCACCTTTCCCCCTCCCTCCCATCTCAAGGGCCACGTTCCCTGGGGGGGGAAATCTGCCAGCAGAGGCTGGAACAGGAGCCACCAAACCATAGCTGTCAAGTGTCCCTTATTTGGCGGGACAGTCCCTTATCTCAGGGCCATGTCCCGCTGCTGTCCCTTATTGATGATGTCCCTTAAATAAGCTACTGAAGGTAATGGGGCCCTTTCTATGTCCAGCTGTGCTTTGTCAACAACAAATTGTTGCTTTTTTGTGTTGAATATATTTGTTTAGTCGTTTAGTCGTGTCCGACTCTTCGTGACCCCATGTTGAATATATGCTATATGGTAATTTATAGGACCTAATAGGTATCTAAAGCCATTTGCATGCAACAAAATATATATTTTATCAAGGTAATTGTTGATCCCTTATTTTGGCTGCTGATCCCTTATTTTCGAGGCTGCTGGTCCCTTATTTTCAAATCTGTAAGCTGACAGCTATGCACCAAACATACACACTTCTGCTCCCTGACACACACACACACACACACCCTCCACTCCTTTCTCTCACCCCCTCCCAGGGCTGGATTTAGGTTTGATGAGGCCCTAAGCTACTGAAGGTAATGGGGCCCTTTATATGTCCAGCTATCCTTTGTCAGCAACAACTGTCGCTGTTTTTTTGCGTTGAATATAGGCTATATGGTAATTTATGGACCTGATAGGTATCTAAAGCAATCAAAATGAATAATTTATGTACGACATGAAATCAATCAGTAGGCATAAGACTCATACCCTTAATCTATGTCTACAAGCACTCTTTAGTATTAGATAACAGGTACGACAGCTTGACCTACATTCAACTGTGCTGCACTGCAGCTGCATGTTACATGCTGCCATGCAATCAGTCCATGCAGAATGTAGGCACTCTATATATAGGTAAAGGTAAAGGGACCCCTGACCATTAGGTCCAGTCATGACTGACTCTGGGGTTGCAGCACTCATCTCGCTCTATAGGCCAAGGGAGCTGGCGTTTGTCCATAGACAGCTTCCGGGTCATGTGGTCAGCATGACTAAGCCGCTTCTGGCAAACCAGAGCAGCACACGGAAACAACGTTTACCTTCCCGCCGGAGTGGTACCTATTTATCTACTTGCACTTTGACGTACTTTCGAACTGCTAGGTTGGCAGGAGCAGGGACCGAGCAACAGGAGCTCACCCACTGCCCCCTTCTCCCCAGCTTCTTCACCCTGCACAGCAATTCAGCTCAAAATCAACCAGCAATGCTGGTTTTTAAGCCAAACTGCTGTGCAATGTCAGGGGTGCGTGATCTTTTAGGGGGAGGTTAATCCAGCTGCAACCTCATCTCCCTGTTGAAATTGTCCTCCATCCAGTACAGGTAAAGGTAAAGGGACCCCTGACCATTAGGTCCAGTCGTGGACGACTCTGGGATTGCGGCGCTCATCTCGCTTTATTGGCCGAGGGAGCCGGCGTACAGCTTCCAGGTCATGTGGCCAGCATGACTAAGCCGCTTCTGGCGAACCAGAGCTGCGCACGGAAACACCGTTTACCTTCCCGCTGGAGTGGTACCTATTTATCTACTTGCACTTTGACGTGCTTTCGAACTGCTAGGTTGGCAGGAGCAGGGACCGAGCAACGGGAGCTCACCCCGTCGTGGGGATTTGAACAGCCGACCTTCTGATCGGCAAGTCCTAGGCTCTGTGGTTTAACCCACAGCGCCACCTGCGCCCCCCTCCATCCAGTACTTAGGCTTAAAAACAGTGTCTGTTGGAACAAATGGAAGCTTTTAAACACAGTGTCATTGCTGGGCAGGTACAAGGAAAGCCAAGGTGACAAGGCTGTAAACCAGATGGGGAGGGCCTCGTGGCTGCACTTGCCCCATAGCACCCCATCCCTGCTTTAGGTGTTGTCCGCATGGATGGAATAATTAAGGCACCTTTTAAATATATTGCTGTTTTATGGTGCTGCTGATTGGCAACTGGTTAAGTTTTGTGTGTGTCGATTTCAGGACTGTACTGTGTATTTTAAGTGTGTAAGCTGCTTTGGGCATTTTCTCTTAAACAATAGCAGCCTGCAACCTGGTCAAATAAGTTTATATATACAGTGGTACCTTGGGTTAAGTACTTAATTCGTTCCGGAGGTCCGTTTTTAACCTGAAACTGTTCTTAACCTGAAGCACCACTTTAGCTAATGGGGCCTCCCGCTGCTGCTGCACGATTTGTGTTCTCATCATGAAGCAAAGTTCTTAACCCGAGGTACTATTTCTGGGTTAGTGGAGTCTGTAACCTGAAGTATATGTAATCTGAAGCGTATGTAACCCAAGGTACCACTGTATGTACACACACACACACACACACAGTGTGTGTGTGTGTGTGTGTTTCAGTACCTTAATCTATCAGTTAAGTCTGCATATAAGGTAAAGAATATTTCTGAAGTACGAATCAGGCTTTGTTATTGTCCAAGACATGCATCCTATTAGGGCATTTTAAAGAGAAAGCCTCTTGAGGAGATTTAAGAGATTTAGGATCTCGAACACCCAAGGGCAACTATAAACACGTACCATAGTGACATACACAAACACACATATGGTTGTTACTGAATCTGGGCACCTTTTCAGTTGCTTAGAATATTTTTTTCCAAGTAAGTCCAACTGTTACAGCCCAAGTAATATGCTTTTAGAATGACATGTGAAACGAAATAATATTGCCGCAGCCATTAAAAACACATTGCACTTAACATTGCCCGAAGAGGCGCCTGCTATCGGTTGAGCGTCAGCCTGATGGAGTTTTTAACAACACGAACTCCGCTTGCTGGAATCGGGGAGGATGAATCTGGTAACTCTTTACTGGAAAGCCGCTGTGAAAGGAAAACGGAAATCAGATGTGTGAAGCTGAGATTCCAGGAGTTCAGGTACAAAAAGACACATCCGTGGACCCTGGCACTAATCCTGCGCTGCTGTGTCTTTCACCTTCCAATGCTCAGCTTTTATTCTTCTACTTAAGTAACATAGCTGAGTGTTACGGTTTTTATATTTTATTATCAGGGTCTTTTAACACTAATTTAACCCCATGAATTTAACCCCTAGTCTAGGAAGCAAAACTCCCGAGAGGCTGAAATTTGGGATTTGAACATGCACATCACCAAAAGCAAATGTTTGGCACTAATTTTTAGGGGTAAAGAAAATACGTGGATGTCAAGTAAATACTTAAGGCCTTTAGGTCACAGGAACTATAGCTCCATTTCTGGTTCTTCTTTTAAAACTAAGGGGGCTCCATACAGTACCTGTGATCTTAATGTGCCAGAAGTTGGAACCAGCGTGGTGTCTCCCAGGCTGCGCTAAAGGGACCAGAAGAAGAACCTAGTCAGTATTTAAAGACAACGAACAGTGAATTACAGCCAGAAGCAGATAAGTCTGTAATGTTGTGCAATTACTATCCCCCCGCATGCAACTTCAAAATCTTGAAGCACAAAACAACGCATGCCCACTCCAAAGGAATAAGAGTGGACTTTGGATTAAATGGGCTTTAAGACTGCAGCCTCATAGCAACCATGAAGGATCTGCAGACACATCTTGTTTGCCAGTGGAGGCTACTCCCATCAGGGTGAACGGGGCACAGTTTCGCCTTCACAGAGCTTGGTAGGGAGGAGTTGTTGTTGAGTCGTTTAGTCGTGTCCGACTCTTCGTGACCCCCTGGACCAGAGCACGCCAGGCACTCCTGTCTTCCACTGCCTCCCGCAGTTTGGTCAAACTCATGTTCGTAGCTTCAAGAACACTGACCAACCATCTCGTCCTCTGTCGTCCCCTTCTCCTTGTGCTCTCAATCCTTCCCAACATCAGGGTCTTTTCCAAGGAGTCTTCTCTTCTCCTGAGGTGGCCAAAGTATTGGAGCCTCAGCTTCAGGATCTGTCTTTCCAATGAACACTCAGGGCTGATTTCCTTCAGAATGGAGAGGTTTGATCTTCTTGCAGTTCATGGGACTCTCAAGAGTCTCCTCCAGCACCATAATTCAAAAGCATCAATTCTTCGGCGATCAGCCTTCTATATGGTCCAGCTCTCACTTCCATACATCACTATTGGGAAAACCATAGCTCTACGGACCTTTGTTGGCAAGTTGATGTCTCTGCCTTTTAAGATGCTGTCTAGGTTTGTCATTGCTTTTCTCCCAAGATAAAACAGAAAGTGTTTCTCCCTATATCCATCCAGTGCTGCTCAGCTGACATTTGATCCAGTCCTTTCGGCTCTATAGCTACTACACAAAAGTGGAAAAGGTTGGAGGCTCCTTCAAGGCAGCAAACACAAGTCGTGTTAAAATCTGCTTCTGGAGCCCTTCGGGTAAGTTGTGTTACTTATGCTGTAAAAACCTGTTAACGGCCTCTGCGAAGTCTGAACGGAGTTGAGTATTCAGAAGTCAGGATCCTTCCCTCCCTACCCCTATGCATGCTTCCATCAGTATGAGGCTGCAACCCTAGGCATTGTTTCAACATCTGTCATGTAACATCAGGCCACTCTGACCAGGTACTTGCCGTTCCTACATCTTTCAGCCGTTTGAACCCGTCTTGCAAGGCAGGTGCGTGACCTCTTTTGTTCACGGAAATGTTTTTCACGCTTGCAGAAGCCACTCCATCCAGATGCTGCTGATGGTTATGGGCAGTTGTGGGAGCCACATCTGGCTCGACAGCCTTGGAGATACTGTAGGTGCCTGGAGAAGGTGCAGCCATGTTATCTGCAACTGTGGAATCCGGCTCTGCAAAAAAGAAGAATCTTTTAAAGTTTCTAACTTACAGACTTCCAACAGAGAACTCTCGCCAATGCCTTCTTCTGCCACAGTGCAGTTATGGTTCGAATATATTGTTTTTTAAACAACTGAACGTTTTAATTCTTTTTAAAAAAATGAATGTATTGTTTAAACTTTATTTTGCAAACCACCCTTGGATCTTAATGGATGAAGGATAGTAGCGAAAACAATGTGGGAGGCTGCAGTTACGAGTTACTGGGCTCTGCAGCCACAGCAGGTGCTGTGATTCTCCAGAGGTTTGAGTTCACCGCTGGAGGCAAACTCCATTGTCTCTTGAGACAGATGGGTGCCAAAAAGAATAGATGATTTTTCAGATTTTAGACACAGTACGTGGACCAACTACCGGAATGGACAAACCTTGAGAAGACATCAAAGGCTGAAGGACGTTCAGTGGCTTCTCTCTGTTAGTATAGATGGTGGTATTTTGAGAGACAGCATTCCTGTGTAAAGCAGGAATAAGGGTAAGGATAATTCCCTGGGTAAGGAACATGTCTTGACATGTGTTAGGCTCTATAGGTCTGGCACAACGTCACCATAAAAACCACTTCTGTTCAAATAAACAGAGACAAAAGATTTTGCTGTAAGTCAGTTCAGTCAGTTAACATTAAGCAGATTTAAGAACGTAAGAAGCTGCTGCTGGATCAGGCCATAGGACCATCTAAAGCGGCACTCTGCTCTCACAATAGTCAAAGCGATGCCTCTGGGAAGCCTGCAACCAGGAACTGAATGCAATAGCGCTCTCCACACCTGAGATTGCAGGCAACTGGTATTCAAAGGCATCTTGCCTCTGACAGTGGAGGCAGATTTAAAAGGCAGCAAAGACCCGAGTCTTTACAGCGGTAGAATAATCCAACATGGCTCAAACACACAGAGCTACAGAATCCCCAGAGCTTATCTGTGTGTCCGCCATGAACCAACCTGAATTCATAATGGAAACAAGACCCTGGGTGAGTGCCTGGAATCTTGCTACTGCTTGGCAGAAGATTGTGTGTAACAATAGGAAGAATTTGGCCTTGGGGAAATGAACTCAGAATTGATGGACCCAGCGCTGGGCATTATCAAATGCAGGAGCATCTGCAGGAGTCTCTTGCAACAATGGCCTCCCCATAGTCTTGTGGCACCTTAAACGTAAAGGGACCCCTGACAGTTAGGTCCAGTCGCGGATGACTCTGGGGTGCGGCGCTCATCTCGCTTTATTGGCCGAGGGAGCCGGCGTACAGCTTCCGGGTCATGTGGCCAGAATGACTAATCCGCTTCTGGCAAACCAGAACAGCACACGAAAACACCATTTACCTTCCCGCCAGAGCAGTACCTATTTATCTACTTGCACTTTGACATGCTTTCAAACCGCTAGGTTGGCAGGAGCAGGGACCGAGCAACGGGAGCTCAACCCGTTGCGGGGATTCGAACTGCCGACCTTGTGATCGGCAAACCATAGGCTCTGTGGTTTAGACCACAGCGCCACCCTCGTCCTTAAAGATTAGCAAATATAGCACAAGCTCTCATGCACTCAAGTCCTCTTTGCCAGATGGAAGTGGCTGAGCATTCCTGGGTCTTAAGACAGCAGCGAGGCTTTGAAAATGGTACAAACATTGACATTTTTTAAAAAAGGTAAAAGACCCCTGGATGGTTAAGTCCAGTTAAAGGCGACTATGGGGTTGCTGTTGGCATGCAACCAAGGAAATGGGGGCAATTGGCAGGCCCCCAGCTGGCTCCAGCCCACCGGCCGGTGTGCCGGGCAAACTCTAGTCCTTGGTACAGCATGAATCTGTGACCTGAGCTTCAAAAGCTAGGGCACACTACTCAGCAGAGTAAACGCTGCACAAACAGAAGTGGCAGGAGAGGCTGTGCGAGTATATTTACAAGCAGTTTATTCAGCGTACATCAGGACAAAAGGAAACATGTCTGATCTCCTTCGTGTCCAAAGCAAGACAGCTAAAGCAAAAGATATACAGTGGTACCTCGCAAGACGAATGCCTCGCAAGACGGAAAACTTGCATAACGAAAGAGTTTTTGGTTTTTTGAGTTGCTTTGCAAGACGATTTTCCCTATGGGCTTGCTTTGCAAGACGGAAACGTCTTGCAAGTTTGTTTCCTTTTTCTTAAAACCGTTAATACAGTTGCAACTTGACTTCGAGGAGCAACTCATAGCCTTTTTTGAGGTTTTTGATTTTTGAAGCTTTTCCAAAACTTTTCCGACACCGTGCTTCGCAAGACGAAAAAACCCGCAAGACGAAAAAACTAGCGGAACGAATTAATTTTGTCTTGCGAGGCACCACTGTACACAAACGGAAGTTCCCAGCAAGCTGTGCTGGAGTGTAAACAGGCATGTGACACACAACAAAATCATGCCTGTTCCTTAAGGCGGAACGGAATATCCCAACAGTTGCAGCGCTCATCTCACTTCAGATTGAGTGAGCCGGCGTTTGTCCACAGACAGCTTTCCGGGTCACGCGGCCAGCAGGACTAAGCCGCTTCTGGAGCAACGGAACATTGACGCAGCAACACAGAATGTATTAAGACAATGCCCACCTTTCAGCTTCTTTTGAAGAACTGCTGCTGGGTTTTGCCACGCTGCTGAAAGAGGGAAGAGCCCTGGATTGTGTCCCAACGCCTACGTCCCTGTACCTGCCCAAGCAGCCGTCGTCCGCAGATGTGCTTCTCAACACAGGTCCACCAATGTTTTGGCTTATGTCTGGCATACTCTGTTGAGAAAAACCGGCTTAAGTTCGCAGACCTACAACTAAAGGATTTGTTTTTTAAAAATAAAACGGAAAGCCCAGAATTTGGGCTCACCTTTTTTCTCTTCTGCAAGACGTCTGCAGGCAAGTAATTGTGGAGCTGTTTCTTCCTCACGTGAGCAGCTTCGATCTTCATGCCTTCTTTCAACAGGCTGATATTATTCGCCTGCCGATAAACTTAAGGCAGAAGAAAGAAAGTCAAGCAGATCAAGGAAGCCTGCACAGCAAAGTGAGCTGCCGCTTATTCTGCTGCAGCGACAGCCTCCTCCATTCACAGCCCATGCAAGCTCTGCCCCACAGCGAAGTACCCTGTGGGGCTTACAGAACAGGTGCACAGATGAAGGCATGCCCTGGTAGTTTGGCTACCAAGCTGTTCTAATAACTCTTAGGGGGCACCACTGCCTTTTAAACCTGACAGCAGGAGCTGAGGGCTAAGGGAGAGAAGCAGCACAGACGGCTCTTTATTGGTAGGGTGGGGACTGTGACTGGTCACTAGGGTATATCAGAAGTCAAAATAAGAGAGCCCAGTGTGGCCCGGGAAACTGCAGAGGGTGGGGAAGAACTGTTCAGTTCTCCATTGAAGCACAGCTTGGGTAGCTACTTAGAATGTGAAGGCATCACACAGAATCCCAGCAAGTTCCAGAAGTAGCAGCACTGGAAGCCGGGAGTGAAAGCTTTAAGCTTAGCACGGTATATTTTGAGAACACACTGACCCTCCTGCCACCCTCGAGTATTCCAGTGCTTCCAAGAGCAGATCTGTCATGTCCAGTGTAAAGAGAACTGATTAGATGTTATTTAATGGGCTAAGGGGGAATACCCGCAATCAAGGAATAAAACCAGCAGGTTGCAGAGGCACAATAGTTAGGTGGCATTAAGGAATGAGCGAGTTTCCAGCACTAGATTAGCCAAGATGGAGCCCTCTGGCTTCCAATTCCCATCAGCCCCAGCCAGTATTCCCTTTGATCTGGGACAACTGGTGTTGTAATAGTTACAGGTAGGTAGCCGTGTTGGTCTGCCGTAGTCGAAACAAAATAAAAAAAAATTCCTTCCAGTAGCACCTTAGAGACCAACTAAGTTTGTTATTGGTATGAGCTTTCGTGTGCATGCACACTTCTTCAGATACCACAACGTCTGGAGGGCACCATGTTGGCTACCTCTGCTCTAGGGCCTTTTCTTTCAAAAGGAGATGAAGAAACGAAGTTTTTCTGAGCACAGTGGATTATACTGTTATGTTGCGCACAGAGTTGCTGGATGGTTAGCAAGCAATGCTTCTTTCTCATATTTCACAAGACTAAGTACATAACCTCATCAGAAGGCTTGTCGAGTTGAAAACACACACACACACACACACACACACACACAGGGACAGTGGGAGACTCCCAGCAGAACTTGATTCTTCAGTTAATATAGGCACTAATTTATACTGAAGTGAGGCAACCCTTTGGGAAACAGGCAAGCAACCTTATCCCGTTCAGAGGCAGGACTTTCACTAAGAAGAGAAGGGGTTTACCTGTGTCCGTGAACGACTGGATATCGTAGGTTAAGTCAACGCAGACACTCTCTGCATTCTCCGCTTTCTTAAAAATTATCCCCAGAAACCATACGGACACAAAGTCGCTCCTGAAGGGAAAGTTCCAGGACAGCATATGAACTGAAAGGACTGGTGAGATGTCAGCAAAGTTCCAGCAATGCAGGGATTGCCAAGGAAAACCGGCATGATGCTTCAGTAATATTGAGGCAGGGTAGAGAGCTCCAGGTGTCACACAGGAAAGGGCTGGTCCACACTGCAAGGCTCTGAACCGCTATGGTTCTCTTGTTACCCTAATTCAGGAGAATCAGCTGGCAGATACTCAATTTGTTCTCCACCTACCAAGCAGTTCTGCAAAATGCATTTCCCAGGCAGTAGTTAACTGTCCCTCGCCTCCTTTCTGGCTCAGGAAAAGCCAGGCTGCAGGGAAGGAATAGCCGGTAATCGGGGATTTGCTGGCACCCACCTTCGTATCGGCTAATCTTTCCCTGAAAAATTCCCTTCCAAGGACTCCTCAAGGGAATCTGTTCTTGCCATCACAACAAGAAGTTTACACCCCAATGCCGCCACATTTTCACGGGCTCAAGTAGTCAACGAAGCATCAACTCACTCTTTGAATTTTTCCTTACTCCCTGGGAAGGACTGCGGATTCACTTGGGCGATTGCAATACATTCATTCCGTTCCATGTTTCCAACAAGCACGCGGATTTTCGATTCTACCAGGCCGACCCTAAAAACGCAAACACGGAGAAAAATGCAAAATGAAGTTTCAGTTAACCATTTTACTGAAGGCTGCCTGATTTACTTCTAACCACCAACTGAAGGGTGACACCACGTGGCCCAATGGGTGTACTGCAACAAACCAAAGTTTTAAGACAGGACAAGGAGGCGTACATTTTTGGTTTACAGGCAATTCCAATTTACGCAGGGGTTACGTTCCAAGGCACCACATATTTAAGTGGCATCACATGTATCTGAAAAAGCCTACAAGCACCCCACCCTGTCCCCTTTTGTAATGTTTTCGGACTGCTTCTGGGTTCAGTGTGAAGCGTGTGTGGCTGTGCCTGCATTGTTTTATTTATTTAAGCTGGCGTGCCCCAACTCTCATACTCAAGGCAACTTAGAAATAAAAAATCAAAGCATGTTCAAAGCAACCCCAATAATAAACCAAACAGCAGTGAGGTTTTTGCTTTGTTTGAAAGCACCATAAAGGCTGCAGGTCTGAGACCTCTGTGCATTTTACTCTGAGCTGAGCACTTGAATGCAAGTTATCGGCATGGTCATCAAATGTCCTGCCATTCCAGCGTAAGAAGCTCTCCCCCTCCCCAAATCATATTATCATCACATTGAAAATCTAACATCCAGAGTTTACAGAGGCTTACCATTCCAAATGGTGTTCTTCAGTTGAGGAACTGGCAGTCAACACAATGTAATGCCTGGAAACGTAAAGCAATGCTAATGTGATCTTTTTTCAACCATTTTAATAAAAGGCCTTTCAAAGTGCTAGACAACTTTCACGCCCTCGTCAGCCTTTCTCCCATTTCTTCTGTAAGGAGAAGCCTATCCCCACATATTTCCAATGGTTTACAGGTCAACATCTCTTCCCATTTCTGGCCTAGTTGCTTGGATCGATTTAATGCTTAAGAAGAGTTTAAAGCTTCTACCAAGGGGAAGCTCCGTAAGAAGAATGGCTGTGGGATTAAGGAGTTTCTTTTATTTCAGCAAAGTAAGATTGGTAATTAGGGCTGGGCATACATATCTCAGTTCTAGAATGACTTCATCGGCTCCCAGTCCGTTTGAGCACAATTTTAAGTGCCAGTTTATATCTTTGAAGGGCCCTAAGCAGCTTGGGGAACCAGGACGCGGGTGGCGCTGTGGGTTAAACCACAGAGCCTAGGACTTGCTGATCAGAATGTCGGCGGTTGGGGTGAGCTCCCGTTGCTCGGTCCCTGTTCCTGCCAGCCTAGCAGTTCGAAAGCACGTCAAAGTGCAAGTAGATAAATAGGTACCACTCCTGCGGGAAGGTAAATGGCATTTCCGTGTGCTGCTCTGGTTCGCCAGAAGCGGTCTAGTCATGCTGGCCACATGACCCGGAAGCTGTCTGTGGACAAACGCCGGCTCCATCGGCCAATAAAGCGAGATGAGCGCCGCAACCCCAGAGTCGGTCACGACTGGACCTAATGGTCAGGCATCCCTTTAACTTTAAGTGGCTTAGGACCTGGGTACCTAAAAGATCACATCCTCCAACATGAACCTGCTAGAGTACATATTAAGGCCTTCCTCTAAGGCAGGGGTCAGCAAAGTTTTTCAGCAGGGGGGCGGTCCACTGTCCCTCAGACCTTGTGGGGGGCTGGACAAATTCCCCCCCCCCCAAAATGAACGAATTCCTATGCCCCACAAATAACCCAGAGATGCATTTTAAATAAAAAGACACATTCTATTCATGTAAAAACACCAGGCAGGCCCCACGAATAACCCAGAGATGCATTTTAAATAAAAAGACACATTCTATTCATGTAAAAACACCAGGCAGGCCCCACGAATAACCCAGAGATGCATTTTAAATAAAAAGACACATTCTATTCATGTAAAAACACCAGGCAGGCCCCATGAATAACACAGAGATGCATTTTAAATAAAAGGACACATTCTACTCATGTAAAAACACGCTGATTCCCGGACCATCCGCGAACCAGATTTAGAAGGCAATTGGGCCGGATCCGGCCCTTAGTTTGCCTACCCATGCTCTAAGGCCCTCCACCATCAGAGGCAGGTGGGTGACTACCAGAAACAAGGAATCTTTGTTGTGGTTCCTTGCCTCTGCAACACCTTTCCCTAGGGAGGGCTGCCCGGTAACAAGCTTGTTCTTTTTTTCACAGAAGAATTTTTAGCTGCTCTGCTGGGAAGTTATTGTTATTCTGATCTTACGTTGTTTTTAAACTTGTGTAAGCACTGCCAGCTACAACTGCTTCAATAGGGGCTTTGAAAGCCCGGGTACTCTCACATACTTGTACTTTTGAAAGAAGTTGGATGGCTCAAGCAGCTTTGACCAGTCTGATTTCCCTTGAAGAATCTCGTCTGTAACCACAAGACCTGTAGAGACACAAAACCGCAATGTGAGTGCTTTTGTTATAAACTTTTGCAGATCTTCTGAGTTGGGTAGCCTTGGAGTGCCTTCACAGAACTGGAACTGGGGGAGCACAAGTCAGGAAAGGGAACTCAAAGGCTACTTGGCTCAACTCACAGCACTGAGACTAAGGGGGAAAATTGCAAACCATAGAGACACCCAGATGACACCCAGCTCTACCTCTCTTTCAAATCAGAACCAGTGAAGGCGGTGAAGGTCCTGTGTGTCTGGAGGCAGTTGGAGGATGGATGGCGGCTAACAGATTGAGGTTGAATTCTGACAAGACAGAAGTACTGTTTTGGGGGGTGGGTGGGGTCTCCCTGGTTCTGAATGGGGTAACTGTGCCCCTGAAGGACCAGGTGCGCAGCCTGGGAGTCATTTTGGACTCACAGCTGTCCATGGAGGTGCAGGTCAATTCTGTGTCCAGGCCAGCTGTTTACCAGCTCCACCTGGTACGCAGGCTGAGACCCTACCTGCCCGCAGACTGTCTCGCCAGAGTGGTGCATGCTCTAGTTATCTCTCGCTTGGACTACCGCAATGCGCTCTATCTAACCTTTGAAGGTTAACCGGAAAGTGCAACTAATCCAGAATGCAGCAGCTAGACTGGTGACTGGGAGTGGCCACCGAGACCACATAACACCAGTCCTAAGAGATCTGCATTGGCTCCAGTACGTTTCCGAGCACAATTCAAAGTGTTGGTGCTGAACTTTAAAGTCCTAAATGGCCTCGGTCCTGTATACCTGAAGGAGCATCTCCACCCCCATTGTTCAGCCCGGACACTGAGATCCAGCGCAGAGGGCCTTCTGGTGGTTCCCTCATTGCGAGAAGTGAGGTTACAGGGAACCAGACAGAGGGCCTTCTCAGTAGTGGCACCCGCCCTGTGGAATGCCCTCCCATCAGATGTCAAGGAAATAAGCAGCTATCTCATCTTTAAAAGACATCTGAAGGCGGCCCTGTTTAGGGAAGTTTTTAATATTTAATGCTGTATTGTTTTTAACACTCAGTTGGGAGCCACCCAGAGTGGCTGGGGAAACTCAGCCAGATGGGCGGGGTATAAATAATAAATTATTATTATTATATCAAGTCTTATGCAATCAAGAACCAGATACATCTCTTTTGGCCATCAGTATCCTCTTCCAGACAGTGCCCTTCCCACTTCCAACTTCTCCTTCTGTTTCCACTATCATAGAATCATAGCACTGGGAGGGTCCCGAGGGTCATCTAGTCCAACCCCCTGCAATGCAAGAACCTCAGCAAAAGCATCCATGGCAGATGGCCACCCAACCTCTGCTTTAAAACCTCAAAGGAAGGAGAGTCCACCACCTCCCGAGGGAGTATGACCCTCGTCAGCCTGCATCTATGGTCTCTGGGAGAACCACACACTGCTAGCTCAAAAGTGTTTATACCCCACCATTTGGGAATATATATCAAGGTGGCTTACCGTATTTGAATTCTTCTACCATTACCGCTCTGGTTGAAGTCGACACATTATACGTGGAGTTCTGTTGTGGATACGCTGGGGTGATGATGGGCATCAGGTGATACCTGTCTGATGGATTTACCTGTGGCAGGTGAAGGATTATAAGAATGTAAGAGCCCTGCTGGGTCAGACCAAGGCCCCATCTAGTCCAGCATCTTGTTCTTACAATGGCTGAACAGAGGCCCATGCGAAGCCTCTAAGCAGGACACAAGGGCAACAGCGCTCTCCCCAGCCATGATCTCCAGCAACAGGCATTCAGAAGCATACCAGCGTTTTTTCACAGCCATAATGACTAGTCGTCACTGAAAGCCTAATCTCTGGTGTGTGTATCTGATTCCCTGTTATGCCATCAGAGTTAAACTATAGAATTTGCTAAAACAAGTTGCAGTTTTTATTGTGTATTTTGGATTCTCACTTTGTATTTTTACGTTGTGAACCGCCCTGTGATCTTCGGATGAAGGTCGGTGTACAGATTCAATGACTTAATTAGTTAGTTGATAACACAATACAGATGGCCTCCAACTCAACGTTTCATGTCTATTGGTTTATTATTCTTATTACTACTACGAACATTTATTATGTGCACTTCATCCTAAGGTCCCAGGGCAGGTCACAACAATGAAGACACATTAATATGAAAATACAGTATTACACAATGTTAAAAACGGTTTAAGCAACACAATGGAACTGCCTCATCTTCTCTTCTCCCCATGTGCCCCCCGAATCAAGGTTCCCCCAACCCTCTGGAACAATTTTGGAGGTGTGTGGGGAAGTTCTGTTGTGCTGCTTAAAAACACTGTACTAGTGGAACTGTTTAGCTGGATACCCTATATAAGGTATGCAGGTGTATAGTCTCAGAATTTATAACCAAGCGGGGCATATTATTCCTGAACTCTGCACTCCACTCCACTCTGCTCCCTGTTTCGTAGAGGCAAGGAAATGTCTCTCCCCCGACCCCAGCAACTGTGCCTCTGGGTGAAGCAGGTAATAATAATAATAATAATAATAATAATAATAATAATAATTTATTTATATCCCACCCTCCCCAGCCGAAGCCGGGCTCAGAGCAGCTAACAACAGTAAATACAGCATTCTAAAATCAATTCATTCTAAAATCAATTCAAAATCAAATTAATGGCAACCATTGGGCTAGAGTTCTGTGAGGATTACCAAAGGAGAGATTTATGTTGTCCCATAGAAGGCAGTGCCTCTCAGTAAGGACACCTTTGTCAGGTGGCAGGCTTGTCAAAGCTGCTGCTGGTGTCCTGGAGAATCAAGAGGGCTCAGTATGGGTCAGTTCTTCTCCCCTCCCTCCTGACTAAAAGAGCAGCAACACTCTCACAAGGCTGCTACAACTGACGCCGGGGGATACAGGATGGTTTTCAAGGCAAGGTGCTCTACGAACCCTGGGGTCCCAGGCCGGCAAGTTGAGGTTGCTCTCTTCGGGCTCTTTCAACAAGACTGGATTGGGCCATTCCCTGAAAAGAGAGCAGGTGAGCGAAACCAAGTGCATACTGCCGTCTAGAAATCTGCATGTCAGTAATCCATATCGGTGAAGACATGCGCTTTTGTATTCGTTGGAAGCTGCCCAGGAGTGGCTGAGGCAACCCAGTCAGATGGGCAGGGCACAATTTGCTTGTCTGTTTATTACATGCAGAAAATCTTAAGTATAAAGTGCAAATACATTTGTAAGAGTGGTATTATTCTACACCAATTAGGCCAAGAGTTATACTGTTCAAATGAAGTCTAAAGAACTGTGAGCACCCTTTAATTCAAGCATTCACATTTCCCTGTTGGCTGGGGATGGGTGGGTGGGGTGGAGGGCAGGGAAGACGAAATGGTTCGTGTTGAGTACAGTGGTACCTCTGGTTGCGAATGGGATCCGTTCCGGAGGCTTGTTCACAACCTGAAAAGAATGCAACCTGCGTCTGTGAAAGCGCGGGTCGCAATTTGCCGCTTCTGCGCATGTGCGTGACATCGTTTTCCACGTCTGCGCATGCACAAGTGGCCAAACCCGGAAGTAACCCTTTCCGGTACTTCCGGATCGCCGTGGGACGCAAAGTGAAAACACGCAACCTGAAGCAAACGTAACATGAGGTATGACTGTACAGCCATAAGACCTGCTCCCAATTGCTCAGGCCGCTGTTGCATGTTCCTTCCAAGGGAGGTACAAAGGGCAGCAACACAAAGGGCCTTTTCAGTGGTGGCTCCCTGGCTGGGAAATGCTCTCTGAAGGGTGGGTGTGCCTGGTGCTATCATTATCGTAAGACAAGCCTGCTGAATCAGGCCAATGGCTCATCCAGTCTAGCACCCTCGTCTCACAGTAGCCAACCAGATGCTTGTGGGAATCCTGCAAGCGGAACAGGACTGCAATAGTACTCTGTCCCACCTGCAATTCCCAGCAACTGGTTTTCAGAAGCAGGATTCCTCAGTCAGTGGAGATGGAAAATAGCTATCACGGCAAGTGGTACCCAGTGATAGCCTTGTCCTCTGTGAATTTCTCAAATCCACTTTTAAAGCAAGCCATGTTGGTGGCTATCAAGACCTCCCCTGGGAGCAAATTCCATAGTTTTAACTACCGTATTTTTCGCCCTATAGGACATACTTTTTCCCCTCCAAAAATGAAGGGGAAATGTGTGTGTGTCCTATGGGGCGAATGCAGGCTTTCGCTGAAGCCTGGAGAGAGAGAGGGGTCAGTGCGCACCGACCCCTCTCGCTCTCCAGGCTTCAGGAAGCTATCCGCAATGCTTGGGAGCCTGGCGGGAGTTCCCACCGGGCTCCCAAGGCTTGCGGATAGCAGCCTGTTCTGGGGGCTGGGGGGGGGGGGGGAAATAAAATTTTTTTTCTTTATCCCCCCCCCAAAAAAACACTAGGTGCGCCCTATGGGCCGGTGCGCCCTATAGGGCGAAAAATACAGTATATGTTGCAAGAAGAAGCACTCTCTTTTATCTGTCGACATTTAGGCAACCAGGTGAACATATTCTTGTTTTCTCAGGCAGCCTGCTGTAGTGTTAAAGTCTTTTAGTACGGCGGCATAGGAATAGTCTTATTTATAAAAAATATGTACAGACCACCATTTCATTTAAAAAATATTAATGAAGGGGTAATATTAAATATTAACAAAAACCAGAAAACCATACAGTAAAATCATTTAAAAGTTGAAAACAGACATCAATTAACCATTGTGGAAATATGTAGTTTTAATCGCCTGCAAAAGGAAACTTTCTAGCAGGTGTTTAAAAGTTAAAAGCAAAATGTGCCTGCTAAATCTTTATTGGCAGAGTATTCCACAATACGGGGCCGATGACGTTTAAAACTATTTCTTGCTCTTATCAAGTGAGGGTTTTTAAAATTTATCCTATTGTAAGTGACCATTGTTTTACTTCAAGACACTTTATATAGGAAGCAACAGATAAATTTTGTGGCAATAAAAACCCACCCTTGTCCTACTGGGGCAGTGATGGCCAAACGTGGCCCTCCAACTGTTTTGGGACTACAATTCCAATCATCCCTGACCACTGGTCCTGATAGCTAGGGGTGATGGGAGTTGTAGTTCCAAAACAGCTGGAAGGCCAAGTTTGGCCATCACTGTTCTAGGGTAAGGGGAAGGCCAACTGGGAGTTAATTTTAGGGAGGCATTCACATAGTACTCTCAGGAGTACACTTTATTTATGCTGTTTGCGTGCCTGAAGACATACAAGACAATGCACAATATCAACAACTCGGAATCTGAAAGCACACTCAGGGGGCGTTCCTGGCCAGGAAAACATTTTGATGGCAGCAGAAAGGCGCAGCTACTGAAGGCAAGTTACTTAAAAGTCTCTGGGATGGATTCCAAGGACATCCCATTCCGAAATGCACATTTTCATGGTTACCATATTTTTTGCTCTATAAGACTCACTTTTTCCCTCCTAAAAAGTAAGGGGAAATGTGTGTGCGTCTTAAGGAGCGAATGCAGGCTGCGCAGCTATCTCAGAAGCCAGAACAGCAAGAGGGATTGCTGCTTTCACTGCGCAGCGATCCCTCTTGCTGTTCTGGCTTCTGAGATTCAGAATATTTTTTTTCTTGTTTTCCTCCTCCAAAAACTAGGTGCGTCTTGTGGTCTGGTGCGTCCTATAGAGCGAAAAATATGGTACTTTACTTGCCAGTCGTAACTGAGCGGCAACATCTTGCTGGCCCGAGATCGGATCTGTGTTCTTCCTACGTTATAATCTAGTACATGTACGATCTGTGAATTGTGACGGCTGGCCAGATACTTACCACCTGGAGAAAACCAGGAAGAATTTATGAACCAGCGTGGAGGCCAAGGCATTCGGATACAGCTGACACGTCCTCGCCACCAACATGGCCCAAGAAACACCACCAAGAAATCCCAGCATATTTGAATAAATCCCACGCCCTAAAAGGCAGACATTTGTCACTTCAGATTTCCCGAGCGTTTCAGATAGTTTCAGGTTAGCAGAGGGCCAAAACTAGAGCTTAAATATGCAGCAGAGCAACTATATAATCTTGTTTTTCCTTAACCAATTACGGGGAAGGGAAAGCCCAATTCTCACTGTGAAGACAGCACTCAGGAAGGGGGCGGGTTAGCTATTCACTTCTCCTGCCGAGATCGAAACAAAGACCCCCCCTCCAAAAAAAAAGGGGGCTAGGAGCTTTAGAAAAAGAAATCACAGCAATTCGTAATTTTAGTTCTGATTTGGATTCAAATGAATGCTTTGCTTTCGAAACAGCTCCCCCTTGTGGTGCCAATTGCCCTTCCATCAAAATATAAGCGTGCTACATCTACGTTATGGGACATGGGTGGTGCTGTGGGTTAAACCACTGTGGCGCTTGGGCTTGCCGATCGAAAGGTCAGCGGTTTGAATCCCCGTGATGGGGTGAGCTCCCGTTGCTCAGTCCCAGCTCTTGCCCACCTAGAAGTCCGAAAGCACGTCAAAGTGCAAGTAGATAAATAGGTACCGCTTCGGCGGGAAGGTAAACGGCGTTTCCGTGCGCTGCTCTGGTTTGCCAGAAGTGGCTTAGTCATGCTGGCCACATGACCCGGAAAAATTGTCTGTGGACAAATGCTGGCTCCTCGGCCTGTAGATTGAGATGAGCGCTGCAACCCCAGAGTCGTCTGTGACTGGACCTAACGGTCAGGGGTACCTTTACCTTTACGTTAATCCCTTCTACTTATTATTATCATCATTATTTACTGAATTTATGTACTGCCCTATACTCAAGAGGTCTCAGCAACCTGCCCAGCAATGTACATGACAACAGCTGCATACAAGTCACCTGCAAGCTGACTCCACACTGCTGATCTGCACAAACCTAAAAGGGGAGCAAATGACTAGCATTTGACAGGCCAGCTTGGGAGCAGCAGCAGCAGCAACTTTGGCATGGTTCAGGATTCCCCAGCAACTTGTATGAAGAAGAGGTGTGTGCAACTTAAAGGAGTTAAATGCATGCAAAGAACTCGCTGAAAACAACATGCATTTTACAATAGGGGATTTTATGGTACATCTGTACCGAAGCCATGTTATACTGACTATACGGTAATGATAATAATGTTGCACTCTACCCAATTTTCATGTTGTTTGGGCTTTTAAGACCTACATTGACTCCCAGTACGCTTCTGAGCACAATTCAAAGTGTCGGTGCTGACCTTGAAAGCCCTAAACAGCCTCAGCCCTGTATGCCTGAAGGAGCGTCTCCACCCCCATCGTTCTGCCCGGACACTGAGATCCAGCACCGAGGGCTTTCTGGCGGTTCCCTCATTGTGAGAAGTGAGGTTACAGGCAGAGGGCCTTCTTGGTAGTGGCGCCCGCCCTGTGGAACACCCTCCCATCAGATGTCAAGGTTAATAAACAACTACCTTACTTTTAGAAGACATCTGAAGGCAGCCCTGTCTAGGGAGGTTTTTAATGACTGATGTTTTAATGTATTTTTAATCTTTTCTTGGAAGCCACACAGAGCTGCTGGGGAAACCCAGCATCATCATCATCATCATTGAGACAGCTGAAAAGAGTGCATTTGTCACCTGGTGATAGGCAGCTGGTGACCTCAAGAGGATCCAAGCTTCAGCTCGGTCTAAGAATGCACTTACAACAAATGAACATTGTGGGCTGTCAAACCCACATATTGGTTGGGGCTCTCTTCCAATTGTGAACCTTCTTTTCTTTTTTTAAAGGCCTACAATGGTACATATAGCTTCACTTACAAATTACTTGCTTGATATTGATGCGAGGTGGTGGTCAGCCTCGCTCCCTCCAGCAATTGCTGTCACTTCCCCAAAGTGAAGGATAGCACAACAGCTTATACTCTTGCAGCCCTACCCTACCCCTCTATGCACCCAGTGCCGGATTTACGTATAAGCTAAACTCTCCTTGGGGCCCCCAAAACATTTAAAGGGGAAAAAACCTGGATGTACATTTCCAAAATATAAGATAATAAAACAAATAAAATAAAACCTACATACAGGAACAGTGTTTTGTGTTGTGTCGGCTCCTATGGTGAAAGTCATGGGTCCCGTCTGCTAGCCCGCTCCCTAAAATATCACCGGTTTGCTCATTTCTATATATAGGGTGCCTACATTCTGCATGTGCAAATGGCTTTAGATACCTATTAGGTCCATAAATTATCATATAGCATATATTCAACACAAAAAAACAGTGACAATTGTTGTTGACAAAGGACAGCTGGACATATAAAGGGCCCCATTACCTTCAGTAGCTTAGGGCCTCATCAAACCTAAATCTGGCCCTGTATGCACCATTTGCTAAATGGGCATATAAGGCAGACCTAAATGGATCAGACCAAGGGCCATCAAGTTCACCATCCCATGTCTTAAAGCGGCCCAGCAGGTGCCTCCGAGTGCTTATGAAGGTTGCAACTGGCCTCTCCCTGGTGTGTCACAGTATCTGATATTCCTAGGACTTCACTGCCTCAGTCCACAGCGGTTTCATCGAAAGGACTGTCCCATGGACCAAACTTGTTTTCACCTGCTCTGGAGGCTAGGACCCAAAACAATGGGTTCAAGTTACAAGAAAGGAGATTCCAACTAAGGAGGAACTTTTGGAAGGTGGTGGGCTCTCCCTCCATGGAGGTTTTTGAGCAGAGACTGGATGGTCATCTGTCATGGATAATTTAGTTGAGATTCCGGCATTGCAGGGGGTTGGACTAGATGACCCTCAGGGTCCCTTCCAACTCTACAATCCTATGACTCTATACCATTGCCAATAAACCATTCTTACAGACCAGGGGTAGGGAAACCAGTGATCCTCCAGATGTCCTTGAACTACAACTCCCATGATTTTTGACCACTGGCCACGTGGTCTGGGGATGATGGGGACTTCAACAACAGGTGGAAGGTGAGTTTCTCACCCGTGACACAGGTGCATCCTCCGCAAATCCGCCTGATCCTTTTATAACTTGGAAATCTCCCAAGTTAGCAGGAGACCTGAAGATAAAGTTTCATGGAACCAAGATTCCATTCCTACATTCCTAGGCCAGATTTAGGAGCTAGAAAGGTTACCTAGAAGCTGTGTTGGAGTAGAAACACCTGGCCCCTGCCTTGGTGCTTAGTTAGGAGGCTCCACCTTTAGGTGTCAGCCCCTGAACACCTGCAATTCTTGAGGCTCTGATATGACTTCGAATGAGGGGGGAAGGAAGGAAGCAAGATTCCTTCCCTGGCCACTAGATTCCAAACTGGTTTTAAGTATTCATCAGGAGCATCTAGCACATTTTCAGGTGTTGCTCTTCCACCATTAGACCAGCATTCAAGCTCGTCCTCAGGATTTGAGACGTAATCGCCATTATGCAGATTTTGAAGGCAACGTGCAGAGGCGACAGGCTCACTTGGCTTAGCCTAAAGAGCCATTTCAAGGACTATTAAGCTTAGGGGCTGATACCACAAAATTTGATGTATTAAGTACTTACGTTTTGCCCACAGTTTAATTGCTCTGAGCGTCAGCCTGAAGTTCTCCTTGTCTGGTACTAAATGAAGTATTTCATCAGTGACTCTGCAACCTGCCGGCAAACGTTAAGCCTTTGCGTTAAATCGGGCAAAGGCACCAGGCTACTGAGAGGCAGTAAGACTGAACATACACGGTGCAGAGTAGGCTTCTAATTTTACCTGTCCAGTCCTCCCACACAACATGGCTTGAACTGATAAAGCTAAGTGGAAATACTAGACTTCTCAGGCTCATGCTACGGACAGGATTCAAAGAACCACACAGCTACATCTGCCTGCCGAGGGCATTACAAACATACACTGTTGCATGGCAGGCTGCTTTTGGAATTGCAACCATTTGCAGGTTCAAAGCATCACAGCTATTAAGCTTCACTGTGTCACTGAGAAAGTCTGTCTATTCCATACCTACTGGGTAGCGAGACAGCCTGCGCATCCTTCCCTGAACTTCTTGGAGGAAAAGGCAGAACAAAAAATATAGGGTGCCACATGAATCTGCTACTCATAGTCAAAAATCCCTTTTCAAGTAGGGCAGATCACAGCCATTTAATACCCAGTTACTTGAGTAGCTGTGTTTAGCAGCCACTGTTAAGAAAAACTGGAAAGGTACACATTACCATTTAAGCTCCGAATACACCTTATATCAAGGCTTCCCAGATGCGAGTTGTCCCGAAGATCCAGGTTATCAGACAAGATTGGCACAGCCAGCCTCGCAAAGACGAGATCGATCTATGGAGGCAAGAAATGAAAGTAGCCTCTCAGCAAGTGACCTCTTTAACAGCTTGCCACCAAACATCAAGAACTGCTAGAGAAATGCCTTCAAGCATATTCTACAGACACTGCTCCGAGTATTTTTTTATTTTATTCATTCAGTAATATTTTTAGGCTGCCCTCTGTTGGCAAGGCGGACACAATAAAGCAGGTTGCCACAAGGGATCAAATTTAACTGCAGAACAATCAAAAGGGACATTCCTGGTGAGGCACTCCTTGAAGTGTTTAGGCTACAGGTTGTTTAGGGCTTTATAGGTAAACTGCATATTAAGCATCTTAAGATTTGGCACCAGAGTGTTGAATTGGAAACCCCAGGGTGAGTGTTATGTAGTCCTAATAAACTGACGGATTAACAAATGAATTGTTCCACATGGAGCCCCATAGCCAGCGTAATGCTGGTGGTCAACAAAAGAGGTTTAAAGACTGTTTCAAGGCAAATCTAAAAAAATGTAATATAAACACTGACAACTGGGAAACACTGGCCTGCAAGCCCTCCAATTGGAGAACAGCCTTTACCAAAGGTGTCATGGGCTTTGAAGACCCTTGAACTCAGGACGCAAGGGAGAAATGTGCTAGGAGGAAGGCAAATCCACACCGTGATCAACTCCTGCCTGGAAACCAATGTCTCCACTGTGGAAGGATGTGTGGATCCAGAGTTGGCCTCCACAGTCACTTACAGACTCATTGTTAAAACCGTGTCTATGGAAGACAATCTTACTCGGCTAGGAGGGATCGCCAAAGAAGAAGACGACTGTGAGGTTACCAGCACACAGATTTCTGTGGTAAGGCTGGTGAAAGGCACTTAAAAAAATAGTTTTTATTAAGGTTTTTCGTGTTATAAAGCAAGCAGATAAGCAGGGAAAGGTGCTTCTATTGTCTCCACTTTCAATTTATAGTCTTTTCCAGAATTTGTTTGCTTGGTAGCAGCTCTACCAGACTACAAGACTTGCCCTTTCAAGTTGGACTATATCTGATAAGGAAACAGTGGGAGAATTTGCTACTATTCAAACCTGTACAAAGCAAAAATGCCATACAGAGATAAAATAGGACAATTCTTACCCAAAACAAAATTAACGAGTCCATCTAATGGAAAATGGGCAATAATTAAATAGATTAAGAAATATTGGAAAGGTTGAAAGAAAACAAGGCTCTGGTCCCAGAGGGGCTGACATGGATGTTTTATAAAAAAAGTTCTCTGGTACTTTTGAATCCATTGAAAAATACAATGAATGAAATGGTAGAAAAATATATTCTGGGGACCTGGAAAGAAGCCAATATAGTGGTGATCATCAGTGACTGCATATTGCCCAATATCCTTATATAATCCACAGATTATAAAATTTTCATTGGAATATTGGCATAAAGTCTGAACAGCATTATAAGCAAAACTAACAGTCCAGATCAGACAAGACTTATATGGGCAAGGAAAATGAGACAGTATTTGTAAAATTATAGCTATTATGAATTATGTGGTAAGTAATAAACATGGATTAATACTTTTGTTTCTTGATGTGGAGAAGGCCTTCGACAATGTGAAGTGGCCTTCTCTATTTCAGTTAATGAAATTCCATAATTTTGGAGATAAATTTATAAATTGGTTTCCAGTTTTCTATACTGATGCCAAAGCGAGGGTTTTAGTGACTGTTACATCATCAGTAACATTTAGCCCATCTACTGAGCCATCAATGCACTGTAAATCCGAGGTTTCTATTTGGGGGAAAGCCTCATTATTATTTTTTTACTGCAATCAATATATTTTTGCCTCTTTTACCACTGTCTCTGCCCTTATTCTAGATATCTTTAAAATGAAATCAATTAATTTAACCATAGCTGCACACTCCCATATTTTATCTCTCCATTACGTTTTTAAAGATCAGTCTTTTGTATTAGGTATAATTTGGTGCTGTGGGTTAAACCACAGAGCCTAGGGCTTGCCAATCAGAAAGTCGGCGGTTCGAATCCCCGCAATGGGCTGAGCTGCTGTTGTTCGGTCCCTGCTCCTGCCAACCTAGCAGTTCAAAAGCACGTCAACGTGCAAGTAGATAAATAGGTACTGCTCTGGCGGGAAGGTAAACGCCGTTTCCCTGTGCTGCTCTGGTTCGCCAGAAGCGGCTTATTCATGCTGGCCGCATGACCCGGAAGCTGTACGCCGGCTCCCTTGGCCAATAAAGCAAGATGAACGCCGCAACCCCAGAGTCGGCCACGACTGGACCTAATGGTCAGGGGTCCCTTTACCTTACTAATGATTAATGTGCTTTGTTCCATCTCCGAGTCTTTACATTCCATCCCCCCATTCTCTGGGTTCCTTGCTCCCAAACTTCTAAAGTCAGCCTCATGCTTCCACTGAGCATGCTTAGTCCTTGTTGGACCAATGTGAGTCCCATCTACGTTAAATTATTTAACTTGCCATCGATCCTCCCATCAGTTGCAATCCATTTAACCAACTAAAGCACTCATGAAATGCAATCACATAGGTTCATGGATCATCTAGTTTCGCCCCCAAAACCACCATAAATACTAATTTCTATGAAGGAAAGAGGAAGTAATGATTATTATTTACCTCAATACCATCAAATTCAAACTTGATGACTGGTACATATGCATCTTCTACTGCCTGTAGGAAGGAGAGATTAAGACAGTTTTTACGTAATCCAAGTGACTGCATTTGGAATGAGATGCATTAACAGTATGACACAGAGATGGACCAATGTTCCAATTCTCTACAAGGCGGCCTCATACCACCCAATAATCATGTCAAGCACAACGCTGAAGGAATGGGTTTCCCAAATCTAAAACCTGACTGCGCAGTCGGTCTAAAAATGGGCCCTTCTCCATTAGCTAAAATCCATTAACTTGAGCACTTGAGCCAATGTATCACAAGAACCCAGCTGTATAAACAAAGCCCTCTCCTTTATCAGTATGTGACACTTAATGAATGGCCTTGTCAGTTCCGAAGTGGAGACGGGACGGCAGAGCTGGCGCTTATCTTATCCTGTAGGATGTAAATATCCTGACACACTGACGCACAGACTCTGCAAGACAGGGTCGGTCAGTCCCCACGGCCGGAGATAGAGATGGCGTCAAGGGAAACTCCTATAGCTGGGTGACCCTCTTAACCCCAAGATAACAATACAGGAACAGGAACATCTGTTTATGGTCATGGATGTCAACTTATGTACAGGAACATATGTGTATGTTCATGGATGTCAACTTATGTGTATGAACGTACGAGGCTGGATTCCTGGGGAAGGGGGGAGAGGGTGCCTGGAGGATATATATACTGTGTGAAATTTCTCTTTCTGCGGACTTGCTGTGAACTGACCAGGCAAGTGCCTTCTGCTATCCAGAGAGCAGAATAAACTCTTTCTCTGAACCAAACCTCGGTGTCATTTGACTTCCTTCCTCCCATCTGGGAGCAACGCAGACCCCACCAATCGGTAAAGTCTAAAAAGTCTACAATGCTTTTCAATAGAGTTAGCATGCACACGAGTAAATATTACACACACTGGCTCGTCCAAGCAAGACAAGAGACTTACTTACTCTTAAGTTCCTGATGCCATCTTTGAGCTTTAGCTTCTCAAAGAACAACTGGAAGAAGTCTGACCTTTCCACATGTCTAGGGGCAACACAGAGAGCATCTATATCAGCACCTGCAAGAAGAAAAAGCCCTCAAATTAGCAGCTTTCAGTAGCTTAAGGCAAACTACTTCCCAGGTTGAGGCGTCTTACGAGAATCATACCTTTTGTGTGGACTCCAAGCCGATAGGAACCAAACGTAAAAATCTTGCCACCACACCGTGATGAGACTGAAGATGGGAGGTTCTGCAGGAAAGTTGGAAACATTTACACCTTGAAAATCTAAGCTACTGGGTTCCAGAGGAATAGGAAGGTTAGGTGGTACCTGGTGTGGAAAATTTCTTGTCAACCCCCCCCCCCCCCCCAATATTATTCCCCCCCCCCAAAATAGTTTTACGTTATTTCATATTTTCTTACAAAGGAATGTGGATTATGGGCCTCTGTGGCGACTGTGGACAGATACTTAAATCTACAGGATGGATTGTGTTTTGGCTCCGCTGAATTGAAATTTCAGCCTTCACGACATATGAAAACAGGCAAGTAAAGAGTTATTTTCATGGAGGAGGGTCAAGATATTAACTGATATGCATGGAATTTCAGATATACCTATATAATCGTAGTAAGATGAGACCTTTGGAGCAACATTTTCAAAAAAAAATTTTTTATGAACCGCCCTAGGTAAAGGGACCCCTGACCATTAGGTCCAGTCGTGACCGACTCTGGGGTTGCGGTGCTCATCTCGCTTTATTGGCCAAGGGAGCCGGCGTACAGCTTCTGGGTCATGTGGCCAGCATGACTAAGCCGCTTCTGGCGAACCAGAGCAGCACACGGAAACACCGTTTACCTTCCTGCCGGAGCGGTACCTATTTATCTACTTGCACTTTGACATGCTTTTGAACTGCTATGTTGGCAGGAGCAGGGACCGAGCAACGGGAGCTCACCCCGTCGCGGGGATTCGAACCGCCGACCTTCTGATCGGCATGTCCTAGGCTCTGTAGTCTAACCCACAGCGCCACCCACGAATTGTTCCTTGATAATTTGTCACCACCCTCCATGATGGCATCCGGGGTGGACCGCCCCCCTCCTACGCCCCTGCTAGGTTCCCCCTGAGAAGACTGCTGCCGCATCAAGTGTGCTTGCTTATTGCACACAGAAAGGTACAACAGAATTCTCACACCTGCATGGACAGTGCACAGCACCCAAGCTTTTGTGCTGTGAGGGCAATAACTTCATTGCTGGAGCCAGTGGGCAAATCAGGGGACAAGGGGACGGAGAGTGAAAGAGACAGTATTAGTGTTCTCTCCCCATCCAAGGACCATCGGTGACCACAAAACCTTCCTGTGCCTGAGCAAGCAGCAACAGACCCGCTTCACCCTCTTCTGTACATCAGCCTGGCTAGGACCAACTGACCTCTGGAGCCTCCTCTTCCAAAATTCTCCTACACAATGGCCATGGTACAGTGGTACCTCGAGTTACAAACGCTTCAGGTTACAAACTCCGCTAACCTGGAAGAGTTACCTCGAGTTGAGAACTTTGCCCCAGGATGAGAACAGAAATCGTGTGCTGACGGCGCAGCAGCAGCAAGAGGCCCCATTAGCGAAAGCATGCCTCAGGTTAAGAACAGTTTATGTAGACGAAGATTAAATGTAAGGTACTGGTTGTGTTTAGAATAGATTTAGAAAACTTATTGATTAGAATATTTGTGTGAGATTGTATGGGAAAAATACAGAATAACAGATACAATCTTGCTTAAAATGTATATAGGAAGTGCGGCGTAAGCGATAGAAGTCAATCAATGAACTTTTATTATTGAGATATTTGTAGAATAAATTTGGAAGAAATTCTTCCAACTTTTCTTCTTCTCTTTATTTTTTCTTTTCCTTTCTTCTTTTCTTCCTTTTTTCTTTTGTTCTTTTTTATATATGTGTGCTTATCTGAAATATATATGTATGTATGTATTTGCAATATTTTGCTTATATTTTGTAATAATTATGTTAAATAAATTAAATTGTAAAAAAAAAAAAACCCAGTTTCAGGTTAAGAATGGACCTCTGGAACGAATTAAGTTCGTAGCTAGAGGTACCACTGTACTTTCAATTTGCCTATTTCCTCCTTTCTCCCTGTCCTTTGGTCCGTTTAAAGCAGGTCTATTAAAATATCTTACGGCATGAACTGCTTCAAGCACATCAGCAGAAATGAAGTATACACTCTGACTTTTGTCCCCCACCCTCAAAAAAGATAGAGACAGGAAACCCCTTCTACGGAAAAACCTAGGGTGCTGGGTGCGCACAGGGGGAGGAGAGGAAGGGGGGGGATCTCAATGCAGTAGTGCAAGAATTTAGCGGACTACAGTGGTACCTCGGGTTACAGACGCTTCAGGTTACATACGCTTCAGGTTACAGACTCCGCTAACCCAGAAATACAGTGGTACCTTGGGTTAAGTACTTAATTCATTCTGGAGGTCTGTTCTTAAACTGAAACTGTTCTTAACCTGAAGCACCACTTTAGCTAATGGGGCCTCCTGCTGCCGCCGGAGCACGATTTATGTTCTCATCCTGAAGCAAACTTCTTAACCTGAAGCACTATTTCTGGGTTAGCGGAGTCTGTAACCTGAAGCATATGTAACCTGACGCGTATGTAACCCGAGGTACCACTGTAGTACCTCCGGTTAAGAACTTTGCTTCAGGATGAGAACAGAAATCGCGTGGCAGCAGCGGGAGGCCCCATTAGCTAAAGTGGTATCTCAGGTTAAGAACAGTTTCAGGTTAAGAATGGACCTCCAGAATGAATTAGGTTCTTAACCCGAGGTACCACTGTACTACCCAGGGCTTGGTGGGGCAGGTGTGGGAGGAGAAGAGGAGAGGTTGGAGAGGGCTCACCCACAGCAATGGACTTGCTGTGTACTTGAGGATGTGTGAATCATGGCAGCTGTTAATAGCTCGCCCTTTGCAGAGCCAGAATCTTACAGCAAGAACTACAGAATCCTAGCTACAAAAGGCAGGAAGGAGTAGGCCAATATAAAACTTACGTCTTTGACAAACTTCTTACCTTCTTCTCCGCAACCTCCACAATCCACTCTTTCACCAAATTATTTAGCTTACTGAGAACAACTATCCTGCAATGGGGGAAAATGTTAAAAAGGGAAGATTTAAAAGTAGTAGTAGAAATTGTGGTAGCTTCAGTGTTAATGTTTTAAAAAAATAAATCACTATTACTGCCTTGTTAATGTGTCACGGTAACTATTTTGCTTTCAGGTAGCAGTCACTGCCTCCTTCTTCCTGCATTCATCTCCTCAATTCACTCCTTTCCTCATCCCACCTACGACACCTGTCAGTTTGGGCATCTGTTGAAGTGGGCCGAGATTAACAAAAGCTACAACGCAATAATTTGGTCACTCTTCACTGTTTTTGCTGCAGCAGATTAACGCGGATAGCCTTCCGGTAATTACTATACGCTTAGTAATTTGAACAAATATTATTTAATATGGTGGTCCTTTGTTCACTATACGAAGGAAACTAGTCTTAAAGGCAAACTTTCCGAAGCATCTTTGCAGATATGGTTATCCTGAACAGAACAGCCTGAACTATATGCTTCTCTGGGAACAACTGTCTGCGACGGGGAATACAACTTTTGTGCTGTCCCCAAGACATTCTGGATATGTGGATAATTTGTATGGACTGATAAGAATCATTTGTCTGTTAATGTACTGTCTCACACTCATGGGGGGGGGGTGGATATCATATACAGTGGTGCCTCGCAAGACGAAATTAATTCGTTCTGTGAGTTTTGTCGTCTTGCAATTTTTTTCGTCTTGCGAAGCACGGTGTCGGGAAAGTTTTGGAAAAGCTTCAAAAATCACCAAAGTCTTTAAAAACCTCAAAAAAGGCTACCACACCGCGTTCTATGAGTTGCTCCTCGAAGTCAAGTCGCAACTGTATTAACGGTGTTAAGAAAAAGGAAACAAACTTGCAAGACGTTTCTGTCTTGTGAAGCAAGCCCATAGGGAAAAATCATCTTGCGAAGCAGCTCAAAAAACAAAAAAACCTTTCGTCTAGCGAGTTTTTTGTCTTGCGAGGCATTCGTCTTGCGAGGTACCACTGTAGTAGGCATCTCTCGAGAGACAATGGAGTGCGCCTCCAAGGGTCAAACCACTGCACTAGCAGCACCAAAATGACCTCCCCATGCTGCAAAGTCTGGGCAGTGTGTCTGGAGGTCCTGGGCTGTCTAGACAACAAGGCAGACCCTCTCGGCCTCGCTGATAATAATAATAATAAATTTTTATTTATACCCCGCCCTTCCCGGTTCAGAAAACCTGGCTCAGGGCAGCTAACAATAAATTTAAAACACTTAATCGTAAAAGCAGAATAAAATACAGTATAAAAACATGAACAACAATATAATTCAAAATTCAGAAATCAGTTTGGGGGAAATCCATCTAATAAGCATTAGATAATCCCCAGGGCTAGCTGGCTGAATTAGTCCTACTTGGGCCAGCGAGGAGGCCAGGGGAGAATTAGCTGTGGGGTCCCAGAGCGGGTAATCTTCATAAAAGGGGAGGGGGAAGGAAGAGAAGGGAAATAAAAGATCAGACTGAATTCAAATTAAAGGCCAGGCAGAATAGCTCTGTCTTATAGGCTGATGGAAGGAGGTTCAATCCTGAAGGGCCCTAGTCTCATGGGACAGAGCATTCCACCAGGTCGGAGCCATCACTGAAAAGGCCCTGGTCCAAAGGACAGCAGAGCAATAAGTTTGGCACCAGCCTGGCTGCAGGAGTTGCTGGAAGGAGGCGTACAAGGCACCGTCCAACAGTCTTAGGGACTCCACTCTGACTTTGTGTAGGGTTTGCTCCTTAGCCCTTTCTTCTCCTGAAGATGTCCCGCAATGCAACAGTTTTAGGATCAATTTTCCTTCTCCTCGATGGGTGACCTTCCCAGGTTGACGAGCCCCATCTGCCCCCCCCACTTTCCTCTGCAGTCCATGCTGAAAAGTGGGTTTCTTGACCCACTATTGGTCTTGCTGCTCAATCTGCTGGAGCCTGTCTTTGCATGAAAGGGAGGTCCCTAACTCCAAGGGTTTGAGACCCATCGGCTACCCTCACCTGGTTTGGCTGACCAGTCGAAGGTGTTCCTGGTGTGTGGCTGCCGTTGCATGTTGACAGCTTCTAGAAGCCACAGGCGAGAGCCGAGTGCAGGGTGTGGACCAAAGGTGAACAAACTACCCCAGAAGGAGCATGACGTGTCCCCCACCAGAGGTACTAAAAAGGTAAAGGTAAAGGGACCCCTGACCATTAGGTCCAGTCGTGACCGACTCTGGGGTTGCAGCACTCATCTCGCTTTATTGGCCAAGGGAGCCGGTGTACAGCTTCTGGGTTATGTGGCCAGCATGACTAAGCCGCTTCTGGTGAACCAGAGCAGCGCATGGAAACACCGTTTACCTTCCCGCCGGAGTGGTACCTATTTATCTACTTGCACTTTGGGCTTTCGAACTGCTAGGTTGGCGGGAGCAGGGACCGAGCAACGGGAGCTCACCCCATCGCGGGGATCTGAACCGCCGACCTTCTGATCGGCATGTCCTAGGCTCTGTGGTTTAACCCACAGCGCCACCCGCGTCCCCTCCCCCTAACAACCCATATACCCTGGATAACATATTATATATTTGTCATTGTATGTAAAAAGTTTACTGCTTTAGCTGTTATATTGTGCCTGTTTACTCTTACCTGCGACCAAGCTCTTCCTCATCTTCAAATACACCAAAAGGCTTCATGGCTTCAATCAGCTTCTGTGTGTGGATGTAATCTATTTCCCTCGGAGGAGCCAAGCTAATTGGAGCAGTGACCCCGTAGTGCCTTTGCGGCTGGTTCTCCAAATAATTTCTATACAGGAAAAGTCACATTAAACATGATAAAGGAGATTAGTTATCTCACAAAGAAACACACACACTTTTAAAAACCGCATGCACTAAAACTGCAGGTATTTAGTAGAAATGATTAACGCCGGTGAGTGTGATGTTGCACACAGGAAAACGAACTTATGATGCTCTTTTCTGTTTTAGTAAATGTCACAACTTTCTAGCAGTATCAGTGCAGGCTTCTAGGAAGTCTACAATTCCCTGACACATCATGTGATTTAAAAGGAAGTAGCACAGTTTCTTACAGCAGGGAAATGGTACTAAATACCATTTCACCCATGTAAACCATTAGCTGAAGATTCATTTCTTTATTTCTTTTACTACCAGTGTTACAAGACTGCAGAGAAATTCAGAATGTAACAAAACAAGATTTGGCATAGGACAGGTGCATAACTAACCACGACAAGTGTACTTCTATTAGAACAGGCATCCCCAAACTTGGCCCTCCCGATGTTTTGGGACTACAATCCCCATCATCCCTCGCTAACAGAACCAGTGGTTAGGGATGATGGGAACTGTAGTCCCAAAACATCGGGAGGGCCAAGTTTGGGGATGCCTGTATTAGAAGCAGGCAGTTTAACATAAAAAGCAGTTTTATTCTAAATACAGTTGTACATTGGCTCCCGAATGCCTTGCGAGTCAAGCGTTTTGGCTCCCGAAAGCCGCAAATCCAGAAGTGAGTGTTCCGGTTCGCGAACGTTCTTTGGAACCCGAACGTTCAGCGCTTCCCGCAGCCAATCGGAAGCCTTGGTTTCCAAACATTTTGGATGCGGGAAGCGCTGAACATTTTATTGGGTTAGGTAGGAAAGCACAAAGAAGATTCTTCATTTTATTAGTACACCATAACGTTACATCGATATTGCCAATTTAAAACTAATACAAGTTACAATTGCCCCATCTGGGGCAACCCAGCCAGATGGGCAAGATACAAATAATAAAATTATTATTATTTGGAAATGTAGTATGTATGCAACATTTAAGACATTATTTGATGGCAGGGTAAAAAAAGGGTGAGGTGAATAAATAGTTCAAGTTCCTCATGACAGATTATTATTAAACTTCTGTTACTACCATGTAACTGATAACAACAACAACAACAATAATAATAATAATATATTTATACCCCACCCATCTGGCTGGGCTTCCCCAGCCACTCTGGGCAGCTTCCAACAAAATATTAAAATACGGTAATGCATCAAACATTAAAAGCTTCCCTAAAGAGGCTGCCTTCAGATGTCTTCTAAAAGTCTGGTAGTTGTTGTTCTCTTTCACATCTGGTGGGAGGGCATTCCACAGGGCGGGTGCCACTACCGAGAAGGCCCTCTGCCTGGTTCCCTGTAATTTGGTTTCTCAGAGGGAGGAAACCGCCAGAAGGCCCTCGGCGCTGGACCTCAGTGTCCGGGCAGAACAATGGGGGTGGAGACGCTCCTTCAGATATACTGGACTGAGGCCATTTAGGGCTTTCAAGGTCAGCAGCAACACTTTGAATTGCGCTCAGAAATGTACTGAAAGCCAATGTAGGTCTTTCAAGACCGGTGTTATGTGGTCTCGGCGGCCGCTCCCAGTCACCAGTCTAGCTGCCGCATTCTGGATTAGTTGTAGTTTCCGGGTCACCTTCAAAGGTAGCCCCACACAGAGCGCATTGCAGCTTTTACCAGACCTCTGGGGCAAAACCCAATACTCTGAGCGATACTGCCTAGCATGGGCGTAGCCTGGGTGTCCAGATGCCTCCCAAATCAAATAAATAAAAATACTTAACATACCAACCGCGTCACAGATAACCCGGTTCTACCCCTCCAATATAATGCCTCCCCTGCCCCCCTGAATAAATCCTGGCTACGCCCATGCTGCCTGGTCCTTCGGTGGCCAAGTAAAATACTTTAACGGATGGAGCATTTGTAGAGGTGTGAGTCAGGACCTTAGCAAAACTCCCTCTTCTCCACAAATCCTATTGTCAAAGTGGTTCTCCACTCCAGGGCATCTAACTGTTGACCAGGAGTGTAGCACCGACAGAGCAATTTTTAAATTTTGCAGCACACGGTATCATAATATAGGGGTTGTCTTTTTCACTTCTGAGAACAGCTGGGGGGGAACACCTTTTCAAAGGGCCCTCTATACAAAATATGCACATCCGGGAGCAGACTGGGTGAGAATCTCTTTCTCCTTTGTGTACCATTTTCAAACACCACCATTGTGGGAGGCAGTGTGCCTTTGAATACCAGTTGCTGGGAACCTTAGAAGAGCTGACTTGCTGCTATGCTCATGTTCGGGTTATAGGCTTCCCACTGTGAGAATAGGGAGTTGGAATAGATGGGCCTTTGACCAAATCCAGCAAGCTCTCCTCACCTGCAATTCCCAGTAAATGGTAGTCAGAGGCATGAATTTGTCTTAACCCCTTTTAGCCTGGTGGTCAACAAACACAACACTGTGTGAAATTCAGGCGTTTTAACTATGTGCTTTGTAGAGTTGTTATACTTCATCTTGTCTGCCCTGAAGAAGAGCCTAGGGGGAACAGTGGAGATGGGGTTCTTGTTTTTACCTGTAAGCCGCCTTGAGCCCAGTCAGGGAAAAGGGCGGGGTGCGAATTAATATATAAAAGTAATAATAATTAACACAAAAAACCCCACCCACAACACCCTCTTGCCAACTTTGCATCGGGCAATACCAATTCTGGCACGCAAAAGCACATGCCACAGTATTCATTATTGTTACGATTTATTAAATATCCACGCCGCCCTTCATCCGAGGGTCACAGGGCGGCTTACAAAACAAAAACACAAAAGCACGTAACTGCCATCGGAACCAGGAGCAGCAGCAAGACGTGCTTCCAGCCTTTTCTAAGCGCAGTTTAGGCTGTTTGGCGGCAATTAACTAATTACAGCTCCTCTTCTTTCTCTCTGGAAGCTGCATCGGCCCAGAGAGAGCTAAAAACGGGTGCAGTAAAAGCAATTTCCCCCAAAGACGCCAAGTCTCAAACAGGTAAAGAATAATAATAATAATATTTATTATTACTAAAAACAAACTGGGCGAGGAGAGCGAGAAGCGTTCGCCCGCCCCCAAACCCATCCCACGCCTAGAGAAGCTGCTGGTCCCTGGACAATGAATGAATTGAATGAATGAATGAATAATGCAGCTGCAGCAGCAGCAGCAGCAGCAGGACCACGCCCACCCCTTACCCGCAAGTCTCCTTCATAGCCACCGCCAGCGCGAGCTCCGGGCGCACCTCCTGCTTCCAGCGCGCGACGCAGCCACCTGCAGCCAAGCCACGCCCACTCCCTCCGCCCTCTTATATAAGGAGCGCAGCCGCCGCTGCCGCGCCCCCTGCCGTCGCTACGTGGCGTGACAACCACCTCGCTTCTACGCCAAAGCGTCCGCCCCCCACCGCTCTCGCGACCCGGGCCGGAGCGCGGGAAGCGGGGGTGTTTTCCCACGAGCCTTTGCGCGGCGGCGGGAGATTCTGTAACGGCTTTTCCCGCCTTTTTCTCTCTCGCCTTCTCCCCTCACGAAGCGCTGCGTGAGGGTAGAATGGAAATACATATACCGTTAACAATAAAAGGTTAAAGTAGCAAAATCGCTGCGTGTGAAACTAACCACATTCCCCTCACGCCACCATGGAAAGTGGAGTCCGTTTTTGTCGCTTTTGTTAAGCAAAGAAGATTGATTTTTTTAGGCTAGGCCATTAGGAAAAGTGTTGTGGTGACGTGTGGGGTTTTTTTTTGGCGCTGCTGCTGCTTATCGTTGCAAGAGAAATTTTTTTTGTTTTTTTTTAAATTAACAGAGCTGGTGTTGAAAACAGAAATTGGATGCTTGAAAATGTGTTCCCTCAGAAATATCGCCCTTGTTCCTACAGTCCGTTTACTATAACATCATCACCATCTTAAATCCTTGGTACCTTCCTCTGTTTTGCTGCTGTTTAAATATGGCTGTTGAGAACAGCACTGGGATCCTTTGGAAGGTCGGTGTGCCATGATAGAAATAAGGCAAATTACAAATAAATGTTTTAGTTGGCGCTTAGAAATGGTGCTGTGCGACCAACTGGCTTCCAGCTTATACAAGAAAAACCCTGTGCCAGATTTGCTTCATTTGTATTTATTTAAAACTCTTCTTTCCTATTTTTCAAAGCCCGCACTAAAAAAAAGGCTCCCAGAGCAGCTTACATATCACGAAAAAAAGAAGAGAAGAAAGCCTCAGGTTTACAATCTTAAAAAGGACACCAAAATGATTTTGCCATTTTGGGGGAAACGGCTAACAACTCCCTTTTTAAGCTTACTGGGCAAATGCAACTTCCAGAGGAGGCAGCTGCATTATTAGTTTGTTGCAAAAAAACCAACAACCTAGAAAGACTTGCAAGAACTAGTTTGTTGCAACAAAAAACAAGAAAGAGGCATCTTCAAAGACTCAAAACACATTTTTATGGCGTAAGCCATTGTGCGTCAGAGTTGGCTTTCTCAGATGTGTGCAAGGATTATTATTATTATTATTCAATATAAGGTTATAAAGGTAAAAGGTAAAGGACCCCTGGACGGTTTAGTCCAGTCAAAAGTGACTATGAGGTTGCAGCGCTCATCTCGCTTTCAGGTTGAGGGAGTCAGCATTTGTCCACAGACATCTTTCCGGGTCATGTGGCCAGCATGAAGAAACCGCTTCTGGCGCAACGTAACACTGTGACGGAAACCAGAGCTCAGGGAAACACCGTTTACCTTCCTGCTGCAGCGGTACCTATTTATCTACTTGCACTGGTGTGCTTTCGAACTGCTAGGTTGGCAGAAGCTGGGACAGAGCAACGGGAGCTCACCCTGTCACGGGGATTCGAACTGCCAACCTTCTGACTGGCAATCCCCAGAGGCTCAGTGGTTTAGACCAGAACACCACCCACGTCCCCTAAGGTTATACTGGTATGTATTTGTCAGCTGCATGGTTCACACCCACACCCCTTCCATTTTTATCCTTTCAACAATCCTGCAAGGTAGGCTAGGTTGGAAGAGAGTAGCTAGTACAGTGGCTATATGTCTTAACTCCACAGAAGACCTGGAGTTTTCCTCCATATTCACATACTTTGTCTAGAGATTCTCCGGGTCCGTGTTTGGTTCTGGTTGAGGGTCAATTATACCAGTAGCTGGCAGACAGGATAACATGGTCTGACTGCCACAAACCTTAAAATGTATTGTTGCATGCCACCCCAATCTCTGAGTGGGTGCGAGATTCCAGGGGTCACAGGCACTTTTCGGTTTCTTTGAAATGACGGACAGTAGAGACTGTGGTTTCTTTGTGATATATGGTTTTATTTACTCATAAATGCAACTTGATCCTATGATGGAATCTTTAGAAGGGTTAGAACACCCTAGATGGTCCCAAGTCATATAAATAGGATGGAGGGGGCACAGGGCTGCCCTGAGACATTTTGTTGCCTGAGGTGAAGGACCAGGATGGTGCCCTCCCATATAGAAGCTGAGCAGATTGGCCGCTGAAGCTCACTTCAAGACAAGGAATGGGACAGTCCTTCAGTGCATCTGAGGATAGCAGGCTGTATTAGGGGGCTCAGGGTGTGCCATGCAGGACATACACAATTTTTACCTTGCAAGATAAAAGTGACCTCACCATGGGCTCATTTGGGAGGAAGGGCAGGGTATAAGTTTGATTAATAAGTAAGCTGTACTTCTTTCTATGGCTTCTGTATATATGCCCTGAATGAATTTTTGCCACATGTATTTGGGCAAGTGGTGGGGTTGGAGGGAGGTTCATTGATCCCTCCAGCAGAGACAGAGGCAGATGGATATACAGTATAATCTAAGCAGCACACTTTTTAATTGCTACATTGTAATGTTTGCATCCCACTCCTCTGAGGAGTAAACAGTGGCGTGTTTTACCCTCACAACAGCTCTATGTGAGGTACATTAGCCCCAGACAGTAATTTGTCCAAGGCCACCCACTGTGCTTCATAGCTGAGTGGGGATTTGAATCTGGTTTCCTTACATTTACGTCCAATACCCAACATGTTGGAATGGCTCCACACTTTACATGGCAATCATGCTTGCTGCAGGAGGTACAATGGCATTTCCTAAAGCAAACATGTAAAGAGAGAATGACAATTGTATATATGCCCTTAAACATCTTTGTTCATGTGGGGCTCCCAGACACATATGCATAGGTATGTAAGGATGCCCATCTGTTGTTTACACTTTATGAATTCTTTGCATGAATGCAAGTATGTAAGTGTCACAGTCATTTAAAATGTTCAATGGCCCTTTACCATTGGAGCCATGTTGGTTCCCTATCTTTTTGTTTTATTCAACATGCCCCTTCCCTAAGGCATAGGTTGGGAAACAATTACTTAATAATATGTAAAATACAAAGTTATTCTCTTTTGTATCTCTGCATTTATATAACATAAAACGGGAGGAATTGTAGCCTGAGAGCCCCCCTCCAAATGATTACAACCCCAGAGCACCCACCAATTATATTCTGGCTCTGATTGCTTGCATTGAGTCCCCAGTGAAATACTGTCATTAGACTGGACAGTCCATCCGCGCCATTTCACTCCAAATTGAAGCCCAGATTAATTGTGGTACTGGCGAGCTCTCAAAACAGTTTAGGAACGAGAAACTAACCATTAACACAGTGAAGCCACACTAATCACACTAGCCTTGATGCGGTCTCTTTCTTTGATCAGCTCACTCTCTCTCAGCAGGCCCCAAAATAGCCCCAGGGTACAAGAGTGCTTCCATTGCAATCATGTTAATTTTGCTTTTAGTTTGTCTTTAGCTGTTGGAGATTAATGAATAAAAGTGGTGTTTAAATTTACAACCAGGCTTGTTCTGATAGCTCAGTGGTATCATCGCCCCTGGTTTTTCAACTTTGATTATCTGAGCCAGTCGTCTACAAAAAAAGAAAGAAATGTCTTTTCTATCTAGAGCAAGACAACACATAAACCTGATGGGATGCCAGAAGTATAGAGGTGTGAGGGGTGAAAAGATAGGCAATGCCGATCTCTTGAGATGTCTTAGTGTCCTACATTTCTGCTAACTGTATTACGAAGTAACCTATTTACAGTCATTTGTCTTCTAGATTAAATATATATTGACAAACAATGGGCAGCTTTTTCATTCATCACATTAGTGGAGCAAAACAAGTAGGACAGCAGAATGCTTACTGCAAGCAAAGCTAATCATGGATATTTAATTGAACCATTTTAATTATTAACTGTAGAGTTTGAAAAGTGGTTACTAATGCTGCATTGGAGCCCCCTTTTTCCTGCCCAATTTCAGTTTTTAGAATAGTTATGACAAACAATAGACTGCTGCTGCATTCACATGTTACACTAAGCTACGAAGCTTAGTTTATTAAGCCATACTGTACTATGCATAAGCTGCACGTTAGTGGATGCAGCCTGCGTGCTCCCACTTTTCTCCTCCTTTTGTATGAGCAGTTAAACAAAAAATGGTGGAGCTTGGTGTCTGAACCCAGGACTATAGTTTGGCCTGGTAAGTTTGCACATAACACTGCCAACAGGTCATGATCTGGAGTCATGGTTTTTATTGGCTTATGAATCATGGATATTTTAACTCTAGCTTGGCATTATGTCTGAACCCAGCACTCTTAATTCTGGTTTATTTTGCCCCTTCAGATTCTCACCAGAGGATAGATGACAGGAATTAGGCTATCCCTGTCCAGAAAATGGTTGAGCTGGGCCACCATTCAAAGCTAATGGAAGGCTAATGGAAGCCACCTGAACTTCAAGCGACAGCAAGGGTTCCAGAAGTACCCCCAAGCTGTGTACCTGCTCCTTCAAAGGGAGTGTAAGTTCATCAAGAGCAGGCAACCTTCCAAGAGAAGGGAACCACCCACTAACAGGGCCTCTGTCTTATCTGGATTGAGCTTCAGTTCATTGGCTCTCCTCCACTCCATTACTAAGGCAAGACACTGGTTCAGCACATTCACTGCCACACCTGCAGATGTAAAAGAGAAGTAGAGCTGTGTGTAATCAGTGCACTGCTAAAAATGTACTAAAAACTCCATATGACCCCACTCAGTGGTTTCATGTACAGGGTGAGTCCTTAGAAGAGCCCCCATGGATACAGAGTACACATGTTCCACGGGGCCTCTTTTAAAAGACTCACCCTGTATATATTAACCAGCAAGAGGGATAAAATTGAAGCCCGAGGAACCCCACACTTTACTTATCTACTCAAATTGTGAGATTCCATGGATCTTTAGACCACATGTATTCTGCTTGTGAACTGATGCTGTAATTGACACAGTTCACTCAATCAGCTAAGGTGAGAATCTCCATTTTCTCATATAAAGCAAGATTCTATCCTCATGATGGCCCTCAGTCATAACATAAGGCCTATTCACCATATCACAGGCCTCCCTAAATCCCTGTCAAAGCAGTATACTGTAGTACCTAGACTCCAATTCAGCAGCTGCCCCCATCAAGCTGTCAAAAAAGGAAAAAAAATGCATACTTGGCTTAGTGGCAGAGAAATATAGAAGTACCTTTTTATTTTAGAAATAAGGAACAGTAAAGGTTTTTTGTGTTTTTTTAGGGAAATGTTTAACAAAGAGAGCCTTGTGTGACAGCATTACTTACCATGAAATGCTGTCCTAGCTTGTTGGTTTCATTATTAGTTCAGGCATGGCCAAGGGCCTGGTGCTCAGCATTAAAGTTGGACAGTAATACTCTGATAAAGGATATTGTTAACGTGCCTAGGAGTAGCCTTGGTCATGAATTCATTAGCTTCATGCAGAGATTGCATGCAATTCTGATTGCTGCTTGCAGAGAAACTTTAAAGGCAGGGGTGGCTGATAATTATCGGAGCACCCTGAACTGTGTGAGTAAAGTGAACTGGGGGAACTTAGTCAACGGAATGGCCAACTTGTTTTGTCTCACTGAGAGTTGGGGGACCACATGCAAAGGAGGATGGGACTCTCATAAGCAACATATAGAACAGAGATGGGCAGACTTTAGGCTTGTCATTACTCCTTTGTTTTTGACTAGAGATCTAACAACCAGTCAGGTGCAAAAGACAGACAGTTAGAATGAACAATAGAATGAAATTCTGAGGCTCGGACTATATTTTCATTACCAGAACTGAACTGAGCTAACAGTTCTTTGACACAAAAGTTCACTTCTGGATAGCTTTCCATGTCAGCCGTCTAATTTAGATTGGGAAAATTATATTGTTCCAATTGTTAACCAATTTGGAGTCAGAAACCTTGCCAGTCTCCTGTAAATCACCCAGAGGGCCACTAGTAGATTCTGACCACCTTCTGATCCAAGAGAGAATTTCAGTAATAAGTGCGTATTTCTTCACTCTTGTGGGACCAGATGTATCTACCAAAATCCCCTCTTCAACATTCTGACCAAAGATACAGTAGTTTTGACCTCCCTACCCCAGCTGGGACTCACCCTGGGGAATTGAGCTGCAGCTAATCAGAAATTTTTAAAATACAAACCCTATGTCATTAACATCATTTTACAGTTGGTAGTTAGTTTTGCTAGAGGGTTAGTCTAGGGCAGAGTACAAAATGCAAAAAGCCAAGACTGATTTCACAGACACCCTTCAAAGGACTTCACAGCCTCTCCCACTGTTAGTGTGAAGAAGCAAAATGTGGTTTTAAATGTACTTGTATCAGATTTTTGAACTGACTATGCAAGTTAGTAAGTGGTTGTAATAATTGCACCTCTTCTTTCCTGCAGTTTTAGTGTCACCTGTTAAAAAGGGCCTAGGCCTCGAAACCTAAAGGACCATCTTCTACAACATGAATATACTCAAACACTGTGTTCATCATCTGAAGCTCTCCTCCTCATCCCTCTAGCATTTGAAGGTAGGTGGACAATGACCAGAAAGAGGGCCTTTTCTGCTTAGGGAATGCTTTATCCAGGAAAGTTTGCCTAGGGCCAACTGTGTTGTCTTTTCAGTGCCATGCAAACACACTTTTATTTACACAGGTTTTGTAGTCTGGAATGTGTGTTTCATGAAGATTTCCCCTCCTGCTCTTCTGAATTTTTAAGGTTATGCTTTGTGTTTATTTTGTTGTGATTTTATATCAATATTTCTGGTTTTTTAAATTATTTTATTATAAACCACCCCGATAGTTTGGCTGAAGGGTGGCCTAAATGTATTTCAAATAAATAAAATAATGTGTTCTATTTGAAACACATTTTTATTTCCTCTGTTTTCCATCATAGGGTTAAACACATTGGTAAATATCTTTTAAAGCATTTTAACCTCTCCTATATGAATGGAAATGTTTCCTTGGACACTTAACTAGTGACAAACCTTTAAAATTTGCCAAACTATGTCAGTTAGTTTTACCCAGGCATGCTTGGAAAGGCTGATGGATACTTGAATAAACTGTAAATGTTATTTTCTTTTTCTTCTCCTACATCATTTACAGCCAATAGTGTAAGCATATGTTTGGGCTTCCCTGCAAGAGATACTGGAGGAAAGACTTTGTACTTCTCCTCCCCTCAATTTCAACCTTGCAGATTTCCTGAGTCCTGGATTTCAGATATCCAATCTTAAACAAAAAACTAAAGTACCCCCTTGGTACAATCTCTGCCTGTGATAGTACAATCAAAGAGGAAGTGTTCACTTAATAATTTGAGAACATGCACCTTGCTTTCAAACAGTCAATTGCTCTTCTTTCTAATAAGCCTTTTAAAAAATTGGTTGGAATGTGTCTGTAGATAAGGTTTTCTGCTTTTGAAGTGTTCTGTTTTCCTGGAGGAGGTCTTGTTTAATCGATGAGAATTAGATAGACTATAGCCCCTTGGGGTGGCTCCATTCACTCTTCAAAGACAAGTTGCTAACAACTCAGCACTGAACTATTTTATGAAGCCATATTTCATTCTTAGCCATTTATTTAGAGAACAGCACTAATTAATTGGTGTTGAGTTGCTTTTAATTATGCCCTGCTCTTAGTAAGCTTTGGGGATCTGTTTATTGTTGGCAGTGAGGCATGGGATGGGTAGGGGTTCAAAAAGTCTGTGTTTAGCATTTTGCCTTTCTACAGTCTTCTGGATTCATCAAATACCCTGAGAAAATTACCAAGCTTTTTTCTTCTTCACAGAAATAAAAACAGTTCCTAGACTGAATCCACACATTCAGCAAAGGAAATGTCATAGAACTGTAGAGTTGGAAGGGACCCCGAGAGTCATCTAGTCCAACCCCCTACAATGCAGGAATCTCAACGAAAGTATTGTTGAGAGATATCTGTGTAGCCAGAGGCATTTCAATGGGGTAGTATGCATAGGACTATCTGGATACCACCTGTCAATACAAACACAGTCACAACAACTCCATCCTCTTCCTTTGCTTACTTGGGCATTTTGGCATCCCCAGTTGTTGGAATGGAGTGTAGTACTTGGTGTTTGTGTCTAATTGTGTTTTAATTGTGCCATTCTCTTACCTGTTATGGTTCAAGGACGGGAAAGAATAATAAAATCATAGAATTGTAGAGTTGGAAGAGATCCTGAGGGTCATCAGTCCAACCCCCTGCAATGCAGGAATCTCAACTACAGTATCAGTTACAAATGGCCATCCAACCTGTGCTTAAAAACCCCCAAGGAAGAAGAGTTCACCACTTTCTGAGGGAGTCTGTTCCACTGTCAAACAGGTCTTACTGTCTGAAAGTTCTTCCTGATGTTTAGTCAGAATCTCCTTTCTTCACTTGAAGCCATTGGTTCGGGTCCTACCCTCTGGAACAGGAGAAAACAAACTTGCTCCATCTTCCATGTTACAGCCCTTGAGATATTTGAAGATGGCTTCCATATCTCCTCTCAGTCTCCTCTATATCGGGCTAAACATATCCAGCACCCTCAACTGTTCATCATAAGGCTTGGTTTCCAGACCCTTTGATCATCTTGGTCTCCCTCCTCTGCACACATTCCAGCTTTTCAATATTCTTAAATGGGAGCACCCAAAACTGGACACAATATTCCAGGTGTGGTCTGACCAAGGCAGAATAGAGTGGTACTATTACTTCCTTTGATCTGGACACTGTATTTCCGTTGATGCAGCCTAGAATAGAATTAGTTTTTTTGACTGCTGCATCAGACTGTTGACTCATATTAAGCCTGTGGTCTACTAAGACTCCTAGATCCTTTTCACATGTACTACTGGCAAGCCAGGTGTCCCCCCATCTTATATTTGTGCAACTGGTTTGCTCTGTCTAAGTGTAGAACCTTACATTTGTCCCTAATGAATTTCATTTTGTTCATTTGGGTCCAGTTCTCCATTCTGTTACGGTAATCTTGAATCCTGATTCTGTCTTCTGCGGCACTACCTACCCCTCCCAGTTTGGTGTCATCTGCAAATTGGATGGGCATTCCCTCAATTTCTTCGTCCTAGTCATTTAAGAGTCAGCAATGTTCTCAAGTTCTTAAGAGTGTTGTGGAGACAGGCTGCTTTGTGCAAACCTCTGCCTTTATGTGCAAAATGTTATTTCCCCATATTGTTATGATAATGATCTCATGGCAGTTCACAACATAAAAATACAAGATAAAAAAACACAAAACACATAATAAAAACAAAACCCAGTAACATCCCCTTCCCCTCAATAGCTTCACTTCCCCAGAGTTGTCCCTTTTGAGTTCTTAAGAGTGCACGAAATTGACCAGGGAGATACAACCCCATGTTCTACACTATTTTCTGAGTTGCAGTCTTGCTGTGTGGGGTTTATATTAAGGTGGTGATGTGCTGTGACTTGATGGGGCACTGAGTTACACCATATCCTATGTTTTGTCACAGTGATAATGGCAGAGTGGTTGCTGATACAGGGTGGCTTTCCCTCCCATTGATGTCAATGGGGCAATGACTTCCCTGTTATACAAAAAGTTAATAAATGTGTCTTTTGGTTCCAACCAAAGGCTTTGGTGGAAACTTAACTGGAATGCTCTGTTTGAAGAAGAACTGTGTAATGGGTTATGGGCTTAAGGCTCTTTACAAGTCATTGTCAGCTCAGATGAAGGAGCTTTTGCTAAAAGTGGCCCATGGCTGGGAACTTATCCTGAGGAAGCTCTGTTTCATACAACCAGGCAATTGACCCATGTGTTGGAGAGGATACTTGTATATAGATGTGGATAGAGGTATAAAAAATAAATAACTCATTTCATACCTATTAATGGTGGCAAGAGCAACTGTGGCAAAATTCTTTGGAAGACATTTGATTTAGACAACTTAGATTACTGGTATTCAAAAGTCTAGCAAATTGCTGTTCTAGAAAAGATTTCCTACAAGCTGAAAGTGGCAAGAAGATATACTGCAGGATACTGATTCCTCCAGCCCCCCAGTATGGCATGATTTTATTTTATTTAAAAATGAAGAAGTCCTTGGCCATATGTTTATTTCAAGGTGTGGATTTTGTGAGATCACCCAAACCCAATTTTTGTGGATATATGAAATTACAAGCAATTCTGGTAATTCTGATGGATATTGATATTGGATTGTTCTGCAGGATAATTGATATAATATGCAAAAGATGGAAATTATTTTGATTCAACATTGGTAATTTAACAGCTGTCCAATAAATGATTAGTTTTTGTGCTTATTTCCTATCTGTCCTTGTAGATAAGGATTACATTTTCTTGGTGAGAGAAAAAAGTTAACACTCATTGATAAAGGAATCTTTTTGATAGTGGCTGGATGACGCTGAGAAAAATAATGATAAGCCAAGTCTAATTTCAGCTACGTAGAGTTCATTCATGATAAAAGTATTTATAGAAACCAATTCTTTGTTTCTGTAAGAAAAAAAAAAGACCCCTAAAATTATAATTTTTGATGAAGAATGAGAGCAGACATTTCTGAGTCCATCATAAATCCCAGAGCTGATAGAATACACATTGAGAATATTACACACACACACACACACACACACACACACACTTCTGAACTTGCTGCCAGCACAATAATCTTAGAGTCAAAGAGTAATCTATCCCTAAGTGTCTTAATAATGAAAATAGTTGTCTGATAAGCATAACACTGGATGCCTAGTGCTAGAGTAAGGAATATGTTGAAAGGATTTAAATTAAATTAGTTTTTTTTAAAAAAAAAGCTTATCTTGATTGACATTGTTGAATGAAGCTCTATTTTATGATTTAATGCTAACAAAAATTTGTGGAAAGAAAGGCCCTCTTTAAGGAAAAGTAAAAGAAAACAATTACCCCAGTGCAAAAAGCTATTTATTTATTTATTGTTTAGTATATTTATTTGTCACTTATTCTAAAAATGACTCCAACTTACAATGTGAAAACAAACTTTAAAACCATGTATAAGAACGAGAATAAAGTAAGAACTTAAAATGCTCATCCAAAATATGTATAAAAGAGCTGATTCAGTTGAACCCATCCTACTAAAAATGATGAGCAGAAGAAGAGTGTGCAAACATACCTAAGTAAAGGTAAAGGGACCCCTGATCGTTAGGTCCAGTTGTGGATGACTCTGGAGTTGTGGCTCTCATCTCGCTTTATTGGCCAAGGGAGCCGGCGTACAGCTTCCAGGTCATGTGGCCAGCATGACTAAGCTGCTTCTGGCGAACCAGAACAGCACACAAAAACTCCGTTTACCTTCCCACTGGAGCGGTACCTATTTATCTACTTGCACTTTGGGCTTTCGAACTGCTAGGTTGCGGGAGCTGGGACCAAGCAATGGGAGCTCACCCCGTCACGGGGATTCGAACCACCGACCTTCTGATTCGCAAGCCCTAGGCTCTGTGGTTTAACCCACAGCGCCACCCACATGCCTTAAACATACCTAAGTACCCTCCAAATTAGGACCAAGACTGGGCCTTAAAAATGTTTTTGTCTGGTGCCTAAAAGCAACGAATGATGATGCCAGGTGTACCTCTTTGGGGAGAGCATTCCACAAATGAGGAGCCACCATTGAGGCGGCTCCCCCTCCAAAACCCCCATTCAATATCATACTTATAAAGGGACTCCATTTATAAAGAGATTCCTGTGGGGTTCCACTGATGGATTCATACAAGTATCATAACTGCATGAGGACATGAATGCATGTAGGGAAGGTGTGGAATCTACAGCTGATATGCCCTCATTTCCCTGACACATTCATGATCCCCATTTTGAATGCTTAGAAGCAGCAAGGGTTACTTCCATGAGATCTGTTGAGCACCTTTCTAAGACAATTCTAAAAGGTAAAAAATTGTCATTTTCTGACTAGTGGTCATAATGTAAAGTTACCAGATTTTTTTTCAATGAATCCGGGGACACTTTTCAACTTCAATGGATTTTGTATGGGGACTGATTTGTAAATCCAGGGACTATCCCCGGGAAACGGGGATGTCTGGTAACCTTATCATAATGTGTTATGCAAAATCTCCCTTGTTACAGTAGCCAGCACTTAATGTAGCCTGCAAGCCAAGGCTCACACACTTTTTTTATTTGTTGCATTTTTATCTAATCCTTTTATCTAAGGTGCTCCAGGCGGCATACATGGTTCTTTCCCTCCTCATTTAATCCCTGCAACAAACCTGTGAGGTAGATTTGGCTGAGAGACAGTGACTGGCCCAAGGTAATACAGTGTGCTTCCATAATGGAATGTACGGGTGTGGGACATCCATATCCACAAGTTTGAATCAGCCTCAGCCTGTGGGAGCAGAAAAGTAGGATTTCCCCGCTCTACATCCTTTAACAGTCCTTTGCCTTAGAGGGGCTGGGACCCAGTGGCAACTTTGAAAATATATGTGCTGACAGAATGCACTTATTGTATATGGAAAAGGTAATAAATTCAGCCGGAAACATTGTATTATACCTGCCAGGAGAAGGCTGTTGTTTTCATGCCGTGCTTGGGAACTTCCAAGAGGCATTGACTATACACTGTTGGAAACAGAACACTGGACAACAGGGACTTTTGGTCTGATATAACAGGGCTCTTACATTATTATACTGAGGTTAGTATTATATAGTTTATTTTCCCCATAATATACTTTCATTCAGATTTTGGATGCCAGTAAAGAACTGAACAATTAATCCACACCCTTCGAGCCTTCCATTGGGAACTATGGTTCCAGTCCAGCCAGTTATAAAAATCTGTTATTCTGCCAGAGCATATTCTAGCTTGGTGTATTTCAGAAAGAATATTGTAGAGCTGGACAAGGTGCAGAAAAGGGCAACCAAAATGATCGATGAAATATAACACTGGGTTCATTAAAGCTTTCTTTTAAATGCAAATATAGGAGGATGTAATAGTGTATAAAATGATTCATAGTCTGGAGAAAATGCACGGAGTGACGTTTTATTTTCCTCTTTTGATACTTGAAACTTGGATCATTTAGTTGGGAGATTCATGGCAGAAATTCTTCATACAGTGCATAGTTAACTCATGGAATTAATTGCCACAAGATGTGATTAAGGCTGGCAACTTGAATGGCTATCAATGGCTGTTAGTGACAATGGCTGTATACTACATCCAGGGAAGAACAGCAGGAGAGGACTATTGTGCTCATGTCCTGCTTGACAGCTTCCCAGAGGTATGTGATCGGCCTCTGTGGGAAACAGTATGCTGGCCTAGATGGGCCTTTGGTCTGGTCCATCAGGTTTGTTTTTACATTCAGTTCCTTAATTACACTATTAAAAAAGGGGAAGCTACTGGACTTCAGCTGCCATAAGCCGCAGCCAGTATTGTCAATGATGATGGGCATTGTAGTCCAACGACATCTGGAGGGTACCATGTTGCCTAGGTCTGCTACAAACATTGCTTCACGATGCATCTTCTTTTCACTTACTCCTATTCTATCATTGCACTGGAGTCTGCTTTTTAACCCAGCAGGTGACCCTTGATTGCTGATATGAGTATTTCAAGCCCATTTTTCTTAATTTATGCTTTAACCAGGAAAAAGAAACCATAGTAAAAATACAGCTGCTCCCTCTTCTGACCATAATAAGAGGAAATGGCCAAGTCAAATAACAGCTGTCCCCTCCCCAGCATTACAGTTATGAAGGAAACTATTGCCCTTATATTTTCCCTTACCTTGAAATTGTATTGGTGTTTCCTCCCTTTGCCACAGCACAACTCCTGTGCAGCAAAAAGTGAAGAAAAGCAGGGAGGAGAATCTGCTAAGGAGAACTTGGGGTGATAGGGTGGGCATATGGGGACACTTATCAGACCAGGGCTCTTTCATCCCCCACTTTAATACCACTTTTCTGCATTACTGTATTCAAGGTGGTTTACAAACCCGTAGAAATGGCAAAATATAGGACAAAAATCACACTGCCACCCTATAACAAAAACAAAACAATAATCCATATCACCTAAGATATTGCAATTATTGTGCAAGGTAATAAAATGTCAGCACACAATCAAACAAAATCACCTCCATCAGTTACAAATCAATAATTAAAAAGTGACCAAACAATATCTGCAAAAATATAACAGATGAAATGCCACAGATCATGAAGAAAGAATAAGTGAGCGGCTGCGTTAAAGCTTTCCTTCACTGTCCTGTGGAACACTGTCCACCCACAGTTGGGTATTCATGCCTCTTGCCATGACCTACCACCCAAGGACCTTGCCCTGTGCAGTAGAGGATTCTGAAGATGAAGTTTAGGCTATTTTCTCCAGGAAGAACCACCAGTGCTTATTCAGGACTCTCCTGGCTAGAGAATACAGCCCTGCCACTATCCTATGACACTGGTGCAGTACTGCTGTCTCCTAAGTCTTGCAGAAATCAAAGACTACAAAGTAAGGGGAGCACCCTTTAACCAGCTGGTTAACTCCTCTATACTCCAGATCTGGTGAGCTACATAAATGCTTCTGTTGACTAGCCCTCTGCAGATACTGCCTTTTGGTGGCTGTCTTAGCAGGACACATTGGAGCTGTCCAAGGTCCTGTATGTGCTCTGCTTGACTCCAGCATGGACACTTCCTGCTTCCCCCGTGAGCCTAAAGCAGGGGTCAGCAAACTTTTTCAGCAGGGGGCTGGTCCACTGTCCCTCAGACCTTGTGGGGGGCTGGACTATATTATGAAAAAAATAAATGAATGAATTCCTATGCCCCACAAATAACCCAGAGATGCATTTTAAATAAAAGTACACATTCTACCCATTTAAAAACGCCAGGCAGGCACCACAAATAACCCAGAGATGCATTTTAAATAAAAGGACACATTCTACTCATGTAAAAACACGCTGATTCCTGGACTGTCCGTGGGCTGGATTTAGAAGGCGATTGGGCCAGATCCGGCCCCCAGGCCTTAGTTTGCCTACCCATGGCATAAAGTGTCGCCAGAACTTTTGAGTTGACACTGCACATCATTTGCTTTCATCTTAGGTGCAAGCAGCTCCAGAATAAATAGAATATTTGCAGGGTGGGAGAAGAAGGCAGATGAGCTCAGCTTCATGCCTACAAATGTTTCTATTTCTCCCCTCCCTGAGCAACCTTCTGGCATGGAAAACTACCTTGTACCAGACCAGACAATTTATCCATCTAGTGAAGTATCTACTCTAGTTTGTAGTGGTTCCCCCATGCTTAGCGGAGGAGACTGAGAGGTTATAATGATAGCCAGCTTCAAATATCTCAAGGGCTGTCACATGGAGGATGGAATAAGCTTTTCTCCTGCTTTGGAGGGTCAGAATCAAACCAACAGCCTTAATTGAAGAAACAAGTTTCTGACTAAACATCAGGAAGAACCTTCTGATAGTAAGAACTGTTCAACAGTGTTATGGTCGTCATTGGAGGCTTTTAAGCAGAGCTTGAATGGCCATCTGTCGTGGATACTTTAGTTGAGATTCCTGCATTGCAGGGGTTGGACTCGATGACTCTTGGGGTACCTTCCAACTCTATGATTCTGTCACTACTTTATCATATTGCTGCCTTTTTCTCTCATCTAGTTGCAGAGCTCAGGCTGTTGCCTCTTTGCTGGTTATATTTCAACTGACCCAAACCATTTCTTTCCAGCTCCTTCTCCAGCAGTTGGGTTGTAGCTGGTGGCCACTTGACATAAACATTAATCAGTGCTGAAATGTAGCTAACAGAGGGATGGTAGCTCAGTGGTAGAGCATGTGCTTTGCATGCAAAAGGTCCCAGGTTCAGTCTCTGGCCTCTCCCGTTTGCAGGATCAGGTGGCATAAAATACCTTTCTCTTCTTGTTACCCTGGAGGCTCTGCCAGCCGATGTAGACAGTACTGGACTAAATAGACAAATAGTCTAAGCTGGTATAAGGCTGTTTTATAGGTACAGGTAACTCACAATGTACACACATTCATATTTATGTGCTTGGCATTTAATTTTTTTAAAAAAAAAGAGGTGGAAAGAGGGCAGGCTTTCTGGAAAAAAGACTTTGTCAATCCCACTCGCTATTAAACCCAATGCATTTTGACTATATGTGATGTTGGCTTTATGCACTATCCCTGGAATGTAATCCCCTGATGTCCTCAGCACACCCAGCCAAGGAGGACAAATGGCCGATAGTTTTATTCTTTCTTGAAAAAAGCATGCACTTCTAAGGTCCTAAGGTGCATAGAATACACATGTACACATGCTTCTGGTGATGATGTAGCTGGCATTAACTTTCCTAGGCTTGTTCCCCGGCTGAACAGTTGGAGCAACAATGGGACCCCACCCCACCCATGCTTAGGTACCCTCATCTGATGGAGTGCATGCAGGCAACCAGAGACTTCTCCTACATGGAAGCTGCCACTGTGCTTGCCTCCTCAAGCCGTCCTGGTCCTAGGAGACAGTGGTACAGAGGATGGCAGGGACTTGACTGTTGGAAGAATGCCCGGGAAGGCCACCACCTTTCCAAGGGGCATCTCTGCGGTCTCACCCTCTGGCTGTAAATCTTCCTCAAGACCAGAGAGACCGGTGATAAGCGACCCCTCCCTCCTGAGAGGAGCACGCTCGTCTTCTGGAATCTCATAGCAGAAGAAAGAGTCAATCAGTAGCTCTAAAACTACTTTATTAACAGTCTATATACAAATAATCCATCAGTATGTCTGTGCTCTCTCAGCACCAGTACAGAACAGCATCTTACACAGAAGTGAAACTAACTTGCATCAGTGCTAAGACTTCCTGTCTCATGCTCTCTCAGACACTCACATGATATAAACAGCATAGTGCTACTTGCTGAGCAGCACAGGTAGATAAAAATCCTAACATTGATCAGCCTTCCCCTCACCTGAACAGCCTCTTCCTCAGCTTCTAACACATCCTGCTCCACCTCCCCTATGTCAGATCGCTCAGACTCTTCCCCTTCCTCCAGCCTAGCTCCTACCTTGTTGTGGCACAAAACCTCGTAAATCACTGGTCCCTCTGCTTCCACCACACACTTGTCAGAGCCCTGCCAGTCCCTCACACTTTGTAAGTTGAGAGTTGCCTGTAATGCTCATTGAAGCAAGCAACTTGTCACTAGCTTCCATTAAAGAAGCATCTTTAGCTATTAAACTAACCAATAACTTAGAGAAAGGGGCATCTCACTTTGCAGAGCCATAACAGTATAGAGGATAGATAAACATGGGGAAACTATTTAGAATGTTGAGCAAGGCAGACCATTGGTTTGATCCAACATAGGGTTTTCATGCATGAGGGATGGGGAGCCTATGGCTCTCCAGATGTTGCTAGAGTCCATCATTCCTGACCACTGACCCTGCTGAATAGGACTGATAGAATCATAGAACTGTAGAGTTGGAAGCAATCCCAAGGGTCATCTAGTCCAACCCCCTACAATGCAGGATTCTCAACTAAAGCATGCACTGCAGATTTCCATCTGACTTCTGCTTAGAAACCTCCAGTGAAGGAGACTCCACCACCTTCCGAGGGAGTCTGTTCAACTGTCAGACAGTTTTTATCATCAGAGTTCTTCCTGATGTTTAGTCAAAATCTACTTTCTTGTAACCAGTGGTCTGGGTCTTACCCTCTGGAACAGGAGAAAACAAGCTTGCTCTTTCTATTATATCTTGTCTCAGTCTCCTCTTTTCTAGGCTAAACATATCCAGCTCCCTCAACCGTTCCTCATAAGGCTTGGTTTCCAGATCCTTGATTATCTTGGTCACTGTCCTCTGCACACATTCCTGCTTGTCAATATCCTTCTTAAATTGTGGCACCCAGAACTGGGCACAGTACTTCAGGTGTGGACTGCTGAAGGCAGAATAGAGCGGTTGGAGAATAGGAGTTGGAGTATGAAGAATTTTGTCTAGTCCTGGTCCTTACTTAAAGGAAGCTACTTTACCTTGCCACTTGCAAAAACCAAGAAACATTGAGGCCACCTGGTTTACTGGTACAACATATGATGCATATGTACAACATATGTATTGGTACAACTATATGATGCCGCTGTTTTGTTGCATATTCATTCTGATTTGTTTGCACAGATGTTGTATGATATTTTCTGATCTTGCCCTTATTCCACACTTTCCAGTACATTTCTCCATCACCTTCCTCGTCACAAAAATTAGATTTGCAACACTGCTAAATCCACTTTAATTGCACAACCTAAATTAGTTGGTATGTGACTGAATCATTACCACAAAATGGTGACATTTTATAAGCAGCAATTTTGAAAGCCCCCCCCCAACAAATACTTACACTTAAACACCTACTTTTGAAAATGTTTGGTCAGATAAATTATGGTGCCATACATTAAGGACAATGAGAGGTGCAGTGTCTATCATGGCAATGCTAAAACAGAATTTCTTGCTGGGGAATGCAAAAAGCTCACTAAGTCAGAGTCACTGTCACCATGAACAGATGAAAATGAGGTGCTTCCTGTAGAAGTCTCTTTTTAATTTCTATAATGGGCATATCCAACTGAGGCCCTTCTTCCGGGCTCTTGTTATTTACATTTCAGAATTTGATTAGGTGCACTGGAGAAGGGGTTAGCATAAGAAGCAGTGGAAGTTGGAAGGTGTAACGAGAGGGCAACTAATAAAACAGTGGATTAAAGGCCAGTTCTTGGATGCTTTTCGGTATTGCATCAGCCAAGGATCTGACTGTAAAATACTTGCTGCTCAAGAAAACTTGTTTGTTGAATACTGGACCAGTCTACACAAACATCACATTAAATGGAAAATCTGGACCATATAACTTCAGACTGCAAGTGGTAGGGTTGCATGTCTGAACACTCCTACATGGGAAAGGGAGAAAAACTCATCTGTACACAGAAGATTAACAGCCCCTTTCAGACATGCAATGAATATGTGTCAGAAGGAGGCCAGATTCTGCTTCCAATCTCCACTTGTTCATTTGAAGGTCTGCATAAAGCTAACATGAATCCCGTTATTTCCACACTTTTCCAATAACTACCCCCTCTGGGGGAAGGACTGTAGCTCAGTAGTAGAGCATTTTCTTTGCATGCAGGAGGCTGCAGGTTCTATCCCTTGGATCTCCAAGAAGGGCTGGGAAAGACTGTTGTCTGAAACCCTATAGAACTGCTGCCACTCAATGTAGATAATATCTACCTGTCAAAGCCCCTTGTGCAATGCTTCGCAAGTGCCTGACAGCCACCTGGTTGTCAGGTGTTTGAGAACTACCAAGTGTAAGGCGCTTTGCTACCAAGTGCTGAGCATAGGGCCAACAAGCTGCTTTCTGCAGTTCTGTCTGTGTGACCACACAGTCAGTCCAGGAGACTTCAAGTCACTACCGATCAGCTGATAAGAAGTGACTTCAGCACTGATTTCTGCAGGGTTTGTGCAATTGAGTTCTCCATGGGGGAATTCAGTTGCACAGCTAATTGAACAGGCTTTCTGCAGCAATTGGCTGTGCAGTTGAATTCCCTTTAGGGAACTTGGTCACACAACTGATCCACTTGCCTAGGTATCTGCCGTATAGTTGACATCATATGTAACAGGTGGGTTTGGGGAAAACAGTCTCCTTGCAGGACAAACTGGGACCCATGCTGGGCCAAACTTGGCCCATGGTCCAGAGGTATCTTGTAACCTATTGTCCACCATCTGCAGTTTTGATAACTTCTTATACTAAAGGTAAAGGTAAAGGTACCCCTGCCCGTACGGGCCAGTCTTGACAGACTCTAGGGTTGTGCGCTCATCTCACTCTATAGGCCGGGAGCCAGCGCTGTCTGGAGACATTTCTGGGTCACGTGGCCAGCGTGACAAGCTGCATCTGGTGAGCCAGCGCAGCACACAGAACCCCGTTTACCTTCCCGCTAGTAAGCAGTCCCTATTTATCTACTTGCACCCGAGGGTGCTTTCGAACTGCTAGGTTGGCAGGCGCTGGGACCGAACGACGGGAGCGCACCCCGCCGCGGGGATTCGAACCGCCGACCTTTCGATCGGCAAGTCCTAGGCGCTGAGGCTTTAACCCACGGCACTGTTGGTTTCTATTTCCCTCACTGAGCAGCAACTGCAGTCACAAGACATTGTTTTGCATTCCACAGTCAGAGGTACTGTTGGAGTTTCTCACGGGAAAGGGAGACTGGATGTGACGTACACTGGTTTCCTGTTTTTTCACTGTGGGATTCTCTCCGAGCTGAGAGAGGAGAGAGGATGCATTTTTCTGCTCCTGCAGAGGCAAGATGTCTTTCTGTAATATACCAGCTTTGAACTGTAAATAAAGCTATATGGAGTATGGAGCACGTATTCTCATCCTTCCGCTGGGCACCAGAGACTCTGCTTTAAATCAACACGTGGTTATGGACTCCAGAGGTCGAATCGGAGTGCCGGCAAAGGATCGGAATGCAGAGGAACGGATCGGAAAGGAATCTGCTCTGCGCGTAGAAGTGATTGATGAGGTATGTGCTACTGCTCCGGGCAGCCTGCCAGCTTCAAGATAATGGCTTTATGGCTGGACTTTGAACTTTTAAAGCCGGTTTTGCAAATAGGCAAAAGGCTCCCAGGCACAAGTCACTATGCTGGGGAAATCGAAGTAACTTTTAAGTGTGCCTTTGTAATGAAGCAGCTGCAGCAGTGACGCAGCAAGATTTAAAGCAGCATAGATATGACGCTGAAGGCTAATGCCAGAGTCATGATGGCCCTTCAGGATGCTTGTGGGATTCCTAAGCTCAACAAGAAAAATTACAGCGACTGGGTTCAGTATGCAGAGGCAATTCTGCGGAAAGAGGGTTTGTTTGAGGTGATTACAGGAACCCCCCCAGTTCCAGTTACAGATGCATGGGAAGCTAAGGATTCCAAAGCAAGAGGAACTCTTACATTGATAGTATCCCCAGAAGAGCTCTGTCTATTGCGTGATAAGACCTCAGCCAGAGAAATTTGGGACGCTCTGAGAGAGGCCCACTTAAGGACAGAAGCTGGATCCACTATGTTTTATTTTAACAAGCTGCATAATATGGCTCTTGCTGAAGGTGGAGATGTGCGTTTACATCTGATGGAGATGCAAAATCTGAGACATGAGCTGCAACAGAGAGGACTCAACTTTCCAGAGGCTGTGTATTCTTTCATGACACTACAATCTTTGGGTTCAGGTTGGGAGTCTGTTGCAACCCAGATTGCTGTGCAACCAACTGCTCAGCTGACAGTGGACTTTGTTACTGCCGTGATTTTAAATGAAGCAGATCGCCGGGGTGCTGGCTGCATGGGCAAGGGGGAGTCTTCACAGACGTCATCCCATAGTGCAGTGGAACCACCAGATGGCGCCAAAGCTTTCAAGGCAGTGAAATGCTACTCGTGTGGACGTCTAGGCCATATGAAGAGGGAATGCAGACATCCCAGGGCCAAGACAGAGCAGCGCAGCGAAAGCTCATCGCGCGGAAAAGGCCGAGGCAAAGGCAAAGGTCCGGTGTCTAGGACAACGCAGCACAAGGCTATGGTTTCACGCTTCACTCCAAAGGTTGCAGAGGTCCAGAAGACGTCTAGATCTTTCTTCGTTGTTGATTCAGCGGCGACCCACCACATGTGCAACGATAAGAAACTGTTTGTGTCTTTTACACCGCAGGAAGGTGCGATTCACCAGGCGGATGATCACACTATTCCCAGTAAAGGCTACGGAACTGTTGTTCTTCACAGTTTGGACTTATCGATACAGAATGTGCTTTACGTGCCAGACGCCAAACATAATCTGCTCAGCGTTGGACAGCTGAATGAGCGGAACATTGACGTTTCCTTCAAGAACAAGAAGTGCATCATCACAAAGAAAAATGATTATGTATTGCATGCAGAATATGTTGATCATTTGTTTGTTTTGTATTATGATGATGTGGTGCAGGATGACACTTGTTGCATTGCAGGTTCTAACAAAAGTTTGCATGCAGAATGTATTCACGATTTTCATCGCAAATTTGGTCATTTGCATTTTGAGGCAGTATCTAAAATGCCTGCCTTGGTTGAAGGTATGACTATTAAACCCTGCAGGTACCACATGAAGTGCAAAGCATGCGCAGCAAACAAGGTGAAAATGGCTGCGAAAGGTAAGGTGTCTAGTAGGAAAGCTACAGAACCATACCAGGTTGTTCATGCTGATTTGGTTGGACCACTTGCGCCCTCTTTGGGTGCAAATAGATACTTCATGGTTCTCATTGATGCATTTTCTAGATATATTTTTGTGTACAATCTCAAGCAGAAATCGGAGGCTTTTCCTAGGTTCAAGGAATTCTGTGCTTGGTTGGAAAATGTGCATGGTAAGAAGATAAAAACTCTTTTCAGTGATCGCGGGGGGGAATTCACTTCTCAGCAGTTTGAAGCTTTTCTGACTGAGAAAGGAATTCAACACGATTTGTCTAGTCCTCGCTCGCCATGGCAGAATGGACTTGCGGAACGGGCAAATCAGACATTGCTTCAAGGATTAAAAACCTTGCTGCATGATGCCAATCTTCCAGAGAGTTATTGGGCCGAATCTCTCTCGTGTTTTGTTTACAGTTACAATCGCAGGTTATCTTCAGCGATTGGATGTACCCCCTATGAGAAGATGTTTGGCAAGAAGCCATACATCAAACACATGAAGATTTTTGGTTCTGACATGTGGGTTCACTCACCACAAAACTCCAAGTTAGACAAGCGTGGATTGCATGGTATCTTTCTAGGTTATCAGAAAGGGTCTTACAGAATAATGATGACTGACTCTAAGACAATTAAGCTCACGAGAAGTGTTGAGTACAATGCAAAGTGGGGGGAATGTGGGAATTTTCCAATGTTATCCTGATGACGGTGATGAGACTGAGGATAGTCAAAAGCAACCACAACAGCCCACACCCACTGATGAAGGTCCTGAGTCTGAATCTGAAACTGAATCGGGTGATTCAGAGGATTTCGAGAGTGCGAAAGCCTCTATGCGACCCTCTGAAAGCTCTGGTCAAGAATTGGAGGAACCATTGTTCACAATAGGTCGTTTTTCTCCTAAGAAGGAAGAGGAGAGTGTTGAAGACTTAAGGCTAATTCGTAGGTCACAGAGAGCCACAAAAGGCAAACCTCCAAAGAGATTTGCTGATGAGTTTGCTAAGATAGCAGTAACAGCTGTTAAAAGCTCCAAGAAGGTATTTGAACCTTCAAGTTTCCAAGAAATCCAGGGTTTGGATTCAAAGGAAGCTGAGCCATGGTTAAATGCCATGAAGGCTGAGCTTGATTCCTTAGAAAGGAACAAAACATGGCAGCTAGTTCCAGTAGTTCCAGGAATGAAACTGCTTGGAAGCAAATGGGTCTTCAAAGCGAAGACAGATCAAAATGGCAAGATAGTCAGACACAAAGCCAGATTGGTAGCCAGAGGTTTTGCACAGGTACCAGGTGAAGACTATCACGAGACCTATTCACCCACAGTGAGATATGAAAGCATTAGGCTTATGCTCAAGCTAGCTGCAGAGGAAAATCTACACATTAGTCACCATGATATTAATACAGCTTTTCTGTACGGATCTCTAGATGAATCACTTTATATGCTTCCACCTGATGGCGTACAGGTAAAACAGGGATTTGTTTGTGCTCTGAAGAAATCCCTTTATGGTCTCAAACAAAGTGCACGGTGTTGGCACACAAAACTCACTGAAGTATTGTTTTCTCTAGGTTTTCAGCAAGGGAAAGCTGATCCATGTGTATTTGTCAAAGAGGAGGGGCAAAAGAAACTGTACTGTTTGTTTTATGTTGATGATTTATTATTCTTTTGGAAAGATGTTGCAATGTACAATAGCGCCCTAGCTCAACTGAAAGAGCACTTTGACATGAAAGATCTTGGTGAGGTAAACAACTACCTATCTCTGGAAATAGAGAGAGATCAAGATGGTAACATTCTAGTACACCAGTCACGGAAAATTGCTGATGTGTTAAGCAAACTAAATCTGATGGATGCTAACCCTGTAGACACACCGATGACAACAGGTTATCAGGTAGATGACACTGAAGAAGCATTTTCTGACACTACACTGTACAGGAGTGTGCTAGGCAAGCTAAACTTCATTGCCAGATGTTCAAGACCAGACATTGCTGTTAGCTGTAATTTGCTAAGCAGACAAGTCAACAATCCTAGTGTCAAGGATTGGAAAGCTCTGAAACGCATAGCGCGGTATTTGAAAGGCACTATGCATTACAGACTGAGATTTAACAATCAGAAGTCTGGTGGTCTTGAGATATTTGCAGATGCAAGTTTTGGAAGTGATGCTATAGACAGGAAAAGTACGTCTGGAGTTTGCTATATGTACAATCAGAGTCTGTTTGATTGGTCATGCAAGAAGCAAACAACAGTTAGCTTAAGTACTTGTGAAGCCGAACTGAATGCACTGTCTTATTCACTTAAGGATTGTGAATGGTTAGTACAATTGTGCAAAGATATGAAAATTCCTGTCAAATGTCCAGTCCAGGTTTACCAGGACAACAAAGCGTGTTTGGCTTTGCTGAAGTCTGAAGGTTGTAAGCAAAGCACAAAGCACTTGCAATTAAAGTTGCAGCATGCTAGGGAATGTATTCAGAAGGGACTCGTAACGGTGTCCTATATGCCAGGTAATGAAATTCCTGCTGATGTATTGTCCAAGATTGTATCAAGGGATCAACACTGTACCTATGTGCAGAAGTTGGGTTTGTACTGATATTGTACGAACACGCTGCCCAGTGATGTTCACAGAAAGGGGGAGGATGTTGGTTTCTATTTCCCTCACTGAGCAGCAACTGCAGTCACAAGACATTGTTTTGCATTCCACAGTCAGAGGTACTGTTGGAGTTTCTCACGGGAAAGGAGACTGGATGTGACGTCCACTGGTTTCCTGTTTTTCACTGTGGGATTCTCTCCGAGCTGAGAGAGGAGAGAGGATGCATTTTTCTGCTCCTGCAGAGGCAAGATGTCTTTCTGTAATATACCAGCTTTGAACTGTAAATAAAGCTATATGGAGTATGGAGCACGTATTCTCATCCTTCCGCTGGGCACCAGAGACTCTGCTTTAAATCAACAGGCACCACCCGCGTCCCCACAACTTCTTATACTAAAAAAACCTCTTTTTTTTACATTAATTATTTTTAGTATAACTTCTTATACTAAAAATAATTAATGTTAAAAAAAGAGTTTCCAAATTAAGCAAGGATGCGTTTTTAACATTGATATTAAAGATGTTTTCTTGATGAATTGAATTGGTTAATTTGGGGGTTCCTAATTTCTTAAGGGCCAGGGATACATTTCAAAATCTAATAGACTATTGTGGGCACCACAAAATATCCATTTTACAGAGGGAAAATTGCTGGTACTCATAAATCCCTTACAAAAGTAAATAAAAACAGACAACAAAGCAAGCAACACACTCTGAAAACAGGCAGCCACCCCCCTAATTCTTAAAAAAATAAATTGGGATAGGGTCTTGCCAGCCACTGTGAGTGTGTCTGAGTGTTGTTGTGCCCATAGGTACTATTCTGGGTACCCCAGAATTAACTGATTGATTAAAGGTTGCAGCCCTTAGGGGAAAAAAGAAAAGAAATATACTGAGTTTCTGTTTCTCTGAGAGTAATATAGAGTGGAGGGAAGAGAGCAGAGTGGGGTGGACTGAAAATATGTCAACTCCTTGACTGGATCCTGCCCTTTTATTCCGAGTAGTTACACTGTCAAGAAGGTATTTTGCTGAATTGCCTCTTTCTGCAGGAACACCACGCAACAGTTACTTCTGAGTGGCTTTATAGGGGATTTTCACCCACACCTTATAATAAACCGAGCGTGCAGATAACATATCTTTTTGTGCTTTAAAGTGCTTGGATGATAACTGTGAAAAATTATCTCACGAAGGTTACCAAGCGGTACCTGTGGCCATTTTCTCATGACCCCTGTGAGATAAAGTTTACTGCCTTAGATCATGATGCATTGTCAAATAACAGGTTTAGCTTGTCTGGCCAACAAGAAGTAATTGAGGAGTGTTATAGCTTTACAATCCTTGTTCCAAGGAATTGGGAGCATCTGAGCTGTTAGACCTGAACAAAATAGGTCAAGGCTGAGAGAATAAAGTTTTCTCTATTTGTTCCCCTTTTCTTTTACTCCCAAGTTATTTCCTTTCATATGTGAAACTATTTCATGATGATCCTTGAAAATCTTACAGAAAAACCTTGAATGTTTCTCTCTCTCTCTCTCAAAAGACCATTTAAAAAATGAATTACCATGCCTGTATTATTAATGTTCACAGTTTCCTACATTTACAGATGTTCTGTGAGAGCCCTCTCACACACTTACACATACACAAAAATAAGCCAAAGATTGCATCTTCTGTCTTGTAAAAATGATGACTGGTGACTGATAACACTCTCTTCTGGAGTTTTATACCACAACCAAGCAAACATGATGAGGAATGTTTGGTTTCTTATGGGTAAACCCCGCAATTTGCCCCCAGTGGTGGAGCATCTGCTTTGTCATGCAGTGTTACGCAGGTTCAATCCCTGGCATCTCCAGGAAGGGCTGGGAATATTCCTACCTGAAACCCTAGAGATGTTTTTAGTTAGACATACAAATGGTCTTTGGGTGGATAGTTTCATTATAACATTTTGTGGTCCTGGACTTATTTGCATCATGAGTAAGGAGTTTATTATGCTTCCAGTTGCTGCTCTGTTGCTGTTTGGTAGCCAATGAAAGTCACGCTGTACCAGTGGACTGGAGTGTTGCCACTATCATCCTGGATGCAAGAGACAGTGCTACAGTTCATCCACTGGTGAATCCATTTTTGTGTGAACACTGCTTGGACAATTAAAAAAAATATGCTTCCTGCAGAGTTGTTCCGATCCCCACCCTCTAATCTGGCTTGTGCAAAACCTGTCTGTCTTTCATCTATAATCACACTTATAGGTTGAGAAGCAATGATTTAAGAGATCTCATATTAGGGGTGCAGCCAATATGTCGGAAGAGCTTATATTTGGATCAGTATGGTGTATATCAGGCAGGCAGAGCCTAGAAGCAGTTTGCAGGTGGAGCCTGGAGATTTTAGGCAAGTCTGTAAGCCTGTCAGGGAATATATATAATATGTTCTCGAAGCTACAAACATGAGTCTGACCAAACTGCGGGAGGCAGTGGAAGACAGGAGTGCCTAGTGTGCTCTGGTCCATGGGGTCACGAAGAGTCAAACATGACTAAACGACTAAACAACAACAACAATGTCTAGAGGTTTTGCCAGGTTAGAAATGAAGCTCAGCTCTCTGTTCATCTTAGGCACAGATGGGGAACCTGTGGCCCTCCACATGTCATGGGACTCCAGCTCCCATCTACCCCAGGCAGAATGGCTAATGGTCAGGATGAAGGGAGTTGTAGTCCAACAACAACATGGATACCCAACCCTGCTCTAAGGTTTAGGGCTAGCTTGCCCCAATGCCCCCCTCCCCATCCTTGTACCTTGCTTTTGGGGCAGCTAGCCCCAAAGGGGGAAGCAAGCAAACACAGAAGAGAAATTGCCCCTCTCATTGAAGAATTAATGTGTACCTCTATTGTACAAATTGTTCATGATTGCTGTAACTATTTTCTTGCAGCTACTCAGCTATGATTCCAGCATCATTTTCTTTCTTTTCCACTGTGTTAAGGGTTGGGTTATTTAAACTTACCATCAAACAGAATCAGAATCAAAGTGAGCTAATTTTTCTGAAATACTAATCATTTTAAGGCTATTGAACTAAATATAGAGACAGTTCATTAAATCATTAAAACTGCCTGCAATAATCCTCACAAAGTCATTATAGTAGTATTCCCTAGCCGGAGAGGTAGATTTGCCTTAAGCACAGTTTAATCAAATTAGATAGCAGGCCTATGTCATGGGGTTTCTCCTATTGATATTCATTAAAAATACATGATTTATCACTAATCTATGTAAGGTATATCCCGATTCTGCCAAATTAATTTTGTAAGTGTTGGGGCGGGGAGTGAGGGAATAGGTAAGGAAAACATTATAGTCTATTGTTATAGTGCTGTTTTAAAATGGAGGCACGATCGCATTTACATTTTGCAGACTGTATCATTTTACAACATTTTGGCACTTGCTTGCTTTCCTTCCCTTTCTCATTTTAGTTAAGCACTTGCACAACCAGCTACTATATCCTTTAGGTCAGTGGTGGCCAAACTCGGCCCTCCAGATGTTTTGAAACTACAACTCCCATCATCCCTAGTGGTCAGGGATGATGGGAATTGTAGTCGAGTTTGGCCACCACTGCTTTAGGTCACTCGCCCCCAACTTTCAATTTACCGCGATCCCTTTCTGCACTGACTTTCCTGCTATAGAAACTGTGTACACTGCTGGCAATTCTGGCACAAGTATTTGAGCACATGGTCAGCTCACTCAGAACATTTCCAAATAAAAGGAGCTGGTTTCAGATAAGGAAAAAACCTCTGTGTAGCACCCAAATAGTCACCACCAGTCCATGTAGACAATATTGGGTGAGGTGGACAAATTACCTGACCTGGTTTAAGACAGCTTCATATGTTCATATGCTTCCCATGCTCTCAATTTTTAGTGACCAAGTTTTGGGGGCCTCCCCATTGCCTGATGAAAATGGAAAGTGTCCTTGCACATACCCATTGCTCACCTCTTCTCTCTAGCTTATCCACTTTGATCCCCATATGATGCACTCTAATGAGTGCATTGGCTTTGGCTCACAAATGCTTATGCCACAACAATACACTTTTAGTTTTCAGGGTGCCACAAGAGTGTGGTGTGAAAATTGTGCACTCCTGGCTAGTAGATGTATACAGAAGTTAGCAAATCATCTGGGAAACATTTTTTCCCCATGCAGAAGACTTGAAAATTGCTGGGGGGTCTCACCAAACCACATAGTACATCTTTGTTAGAATCATACAATAAAATTGTGGAGTTGAAAGGGACACTGAGCATCATATAGTCCAACCCCCTGTGATGCAGGAATCTCAAAACGTATTCATAATGCATTAGTAGACTGTACCAGTTCTGTAAAGTAGACCTGCAGCTTACAAAGGGCTTACGTTCCGAGGATAGTACATAAAGCTAAAATTGCATATTATGAAAACCACAATAGGGCCTAGACTAGAGCATTGTTAGTTTGTTCAATATTGCAGTCCTGGTCAAAATACCCTTGATCTCTGGTGACGAAAAAACCAAAACATGATCAAACACAGGGTTATGTCCTCATATTTTTGATGGTTCCTCAAGCTTTCCTTGGACCATTTGAATGTTTCTCATGAACCAACAGTGGTTGGCAGACCACAGTTTGAAAACCTCTATATCTACCAGTCATTAGTCATTATCCACACTACTGTGCCACTTGCTTCTGTCCGCAAGTCTCTCCTGCTGGATCATAACACTGAAAGGACTTCAAAGGTCATCTAACACAACTCGCCACCCACAACTACAACATTCCTGATTGGTGGTTGTCTAGCCGTTGCTTAAAAACTTCTAATGTAGGAGAGTCCACCACCTTGTGAGTTACTCTGTTCCACTGTTAAGCAGGGTGTGGCTGTTTAAGAAAGGAAACTAACTTCCAGATGTGAAAAATATTTTAAAACATGCATTCCCTCTCTTACAACTATTCTTTTCCCCCTTTCATTCCTGTAGTGGTGAAATTAGCTCATTATTAGTGAAATTTGTTGGTCTGTGCCCATGTTAATGTCAGAGGGTGGGTGAGGGTGGGAAGCGATTGGAATATTTAGTTCAGACCAAGGTCTCGTGATATGAGGAGCTTTTTATTAAATCTGAAAAATTTAATAAGAGGCTTTTCATACCAGAGCTTAGACCATCAGAAAGCTTGATCTCTGCAGGCTGCCATCTTGTGTTGCAGAATTGAAGGTGTTTCCTTCCCACACATGCACACACACTTTAAGGGCCAAATCTGCTGCTAGTGTCATTGCAGTGACCTCAGTAGATTTAACAACACTGGGGAAAAGTTCAACAGAATTATATGAGCAAACCAGCTTTATAGCTGCAGCCCCCCCACAGTTGGAAAAATAATTTCATACATGCAAACAGATGGCATCCTGATGCTTGCTAAGCAGCAAAAAGATATTATGGCAGGGATGTGAAATACTGCACTAAAATTTGTAAGATTCTTAGTGAAACATTTCTCACACTTTTCTTTCTCACTCCCCCCCACCCCTGGCCAGGTTCAGATTAATTTTGCATTTGCAAATGTGTTCTTACAACTTCATTTGGAAAAGAAAAAAGGCATTGACTATTTCTATAGGCACACCTCGAAATCCAAGCTGGAAAAGTCTACAAATGTTTTCTGTATTTCTCCTGCCCTGTACATACACAATGAATCAAAATAATATTCACCTTGGATGCAGACAATTTATGTTAATTCGCTCTAGCACAGTGGATGCCTGGTTTTCCATTGTAGTGTCATAGGAAGCTGCCTCATAACAGGTCAAACTACAGTATTTGTTCATCTATCTCAGTTCATCTAGCTAAGCCTCTCTCCAGGGTCTTAGCCAAAGATGCCTGGGATGAAACCTGCAACTTTCTGCATACAAAGCTTATGTTCTACCACTGAGCTACGGCACATCCCAGGAACTTTTTCTATATCATCATTTCCTGAAGTACCCCAGCCACACATCCGTACAGAGTAGGGCACAAGGCTACCCCAACTTTCCCTAGGTTTCTAATTTGGGATAGCTGATCTTCTGCCTTGCAAGAGTGCCTGTTCTTCACCTCTATGGCTTCTCTGCTTGTACATTTCATACATGCCATAAGTCTGGAAAACCAAACTTGCAAACACATCTCACTGTTTGAGGAAATGACAGTGGGCATCCATCCACAGGCAGCTTAACATACTTAGATAACTGTCCAAAGGCATTCATTACAACTGCTGCTGACTTTTTAAACAAAATACCACAATATTTCATTTTCTTTTCACAAATAGGAAATTAATTGCATACTCTTGCAGCCAGAGCAGATATAATTCGTTATGTATTGTTAAGGTTGTCTGTGATAAATTTATCAAGCTTGCATGAAAACTACACTGAAATCACAATGGATCCATCTTAATTAAGGCTCTTTAAGTGACAGATACACCTGTCCTGAAATCAGGATGGAGGTGAGTAGATGGGGACGAGGAAAATAACAGTGCATTCCAAAAATGTAGCTGTTCTTTAAAAGAAAAGAAAACCTCTTTGAGTATATTGCATGTACACGGCAAATGGCAACACTGAAATTCATGATGCTGGCTTACTCATGTTCATTAATTTCAGTGGGTTTATGCGGAGTAAACCTTAGTTGAATACCATTCATAATTAACAATAAATGTACAACCTTCATAATCCATACATCATAAAATGGTAGAATTCTAGACAGATGGCTGTAGGCTTTCGTATTATACAAATTGTTTCTGCATTATAATTCCAGCTGGATATAACTGATTAATTTGTATATCCCAATAGGATCAATTTAAGAATTGTTATCTATTTTACCTTAGCAGTTTCAAAACTTAAATGTATATTGGTGCAAATAATTCTCCATTAATATTTTACTCTATTTTATTTTAGTTTCCCTAGAGAACGCAATCAATCATTAATGTATTTTTTTTCATTCATTCAGTTTACAGACTCTTCAATAGAATAGCTCTCTGAGAGATTTACAGGCTTAAAAAAATTATCAGATCCAATATTTAAAATACAACTATTCAAGAATATGACGTAGCATTTCTCCAGCTTAAAATTATTAGTAAATACGTACTATCTTTTCTCCTATTGAAAATAGTACATGTGTCCCCCAAATCAGATTGGAACCATAGTGGGGGAAAGGGTTAAAGCCCCCTCTCTCCGTGCCATAGTCCCAGGACTGAGCTACAATAGTAAACAAACAAATAAACAAAACACATTATAAAAGCATTCTTCTTCTTTGGCGATCGCTCGTAGCTGAGTAAGATTGTCTTCCATAAACATGGTTTTAACAATGAGTCCGTAAGAGACTGTGGAGGCCAATTCTGGATCCACACGTCCTTCCATAGTGGGGGCATTGGTTTCCAGGCAGGAGTTTATCATGGTGTGGATTTGCCAAGTGTGCCTTCCTCTTAGCACATTTCTCCCTTGCGTCCTGAGTTCGAGTGTCTTCAAAGCCCATGACACCTTTGGTAAAGGCTGTTCTCCAACTGGAGCGCTCACAGGCCAGTGTTTCCCAGTTGTCAGTGTTTATACTACATTTTTAAAGATTTGCCTTGAGACAGTCTTTAAACCTCTTTTGTTGACCACCAGCATTACGCTTTCCATTTTTAAGTTCGAATAGAGTAGTTGCTTTGGAAGATGATCATCAGGCATCCGCACAACATGACCAGTCCAACGAAGTTGATGTTGAAGAATCATTGCTTCAACACTGGTGATCTTTGCTTCTTCCAGTACACTGATATTAGTTCGCCTGTCTTCCCAAGTGATGTGTAAAAATTTTTGGAGACACTGTTGATGGAATGTTTCGAGGAGTTGGAGATGGCGTTTATAAGTGGTCCATGTTTCACAAGCATACAGTAAAGTTGGTAGTACAATAGCTTTGTAAACAAGCATTTTGATTTCCCTGCGAATTTCCCGGTCCTCAAACACTCCACTTCAATCAGGAGAAAGCTGCACTCGCAGAGCTCAGACAATGCTGGGTTTGGCATCAGTGTTGGCCCTTGTGGAAAGATAACTGCCTAGGTAGGAGAAGTGATCTGCATTTTCCAACGTTACGCCATTGAGTTGGATTTGTGGTGCTGCAGAGGGGTTATTTTGTACTTAATGGTGCAGCACTTTGGTCTTTTGGATGTTGAGTGATAGGCCAAGCTTTTCGTAAGCTTCTGCAAAGATATTTAGGATGGTTTGGAGGTCATCCTCTGAGTGTGCGCTCACTACGTTGTCATCAGCATACTGAAGCTCTACGACGGAAGTTACGGTAACCCTACTCTTTGCTTTCAGCCTGCTCAGATTGAAGAGCTTTCCATCTGTTTGATATATGATTTCTACTCCAGTGGGGAGTTTCCCTTCAACAAAGTGTAGGATCATGACAATGAAAATAATGAATAGAGTTGGGACAATAGCACAACCTTGTTTAACACATGATCCCACTATGAATGGTTCACTTTGAGAGCCATTGTTATCTGCGATTGTTGCTGTCATATTATCATGGAGGAGCGGAATGATGTTTACAAATTTATCTGGGCAGCCAATTTTCAGAAGGACAGTCCCCAGGGCATTACGATTTACAGTGTCGAAAGCCTTAGTCAGGTCAATAAATGCCATATACAGGGGTTGGTTTTGCTCTCTGCATTTTTCTTGAAGCTGTCGAGCGGTGAAAATCATGTCCACTGTCCCCCTAGAAGGCCGAAAACCATTTTGGGATTCAGGAAGGGTCACCTCGGATATTGTTAAGAGACGGTTTGAGATCCTTGCAAGAATTTTGCTGGCCACAGCTAATAGAGAGATCCCTCGATAGTTTCCACAATCAGTTCTGTCACCTTTTTTAAAGAGATTGATAATTTTGGCATCCCTAAAGTCTGCTGGGATCTCTTCTCTTTCCCAGATTTTTTTGATGAGCTTGTGAAGTTGTTGTTGTGTAAGTTCAATTCCGTCCACTTTGAAGACTTTGGCAGGTATCCCATCAGGTCCACTGGCTTTGTTGTTTTTCATTTGGTTAATAGCTGTACACAACTCTCCCAGATTTGGAGATACAGCAAGCTCATCTCTAACTTGTTTTTGTGGAATTTGTGAGAGGACCTCAGCAACTACGGGGGGGGTTGTGGTTAAGGAGATGTTGGTAATGTTCTTTCCAGCACATTGCAATAGCTTCTTTATCTTTTAGAAGTGTGATAGCATCCGCTGAGCGTAGGGGGCATATGCCATGATTTATTGGTCCATAGATGGTCTTTGTGGCTTTAAAGAAACTCTGTGCATCATGAGTGTCAGCTAAGTGCTGGATCTCTTGAGCTTTTTTTATCCACCAGTATAAAAACATTATAACACTGTGACACCAGATGGAGCTGTAGAGCTGAAATCGGAACTCTATGAAAATTTCCATTGTGAGCTTTCAAACAGTTTTCCCCCAGAACATTTCCAGAGCGTTTTTTATAGCTGTGTAGATGCAGCCCCAATTTGACTCTCCTCCTACCAGGCTAGCCATTTGCTAAAAACAAGCAACCATACAATAGTATGTAATAACATGAATAATGTGACATCTAGTTTGGCCCAAATTTAGGTAGATGATCTCTAAAATGAAACAAATTTCATCACAACTGGCCTCCAAATAATCCCTTTTGGAGAGCTTTTGAGCGGGCACATTAGCTTTGTTGATTTCTATGGGAGCCCCAAGCACCTTCCCTATTGATCACTGATGCTCAAGGAAACAGTAGAGCAGTAGCCAATCTAAGAACTCCATCAAATCCATTGGCTACTTTGTGATGTTATAGAATGTTTGTTTATAGTCTACCTTCTGAGATTACCTTGCCCAGTGATATCTCCCCACCCAAATTCTTGAGCTACCAGACAGCCTGCAAACCAAAATGAAGGGAAGGGTCAAGGATGCAAAAGACAGGTGGGTAAATCTGTTAGGATATTTCCGTTCCACCTTAAAAGGGAGCAGGCTTTTTGAGTCACAGAGTCTGCGCATTTCCTGTTCACAGGATGTTTATGTTTCCTATTGCTTTCGTCTCTCTCTGTGTCTGGAGACACTGATGCAGGCAGTCATGTTTTTCTTTGTTCTGACCAACGCTGAATAAACTTGTAAATAATGCTCTCCTGCGTGCAACTTCTGCTGTGAATTATCTGCTGATAGAGTGTGCATGAGCTCTGGAATGTGGCAAGCTATTTCTAGAAACTCGTGTCACTAATTGCTGATACTGTATCTACGGGAGATCAATGGACGTCTGCAGCCGGCGTGGGGGCCATGATGGGCTTTATCTCCCTGGCAGTATCCCAACAAAATCATCACAAAGAACCTAATGACAACCCACCCATGTTTCACCTCCCATCAATCCCAGCCAGCATGGCCAATGGGCAGGGATGATATGAGTTGTAGTTAAGCAACATTTGGAGGGCCAGTTTCTCAACCCCTAGGCTACAGGTCTCTAAAATTATTTTTGCTCAGAACTCCTGTGCCTGATTAGAGTTTTTAAAACATTAGAGGCCTTTTTAAACTCCTCTGTCCTCTAGAAGATTATCATTCCCACCTTCTTCCTCTATTTTTTTTGCGCTCCCTGCTTTATGGGAGATACAGGCTACCAGCTCTCTGCCTTAAGTTAAAATAAGTCATCAGCTGTCTTTCTGTTTAGTAGTTTCATGTTCTGACCACAGAAACAGCCTGGGGGGATTCTACTCTCTCTCTCTCTTCCGCTCATTTGTCAGCCTAGTAGCTACAGTTGTGACACTAATGCTCTTGGAGGCATGCCCTGTTTGTCAACAGCAAAAAAGAGAGCCCTGGAAGCCAAACAAACAGTAAATGTATGTGTTTTAAGGAGCAATGTTTTCTTGGGAGTGTTAATGGTGGCAGGAAAGTGAGCAAGCCAGGCACTCGGCTCATCTGCAAGCCAAAAGGCCATGCAGAGTTCTATGCCTGCAATAGGGCTTCTTTCCATCACATAGAATGAAATTGATTTATCTATTTTATCTTGCTTTTTGAAATCTGTCTAATATCAAAGCAGCACGTGCTGGAAGGTTTTGGTTTTTACAGCCCTATTGGGTGGGCAACCAATTTTCTGTTGAGGGCCACGCTCCTTTGGGGTAATCTGTTCCAGGTCACATGCTGGCTGTGGCAGGTACGGAAGTGAACCCATTTTTCCTCTTCTTTTTGCCACCTCTTTTCTCTCCCACTCTCTTTCTTTCTGCCACCCCATTACCATTTTCCTCCCTTTTATCTGGCAATCCCTTCTCTCTTCTCTCTGCCCAGTGGGCTTGCCAGAGGTCTGCTCAGATCACTTGCACTGGGCTTTTGAAATTAAATTGAGGGCCACAGGACTACATCCATACAAACCTCCTTGGATCTGCCTCACAGGTTCTTTTTGCAGGCCTGCCTGTAAAATCAGTGGTTGGTGGGCATGAAAGACAGGGCTTTCTCAGTGGTGACCCCCCTGGTTGTGGAACTCCCCACCGAGCTGCATAGTGATCCCAACACTGCAACCTTTTAAACAGGCTTTAAAAACCTACCTGTTTGGGGTTGCCTTCTCTTGTAATCTTCTAGTGCTGCTGAAATTGAGAATGTTGAGCTGATTTGAAATGTTTTATTTGTCAGAGACAAAGTCCAACAAACCCAGCACTTTAACAAAGTAGTCCTGCTCAGGGACTTATTTGCATTTTGATCACACCACTGATCTCTATATACATACAAGGGAACCATGTGTATGCAGTCTACATTTGGGATCATGTACAGTTGATCTAGGGCCCTCCATTTTCTAGGACAAAGGACTGTGCGTTCAGGCATATACATAGGTTCTGTGCAAATTCCACCCCTAAATGCATGGAAGCCAGGGGGTGGGGCGGGCGTGGTGCAGAAGATGGCATCCTAATCATGCCACACAAATATATGTTTATTTGAACTCCTTCATAGAGCTGTTGCTAAAGGCTCTTCACCACTGTTTTCACACTACATTAATTTACTTTACAACAGCAGGTCTGGCAGCAATGTGTGGCATTCATGGGCAGCTGTTGAAGCTCCAACACCCTGATAGGGCCAGGGGCAGATTTTGATTTTTCAGATTTCAGCAGTGACCTGTGCACTCCCCTGCTTCTTGCCTTCAAATCTGCTCAATTCAGTGCGTCATAGTTGTGGCACCCTGGAGCACCTCCTAGACTTGGTACCTAGTGCGGCGAAGCAGCTTGCACTGCCCTAAATCCACCTCCGATAGGGCCCACCTAGAACCCTCTTTAAGCCTTCTTTTCCCCAATTCTCCAATCAGCATCAGGTGATTAAGGTCACTTCCAAACAACCTGTTTATTAAGAATTCACCCTGATTTGTTTGTGCAGCCTGAAGGGAGGTTAGATGAACATTCATTCTTCTTTTCATTTAGGGAGGTTATACAAAGTTGCATCAATCTATTTTTTATAGTGCAGTTTTCAGTGCACGTTCTCTGTTACTTTCCTTTTTGCAGAAAGTCTGATTTTGTGGGGCAGCCATTGTAGTGCATGAGCGCCAAATCAACTGTCATTGTGCAACCTGATTTTGCCAGATGTGATTGAATGCTACCCACAAATAGTGACTGTCTGGAAGTGCCCTGGGTTAGGAAACTGCCATTACAATTTCCCACAATGCCTGGGTAGCCAACGTGGTGCCCTCCAGAGGTTGTGAACGCCACCAGCCACCCGTGTAGCAAATTGTCACTGAGCTGTAGTTCAACAATTTCCTGAGGGCACCACGTTGGCTACCCATGACCCAGAATGTATGGTTGCCATATGTCTGGAATTTCTCAGATGTATACAGAATACTTTAGTCAGCAGCAGTGTCCAGGCAGAAATCGGCAACAACAACTTTTGTGTCCAAATTTTCACTGTTTGGGATATGGCAACCCTACAGAATGATGGTATTTGGGGGGGGGGCATTGCTGGAAATTTAAATGGCAGGAACATAGGAAGCTACTTTATACTGAGTCAGACCATTGTCCATCTAGCTCAGTATTGTCTACACTGACTGTCAGCAGTTCTCCAGGATTTTTGACAGGAGTCACTTCTGGCTGTACCTGTGGATGCTGGGGTTTGAATTTGGTACCTTCTCCATGCAAAGCATATGCTCTGCCAATGAGCTATAGTCCTTCCTTAATCTACTATTTTGGGTGACTCTGAAAGCTGGTATTATAAGAGGGAGGGGAATTCTTAATGTTTTAATGCAGATTGTATGTTTATAACCTTCTGCCAGTGAAACTTATGCTGTTTGCTTACAGTTGCGTGAAAGCAGTTTTATTAACATTTATCAGGTTTGAACTGTGGCTGTAAAAATGAATGTCAGAGTGAACACCTGACTTCCAAGACCCAGTATGACTTAATGAATCATTTTTTATGTCTAATGAAGTAACCTGTACTCTTTCTGGTATAATGTTTTTGTTCCCTTGATGAGTCTAAAAATGGCAGGGAACATATTTCAAGTTTCTTTGTGTCTGTTGAAGTTTACATGGGGGGGGTGGAGGGAACAGCAGGTGGGGGGCTCCACAAGCTATCTGAGGAATGTGTCTTTCTCTTTCTTAGTGGTTTTGTCCCCTCTCTGTCTGACACGGCAGGCATGCTGAACAGGAGTGGCATGCGAATCGATCGGCAGGCAATCAGTGACACGGCGGCTGGCCAGAGCCAAACTCCATGCCATCGATCGGCTCCAAATCAATTTGCACACTGCATTCTCCGCTCAGGTTACCTGCCATTTCAGGCATGGGGAAGAACAGTGAAGTGAGAAGGAAATTGCACCCAAGTATTTTGGGACCTTGGTCCGTAACCTCAAAGGTTGCACACCGCTGACCTTTCCTTGTTTATATGTCTGTGCCTACGCTCTGTCAGAAAGTATGAGATGGATCTGTTTTGGTACGTGGTGGAAGGCTAGATTATTCTGCAAGCTCCCTGTATAGCAAAACCATTTGTGAATGTTAGCTTTAGAATCCATTGCTTGCATTCTGAAATGGTACAATCCAGGACAGCTCACAGTATGATAGCTATTTATTTTGTGGTCTAGGTATCTGGTCAGGCCCCTCTTTTCCAAACTACAGTGGTGCCTCGCAAGACGGAATTAATCCATTCCGCGAGTCTCTTCGTCTTGCGGTTTTTTCGTCTTGCGAAGCACGGCTATTAGCGGCTTAGCGGCTTAACGGCTATTAGCGGCTTAGCGGCTATTAACGGCTTAGCGGCTTAGCGGCTTTAAGAAAAAGGAAACAAACTCGCAAGAACTCGCAAGACGTTTCGTCTTGCGAAGCAAGCCCATAGGGAAATTCGTCTTGCGGAACGACTCAAAAAACGCAAAACCCTTTCGTCTAGCGAGTTTTTCGTCTTGCGAGGCATTCGTCTTGCGGGGCACCACTGTAGATATTGTTACATTCTTTGCATCCTGCCCTCTTTCCAAGTTGCTCAGGGCAGTCCACGTGGTTTCTGTTTCCCCACCCATTGCATCCTCATAACAACCCTGTGAGATAGGGTTGAAAGACAGTGACTACAAGCTCAGGGCTAGGCTTTTGCAGAATTGATTTTGCAAATTAAAAGTGAGATATGAAAGATTAAACAGGGTTTAATTTAAGATCATAGAAGCTGTATTATCAGATGAAACCAATGTCCATCTAGTCCTAGGCTGGAAGTTCATAAACAAGGTATGAAATTTATAATTATGCCCTGTCTCCAACATCTCATATTCAGACTTTGAGATCATGTACATACAGACTCTATTTTGCTATAATGGTGAACAAGGGTTGTTAAAAATAACCTCCATGAATTTGTCTAATCATTCCCAGTACTTATGTTCTTAAAAAGAGAGAGATGTTAGCAGAGGCCCTTGCACCTTTGGCAAGGAGCTGTATTGGTGCCCCCCACCACAAAAAATGCACTTTACTGCAACATTAGAAATTACACGCAAATCTCTTTGAAGTAAAAAAAAAAGTAGGCCCCCCCACTGAAATCATTCAAACATGCTGCTTTCAGTCTAGATTGATTCTAGATGCTGCCATCCACAAGGGTGGGTGTGCTTATTTGATAAGTGTTGGAAAACCCTTCCTTTGATTAGGTTATCTATGCCTTCTCCTCCCTGTACATGCCCAAGGTAAATGAAGAAGGATCTTGGTACAGGCTTTAGTGGGTCCACAGTGATTTTCCTATGGGTCCTACTGGGGACTTCAATCAAAATGTGAATTTAAATGAACTTTAGTTTACTCAGTCTTGTATGATATTGTGACCCTTGTGCTTATGCAGTGAAATATGTGCATGCAAGGTCATTGCACGCCATCATCTACCAGGCTGCATGCTAATTATGATGCACAAGTGACTTGCTGTGTAGGGATTTTGTAGTGTTTAAAGTAACTCATGGTTAGACTTGTAGGCAATTTTTGTTCCTTCTGGTATTGGCAAAGAGAGGCTCCATGCTTTACAGGGCATTCATGCTGGCTGTGAGCATGCTGGGTGCTTCCCAAAGAAAACTTCAGAACCATCAGAGGCAATAATGCTTCTGAATACCAGTTGCTTGAAACCTCAGTGGGTTTCCCACTGACATTGGTCATCAGCCTGATCCAGCAGGCTCTTCTTGCGTTCTTGGGTTAATAGAATCATAGAATTTAGAGGACCAAATATGTAAAAGGTGAACAATAGATATGCTTCCTTATGTTGTCTGTGTACCCATAGGAAACACGGTGGCTGCAAAAAATTGTGTGGGTCCTCAGAGGGCAAGTCTCTACTGGAGGGTTTAGATTACTTGTTTCCTGCAGTTCCCTTCATGTATCCAAATAGGACTTGCCCTTAGAGGGGCAACTCATAAAGGAGTTACAGGCTCAGAATTCCCCCATCCCATAGATGAGCAGCACATGCACACATTCTCACATGTATAGAGTGCCATCTCACACAGGTTGGCCCACCAGCAGTGGACAGGGCTAACCCATCACATATTGTTTAAGTCAGGGACTGAAAACCTGTGCACTGCCACTGGGAGTTCTTGGACTGTAGCTACTATCATCCCTGGCCATTGGCAACATTGGCTGAGGCTGATGGGAGTGGCCAGCAGCCTCTGGAGGGTTAGATCAAATGCACACACACACACACACACACACACACACACACACACACACACACACACACACACACACACACACACACACACACACACACACACACACACACACACACACACACACACACACCACTCCCTCCCTGAGGAGTGAAAGGCCTTAAAGGAAAATTCTTTGGTCTGGAGCCTAGCACTCCATTTCTTGGTTAATTCCCCCAGGCTTGTTGCCTGCATTGATGAGCCCTTATTGGGATGCATAGGATCCCTAGCATGGAAGGTGACAGTTTTTTGGGTGTTGCAAGCTATTGCCTGTGGAGATCTCTGTTTTGAATCTAAGCCACAAGCTGTTTTCTGTGCTGTTGATCTGACTGACACTGTTGTCCCATCATTCTCTGGCTGCTGCTCAGAGGGTCATGACACCGATTTACTTTCGCAACCCAATCCACAGAACTCTGGGAATGATATTTCTGAAGAAGATGCTCAGACTTCTCCACTAGAGCCCACACAGCGGAACTTCATAGGCTTGCCATACATTAGCAAAATTCCTAACATGTCCTGGTTTTGGGGTGTAAAAATCGTGTCGGGAGGAATCTTGCTGAATTGCGGGTGTCAGGAATTTTACTTTTTGAAATATGGCAACCTAGAACTTCAGTTCTCGGTGCTCTGTAGGAAAAGGAAAATTGTGATTAATCTTAGCCCTGGGGTGTCATTCTGAAGGGGCTTATGGGTGAAAATGGACTCAGTGCCCCCCATGTCATGTCATGATGCAGCATCATTCCAAAGGCATTCTGGGGGGAGAAAACAGCACACAGCAGCCATCACAATGTGTTTCACTGGTGCTAGTATTCTACAGTATGCCTCTGAATAGTGATTGCTGACAATCACAAGTGCGGAGAAAGCAGTCATGCTCAGATCCTGTTTGAGGACTTCTCAGGAGGCAACTGCTTGGTCACTATGAGAACAAGATCATGGACTAGCTGGGCCTTTGGCCTGATCCAGCAGGGCTCTTATGTCTTTAATGGGTATTCAGAGGTATACTGCCTCTGAACGTAAAGATTCTACTTAGCTATGATAGCTGCCTTACAGGAACATAAAAATAGCCCTTGTGAATCAGACCAAAGGTCCATACTGTTAGCCAATAGTGGCTAACAAGACTTCTAGAAAGATGGCTAGTCACAATGGCTATGTTCTCTATTGTCTGAGGCAATATGCCTATGATTACCATTCACTGGAAATTGCAAGTGTGGAGGATGCTGTTGCACTCAGATCCTGCATGCTGGCTTCCCAAGAGGCATCTGGTTGGCCACTGTGAGAGAACAGGATACAAAACTAGATGGGCCTACAGACTGATTTAGGGCTCATTTTGCATTTTTATGCAAATCAATGAACCGCTGCTGCTGCTGCTGCTGCAGGGAAAGGGAAGGCCCAACATTTGGGATTCCCAAATTTATTTTATTTGGGATTCCCCCTCCTCAGCAATGGAGTGTTGACTTGTGGGGGAGGGGGAAGATTTTGCCTCAGCAGTACTTCTTGACAAGTTTGATGGTACCTGCAGTACAGAATTTAGATCTCAAGATGGCACCAGCTGCCTGCTGAAATTAGGCTTGGCAGCAGTTATACATAATAAACAAAAGGTTTTCACAGTTTGCTGCTTTCATGTGGTGAGAGACTTTTGTGTCTATTGAGATGGTGTTTGCCATAGTTGTGTGGCTTGCTGTCCATGCAGAGCAGGAGAATAATCTAGATATACATAGACAATAGACAAAGCTACACAAAAAATTAAGAAGCCTTCACTTAACTGGAAAGGCTTTCCTATAAATTCCTTTGTAGCATAAGAAGAGCCTTGCTAGATCAAGCCAATGTCACATCTCCTCAAGCATCCTGTTTTCAGTGACCCACCAAATGCCTCCTAGGAAGCCCTCAAGCAGAACCTGAGCACACATACCCTTCCCCACTTGTGATAGTTGGCATTCAGAGGCATACTACCTCTGACTGTGGAGGTAGAGCATAAGGCATCTTTTTAACAAATTGAAAGTGACATAAAATGGTGTTTAACGTGTTATCTAAAAAGAGTGATCCAAATCCTCTTTTTTGCTCAAAAAAATTCCTTTATTGAACAACAACAGCAAAATGATTGCAGAATTTTTAAGATCAACACCAAAGCAATGGCAAAAAGGAATGGGAAGTTTGATGATGGTAGCTGAAGTTTGATGGTGTATTCTCCTTATTTCTTTATATCATCATCATCATTTTAAATGGTGCTTTGCAAAGCAACCTAAGCAGAAAATACAAGCTCCTTTCCAGGAAAGTTATACTCTAAGTTTTGACATCAGGGGAGGCAATAGAAAGAGAAGGCAGAGCAGCTAACAGAGGGAAATGTGCCAATGCAGTTTCATGTACTTACCTGTGGCTTCAGTAGAGCTTTGGGAATAAAGGGATTGGGAACTTGTGTTGGGGAAGGTTATTATTATGTTATGTATTTTGTGTCTTTATGCTGTAAATGGCCCCGTGATCTTTGGATGAAGGGCAGTATAATAATAATAATAATAATAATAATAATAATAATAATAGTAATAAAAATACAGACCTAAGCATCCTTACTAAAGATTAAGTTCCATTGGACACACAGCAGGGCATAAAGGTAAAGGTAAAGGGACCCCTGACCATTAGGTCCAGTCGTAGCCGACTCTGGGGTTGTGGCGCTCATCTCACTTTATTAGCTGAGGGAGCCGGCATACAGCTTCCTGGTCATGTGGCCAGCATGACTAAGCCGCTTCTGGCAAACCAGAGCAGCACACGGAAACACCGTTTACCTTCCTGCCGGAGCGATACCTATTTATCTACTTGCACTTTGACGTGCTTTTGAACTGCTAGGTTGGCAGGAGCAGGGACCAAGCCACAGGAGCTCACCCCGTCGTGGGGATTCAAACCTCCCACCTTCTGATCGGTAAGTCCTAGGCTCTGTGGTTTAACCCACAGCACCACCCGTGTCCTCAGCAGGGCATACTCGTGTGTAAATAAGCATAAAACTGAGCAGCATTTGAATATTTTCATGTCCAGGGGTTGAATCACAAGCCAAGAGTCAAGAAAATGAAATTATAGGATACTAATCTAGAGTTGCCCTTGAAAGATGTCACCCAGATCAAACTTTAAAGCAAATTTGTAGTGTTCCTGTTCAAGGGGAATTTGGGGTGTGTGTGTGTGCGTGTGTATTTTTAGTAAGACAGCCACAATTTCTCTGGGTAGTTTCACACATTTACAAGGATTATATTTATCTCACAACTTCCTCTAGGTAGTTCAAGGTGGTATATAGTACATGTACCCCTGTTGTCCTCACAACAACCCTCTGACAAGGTAGTTTAACAGGAGCAATTGGCTCAAGATCAGCCAACCAGTAGGTTTGTGGGAATTTGAACTCTTTCCCCCACCCCGCATCTAAACACAATGCTCTTATCTACTATGCTATACTGGCTCTATGACTGATTTCTGCAGCAAAGTAGTGGGCATGGAATAGATTGATATCTACACTTTAACTGGCTCTAGCTTTTAGAAATGGCATGTAGCATGAAGTTGATTCCAGTCCTCGATCAAGAAATTATTTTAACCTATAATTGTCTGGGTCAAATGAGATGTGGGAACATAAGCCGTCAGGAATCTTTAAAAACAACAACACCACCAAAACACAAAACTCCAGTAGCTGGTATCAGTGGTGCTGCATAAAACATTTTTAGAATCCAGAAACAGCTCTTCTTTCCTAGGTGATTTCTGTATTTATATTACTGGATTTCATAGGGCTTCTCAGGACTTTTTCCTTTTACCCACACACATCTTTAGTTGCCTATACTAGCTGAAGTCCCTCAGTGATGGCCTGGGGTACTTATTCATCATCATAACAACCGTTTAGTGTAAAATTAACAGCTTAACTGCTATGGCTATAAACAGGGGCCTGCATTACTGCAGATGGATGAGGATTACTTAGTTGCAGTCAGAATGCAGACAGAAAGAAGAACAAACAAAGTATGGCTACATTTTGGGTTTTTCAAAAGGTTAAACATGTTTAAAGGATGATTTATATCTGAGTGGTTTGCAAACTTTTACCCTCAGGGATCCCTTTCCACAGGCATTCCCTCTGCATCTTGCAGAAGTGCCTAGACATGGATCCCCAGCCTCTCTTTGGGCCCAAGGGCACTTTTGGAAGTCTAAGAAACTGTCATGGGTACCAAATACTAATTTCACATTAAAAAACATTGCAGTGCTTAGAAACACCCCCAAAGAAGGAGGAGGAGGAGGAGGAGAAAATGTACTTCCCCGCCACACAAAAACACACAGAGAAAAATCTGGCTAACTCTCAAAATGAGCCACCCGACCTACAAAAGAGCCCCAAACCCCTCAAATGTTTCAAAACAGACTTTGTTTTTTTAAAAATCCCAACAAACCTAAATTTTGATATAAGAATTGTAAAATTAGGAGGGGCAGAGAGCCTTGATAGTTTGCCTGAGGTTCCTATGGTGCCCATGAATGCCACCTTGGGTATCTCATGGCTAGTGTGTTCCATGGAAAATATGTAGCTCAGTGATAGCTCACAGCCAGAGCATCTCAGAGCCGCCCCCCCAAACCCCATGACATTGGCAGCTCTTTCAGTGCCCGAAGGTGTAGCAAAGAGTTGGAGGTCTGATTTAAAAGAAGGTGGGGGTGAGAATTTCAAACACATCACCTTTGCCCATAGCCCACTTCTGTCCAAGCTGGGTATGCCTCTAGCATTTCAGCATGACTAAGGAGAAAAATATTTTTGGAGAAAATCTGTAGGTATGTGGGGCATAGTGCAGGGGAGAACTCTGCACCCCTCAACCAACCATACCTGAAGATGCCAGGGACTGAACCTGGGGCTTTTTGAATGCAAGGCAGATACTCTAGGACTGAGTTAACCATGCCATTTTGAGGATAAGCCTTAAATGTGGTTTGAAAACTGGTGTGTGTGTGTGTGTGTGTGTGTGTGAGAGAGAGAGAGAGAGAGAGAGAGAGAGAGAGAGAGATATGTTGGTGATTAAAAACATTCATTTTAAAGAATTGCCTTTGCAGCTGAAATAAGTTCTGAGCCTCATTTGTAAACTACCATTAAGAGAAGGTTGCAGGGGATCTGGCCTGCTGGCAGAATGTGGCCCTCCAGTATGCTTGATCACATCCTTCATGACACACATCCCTCATGACTTTCACCAGGCCACTCTCTCTCACCAGGCCTTCAAAGGCTTTCTCTGTCTTTAGCTGGGCTAATGTCTCTTCCTTCTCTCAAAGGAAGATATAGAGATAAGGACTTCTACATAGCTGGAAGGTAGCCTACTATAGAATGTTAAGAGTGAAATCCGTTAATCTGGCCCACTTTGGCTCTGGCACCACTCACCACAGGCAGTTTACCCATAAGAGAATGTATTCCTCAGATTGAAAAAGTTTTCCCACCCTTGGTCTATCCAATCAAATGTGTCACACAGTGCCATGTTGACATCTTGTCACGTGATTCCTTGGGACAAGCATTTTATTATTTTTAAAAAGTCCAGACTGAGAACAGTCTATAGCTGTCTGTTTCCTACTGAGAATCTGCCCCCCCCCAACAGTGTTGTTCATAGCCATATAGCATCCAGTGGGTTTTCCACAGAAACTGGCAGCGATATGAAACAATCATGATTCAATCCACGGGGCTGCTTTTGCTTCAAAAATAAAGTTGTAGTGTTAAACATAGTGTAAAGTTTGACCCTTTGAGTAGACAAGAGATGGGGAACATGTGGCTCTGATGGACTCCAGCTCCCATCAGCCTCAGCAAGCATAGCCAGTAGTCACAGATGATGGGAACTCTAGTCCAATGACCCCTAGAGGGTCCCTTTTCCCCAACCTCCAGAACATCTAGTTGGGTCTTTAAACATTGCTACCTTAGACAGAATTGTGCAATAGGATAGCCCCACACAAATAAAACATGATAGGTCTTGGTTTGTAGCTCTCCCTCCCTCAGATAGCAAACCAAAGGACAAACAAAAATGCTTAAGCACACCTAGAGCTGCATCTAAACACAAAGGAGTGGGGGGAGATACCAAACAAGCTTCCCCCCCTCTGTTTTCTCCCTGAGCCAAGTAATCCCTTTGATTACATCTAATACCTGCCAAAACCCAGATGGTATGCCCACCCATCTCACAGTGTGATAATGGCACATTGCAAAATCTACCCATTAATATTAATTGTCAGCCAGAGAATCTTTCTGAACTACTATAGCTTGAGATTGCCTTGTGAAAGCGGGGCACGGTTTAGTAGGGATTTTACAATAATTCCCATTCTTTCATCCCAAGTCTCACATATGTGGAATGTTAAACAACACTCATCGCATTTCTGTCATTCTCTGCCACTTGCAATCCTGGCCTTAAATATCTCTGCATTTGGGGTCCTTCACCTGCTGACCAAAGGCCTACCTTCAAATTGCCACAAGCTACACAATTGTATACCTCAGAGCATGCTACACAGGGTGTTCCCTTTCCCCTGATAGTACCTTGGATTGGCAGTACTCCAGCATATAATATATGCCTTGCTTGTCAGTCATGGTATACTCCACTGTACCTAATTTCCAATGGACACACAAACCCTGGAACTCCCTGGAATTTTTTCACCGATTGTCAGAGATTGGGGGAGGTGTGCAACAGTCTTTTGTCTTCCTGTTTTGTATGTTTATCTTATGAACCACCCTGTGATCTTCAGATGTAGGGCGGTATACAAAATGTATATTTAAAATGCACTGTTCCCTACTACTAGACACATGAGTGGGTCTGTTCTCTGAATCTTATCTGAACAATTGCTTTCTTCTTTACTGGTTTTATTCCATTATCTCATTTATTCATTTATTTCACTAAAGCCATGATTCTGTTGATTTGTTTTGCTGTTTCCAAGCGCTCTTTGCAGAAGATACAAAAAAGGAGAGCCTGGTAAATGCTGGACTAAATGGCTCCAGCTGAACAATGGCAAGTGGTGGACAAAATACGCCTGAGGTTACTAAAAGGACCTTAAAAATAAGCAGGCTGTGACATGTTAAAGATGCATTATTTGAGAGTCGGGGGCAGAGGAGGAATGAAGGGCAGGGGGAAAACTCTATGGATATAATTTAGCCCTTGCAACAAGGTCAAACTGATTTAATCCCCCCTGGAAAGGTCAAGGAAAGGCCTGGCTGACCTAACCTCTGTGCTCTCCATCTGTCTGCTCCTGAAGCCAGACACTTTCAATAGGGGATTGTGTGTTCTTGGCTGGCTGCAAACAAATTGAAGTAATCACCAGGTCTAGGGGCCTTCTCAAAGTGTTTGCTAACATTCTCCCAGTGCCTCTGGAAGTCACAGTCAAAACCTCCTTCACTTCCCACCCCCGATGCTAGAATCATAAAAATGCAGTGGTTTCTTAACATGCCAAGGTTCACTGAACTTTCCAAATTCACTGGTAAAGCCACCAACTCCAGTCTTCAAATGCAGCTACTCAGCAAGTCATCTTTTCAGCCACATACTCCAGTTCTTCCCTTTCTTTGTTGAATTTTAGACTGCAAACTCTTCAGGGCAGGGACCTCTCCTCTTGTACTAAGCCCCATGCACTCTAATGGCACAATATCAACAATAAAGAGTACATAGAGTTGGTTGAGTATCAAGTTCACAGACACTGTTTAGAGAAACTGAAGAGCAGAATATCCTTGTGAACAAATCCAACAACAACAACAACAACAACAACAACAACATCCCTGTTCTTGAGCTTCTTTAGCACAGGAGTAGGGGACATTTAATCATATGTCCTTATGGGGAACCTTCCAGGGGCTGTGTGCCAGTAGTGGGTCTCTCCAGAAGGAAAAGTTGGAACAGTAATGGATGTGACTCTTCTCTTTGTACAGCCTGCTACATTCTAACCACACAAAAGGCAGATAGTTCTACACACCCAACTTTCATTCTGCCATCCAGGCCAGCAAAAAGTTGGGACTGAAGACCTATTTCAGCCAGGAGAGGGCATGACACAGGACCAATGAAGGGTGTGACATTGGGAGAGCTCTCACAGCCAGATAGAAAGGCCTGAAGGGACACATAGCCCTCTAAGCCTGAGGTTCCCGACCCCTGCACTATAGTGCTTTAAATTACACACAGCCTAAATCAGTTTTGATGCATTTAGGGGCAGAGCTGAGCTGGAAGATCCATGCCTGCCACCACTGCAATTCTGGTTCCAGAGGGGCCCCTCCTGTGTCTGTGGGGCCAGCATGAACCTCCAAATGGCTGTGGCAGGGGTAAGCATTATCATGGGCATCATGGAGCTTGGAGCTAATATATAAATTTCCTTGCCACTCCCCCCAGATATAACATTGCTATATCTGGGGCACTGTGGAAAATTAAAAGCTGGGGACACTATGTAGAAAAAATTAAATGGCAGCTCAAAGTCACCTAGCACTCATTGAAGCACCAGAAAATAGGATCCCAGCATAGCTGATGGGGTGGGCCTTGCTAGGCCACTGGTGCACCAGCAGCTGCCTGAGAATTCCAGGTGCTAGCAGTGGCCCTGTGACACTTTTGTAGTTTGGAATGTACACACAGTAGGAAGCTGAAGCCAATCTCAGCTTCTCAAGTATACCTGTGCAAGATGTATGTTTGCAAACACGTTTGTCATATTTACATTACAGTATACTTTCTTTTTTAAAAAAAGTTTACCCTCCTGAAAATGTAATGTGTGAAACAGCCCTTAGGTGTGCAGAATATTTTGTAACAGGTGTAATGAAACAAAATACATAAGAGCATATTGCTGGAAGGAGCTTTCGCACCAATTTGCTTCCTCCAAAATGAGAACAAATGATAAAACAGAAGCTGATGCAGCATTTTACTGAACAATGTGTGTGTGTGTGTGTGTGTGTGTGTGTGTGTGTGTGTATAGTACTTTTTTGGTATGTAAAGTAGAGAATTCTTTAAAAATAATTGTCAGGGTAGGACAGATATGTAGCATACCGGTGTGTGTGAGAGAGAACAATTTTCATCTCATACAAAATGGCAACATGCTTCTTTTCATTTGAAATATGAACCTGCACTATTAGAAACTGAGCAAACAAGTTAAGGAAAACAGGACCAGAGCTCTCCCCCTCCCCTGCAAAATATTTATTTTATTGATAAAAGCCATTGCAAGAGATGCATTCATTCCACACACACACACCCCTTTAAAGAGAAGATTCTATGTTTAGTGGAAGTGATTTGTTTCTGTTCTGCCTAAAGAAAGACTACCATTATTATTTCATATTGACAGAGGTTGTTAGAGTTAAATGACTGACCTTATTTGTTTGGGCTAAGATATACACCAGGATTCTCCATAAATATTCCAGGCTCCTCTCCTGAATTTTCCTTAAAAAAACAAAGAACCAAGTCGATAGCACTTGCACTTCCAGAGGTACTAGAGAAAATGGGCAGGTATTTTTTCCTGATCAATTCGGCAGCATACTAACTAGGACTTGTATTGTTTAGTCAATTAATTGCAGGAGTGATGCATCTCTTTGGCTCCACAGGCCAGATCTTTATCTGATCATAGCCTCATGAGCCAAATTTGACCTGTGAGCCTGGCCATCCACAAGTCAGTCACCTGATGTCACAATGATGTCAGGTGATTGACCACTTTGAAGTCCCTGAATCAGGACTTCAGACATCACACAGGACTTGCTAAGAGGACCTGGTCCACTTGAACAAACTGTGGATTTGTTTGCTAAAGTCACAAAATATGCAGCAAAGCAAAGCATGGAAATATAAGCTGCTACATCTTTAAAATATGCCGTTTAAAGTGAGTTCCAAAGTTTCTTCTTCCCCAAGCATAGGGAAAAACCACATGTTTGGTAAGTTAATAATTGCTTTACTTACAAACGCTTCAAAGCTCAGGTTCATGTGCTTTTCCACACATCAGTCAGAAAAGTTGCGCACACAGTAAACCTTGGCTTAGTTGCAAAGTGGTGAAAGTTCCTAAATTATTGAGATAGGAACTCAAGAGATCAGCTTGACAGGGCCATGCAGCTAAGCTGACACAACCAGCTTAGCCTCTTCACATATTGAGTTCATCAGGTAGACTTAAGGGGTTCAGGTAGACTGAAAGGGAACAAAGGCTTGACTACCTAGTTTCTCCCAAGGTGAACTAAGCCTGGCAGGACATCTTTCTGTATGGTATTAATCCCTTCATGCATTAATTAGACTTAAGCATGTGGGTTATATGAGGTTGGTTAACCCACAGTTTAAGGCAGCTTCCTATGTTGTGGAGGGTCATAAGTTCCCCCTCCCCACGTGTGCCTCCCTTGCCATCTTATTTGAAGGAATAGTACAACACCTTGTCCTCAAATTGCTACTCACCTGTTGTAATTAAATAAGCTGGCTCAGAAGAGGCTTTAGATGCATTTTCTTTTTTTTCTCTTTTTAAACAAAACTCCTCTTTCCTCTGTGTAAGAAGAGGCACCCTTGGAATATTTTAATAACCAAGTGGTAGCATTCTTAAATTAGAAGTGCGAGCCTGGAAAAGAAAGCAGGGGGAGAACACAAAACACAACCTGACATGCTCTTATTATAGCAATGCCCATACTCCTTCTTCAGGCACAGGAGAAATGAGACAATTTCTTAATTATGACAAGATTTGGGGGGGGGAGAGGGGGAAAGCTTACATTCTCTGTTTCTTCCTCTCCCCCTCCCCCATTTCCCAGACTGCAAAGTTCTCAAAAACCAAGCATAACACTTTAAATGAAAGGGAAGGGAACTGGAAGTATGTATTATTATTATTATTATTATTATTATTATTATTATTATGGTATCATCTGTTCTTCCCTCTCAATTCTGTTACTCTTCCCTTATTTTTTAAAATTGTATTTATTAAATTTATTTTCCACCCTTCATCCGAAAATCACAGGGTGGCTTACAACATAAAACACAAAATAAAAACTCAAAACATAACATAATGACAATATAGGAATAATTTTCTTATTGTCTGTCTCCCCACAGAAGCATGTTGTTATTGTTGGCCTCTCCCACCCCAACACATTTAAAAGGGCATGGATTGTTTAATTAGCAAAGGCCAGGTTGTAGAGGAACATTTTTGCCTGGCACCTAAAGCTATGTAATAAAGGGGCAGTACGTAATAAATTCTTTATTGGAGGAAAGAATGTCACAAACTGGGAGCTACCGCAGAAAAGGCCTATTCTTGTGTTGCCACCCTCCAGATATTTCATGGAGGGGGAACACAAAGAAGGGCCTTAGGTGATGATTGCAGGGTCAAGGTTGGATCATATGGGGAGAGGCGGTCTTGAGGCATTGCAGTTCTGAGCTGTTGACCTCACTTCTGTTTTTCCAAAGGAATAACATAGTGTGTGTGTGTGTGTGTGTGTGTGTGTGTGTGTGCATGTAAGTAATGAGATTTTCTTTTGTGAAATCATGCAGTTGCCTTTTGATCATTCACTCACATTTTCAGATTTAAAGAATTTTGCTAATGTATAGTTTACCAGATATATAGTTACTGCATTCACTGTAGAGGAGGAGTGGTTATACAATTTTGACTAAGAGAGGGATTTTGGGGTCATAGTCAACAGCTCAATGCAGACTTCAACCCAGAGTACTCTGCAGCAGCTGTGAAAAAAGCAAATTTCATGTGGAATTCGTGGTATGGAAATACCGTTATACATATCTCTGGTGTGACCACACTTGGAATACAGTGGTGCCTCGCAAGACGAAATTAATTCGTTCCGTGAGTTTTTTCATCTAGCGAATTTTTCGTCTTGCGAAGCACGAAATCCCATAGGAATGCATTGAAATTCAATTAATGCGTTCCTATGGTCAAAAAAAGTCCAATCAAAGCCAAATTCGGTACAACAAGAGTTTATTAACTGCTCTTTAAAGTCACACATACTTTAAAGAGCATATCAAAAATTGAAGGAACAATAAATTAAGTTTCTAAACATGACAGGAAAAACATTTAAAAATCAAAAAGGGTACATTACATTTTCTAAGACTCTGGGGGACCACTCGAAGAAGGTTCCTCTTCCACTCTTTGCTTCTTGCTGAGGAACCTGTCCATGGTCTGCTGCTTCATCCGCCGTTTCAGCAGCTCCCTGAGAGGCGACATGACCGTCGTATCAAAAATGTTCGCTTGGTCATGTGCCACGTGCTTGTCAGGGTGGTGCCGCTCTGCAAAAGCCTGCACCTCATTCCACTTCTGGCAAATGTCCCTCAGTTCTTTGGAGGACAGCCGTTCCTCAGTTGCTTCCTCCTCTTCCAGCGAGGCCTGCTCCTGCGCAACCTCTGACTGCAGTGCAACCAGCTCCTGGGTGGTCAGCTCGTCGTCGTGCTCCTCCACCAGCTCGCAAACGTCCTCCTCTGTGACCTCCAGGCCCAAGGTCCTCCCCAAGGCAACAATGTCCTGCACCACTGTCGACTCTGGTGCATCAGAGTCACTTGGTGCCACACAGTCCGGCCACAGGCTGCGCCAAGCGCAATTCAAATTCCTCTGGCTGATCCCCTTCCAGGCCGTGGTGATCATCTTCAAGCAGGTGACGATGTCGAAGTGGTCCTTCCAGAATTCCCGCAGGGTGATGGTGGTGCAATCAGTCACCTCGAAGCATCGCCTGAAAAGCTCCTTGGTGTAGAGTTTCTTGAAATTGGCGATGACCTGCTGATCCATCGGCTGGAGCAGTGGCGTGGTGTTAGGCGGCAGGAACATGATGTTGATGAAGCTGAACTCCTCCAACAAGTCCACCTCAAGGCCTTTAGGATGAGCAGGAGCATTGTCCATCAGAAGCAAAGCCTTCAGCGGCAGGTCATTGTCCAGCAGGTACTGTTTGACAGCAGGGCCAAAGGCAAGATTGACCCAGTCCACAAACAGCACACGTGTGACCCAAGCCTTGCTGTTGGATCGCCACATGACACTCAGCCGCTCCTTGTCGACCTTGTGTTTCTTGAAGGCCCGTGGGTTCTCCGAGTGGTACACCAGCAGGGGCTTGATCTTCAGGTCGCCGCTTGCGTTGGCACAGAAGAGCAGGGTCAGACGGTCCTTCATGGGCTTGTGGCCAGGCAACTTGGCCTCCTCCTGAGTGATGAAAGTCCTTTTGGGCATCCTCTTCCAAAACAGCCCGGTCTCGTCGCAGTTGAAGACCTGCTGTGGAACGTAGCCCTCCGTCTTCACAACCTCCAGGAACTCCAAGGCAAAGTCTTCAGCCGCAGGAACATCAGAACTGGCAGCCTCTCCATGCCTGACCACGCTGTGGATTCCGGATCTTGCCTTGAACCGGTCAAACCAGCCTCTGCTTGCCTTGAAGACTTCTGGCTCGGCCGAGGTTCCTGGCTGTTCCCGGATGAGGTCTGCGTGCAAGGCCTTGGCCTTCTCACAAATCACGGCCTCAGTCACTGTGTCCCCTGCACGCTGCTTCTCTTCTATCCAGATGAGGAGCAACTTCTCGACCTCCTCCAGAACAGCTGGGCGGTTCTTCACGATCCTGGTGACTCCCTTGGCTGCATCAGTCGCAAGGATCTTCTCCCTCATCTTCAGGATGGTCCCGATGGTCGATGGGTTCCTGCCGTACTCCCTGGCGAGGTCCGTCACACGCATTCCACCGTCGTGCTTCCGGATGATCTCCTTCTTCATCTCCAGCGTCACCTTCTCCTTCTTCCTCTCGCCGGCCTCCGCAGCAGCAGCAGTCTTCTTGGGTCCCATGGCAGCACAGCTGTTACCTTTGTAAAACTCAGAAAAAGAAAAATTAAATCAGCAATTCAAACCCACAACCAAGTCCTTGAATTCCAAACACCCAACCCAAAATCCAAAAACCCCAAAAAAAGTTTTAAAAGTTTAACTTACGAAATGGCTGCAAATCACCAAAGTCTTCAAAATCCTCAAATGGCTGCAAAAGAAATTTTGGGAAAGCTTTAAAAATCACCAAAGTCTTCAAAAACCTCAACTGTTCCCCCAGCCCCTCCCCAACTGTTGCAAACCCCTCCCCAACTGTTGCAAACCCCTCCTCAACTGTTCCCCCAGCCACCCAGCACACAGAAATTCAAAACCCAGAAACTTTTTCAAAAAAAACAACATGGCCCAATGGTTACAGAAAACCATAAAAAATTCAAAAAAAGCACACAAGCTCCCAGATTCCTGCAAACCCCTCCTCAGCTGTTCCCCCATCCACCCAGCACACAGAAATTTAAAACCCAGAAACTTTTTTTCAAAAAAACAACAAGGCCCAATGGTTACAGAAAACCAAAAAAATTCAAAAAAATCACACAAGCTCCCAGATTCTTGCAAACCCCTCCCCAGCTGTTCCCCCAGCCACCCAGCACACAGAAATTCAAAACCCAGAAACTTTTTCAAAAAAAAACAACATGGCCCAATGGTTACAGAAAACCATAAAAATTCAAAAAAAGCACACAAGCTCCCAGATTCTTGCAAACCCCTCCCCAGCTGTTCCCCCAGCCACCCAGCACACAGAAATTTAAAACCCAGAAACTTTTTAAAAAAAAACAACATGCCCCAATGGTTACAGAAAACCATAAAAATTCAAAACAAAGCCCACAACCTCCCAGAGTCTTGCAAACCCCTCCCCAGCTGTTCCCCCAGCCACCCAGCACACAGAAATTTAAAACCCAGAAACTTTTTCAAAAACAACAACATGGCCCAATGGTCACAAAACATCAACAAACTACAAAACAAAGCCCACCAGCTCCCCGATTCTTGCAAACCCCTCCCCAGCTGTTCCCCCATCCACCCAGCACACAGAAATTTAAAACCCAGAAACTTTTTCAAAAAACAACAACATCGCCCCATGGTCACAAAAAATCATAAAAATTCCAAAAAAAGCACACAAGCTCCCAGATTCTTGCAAACACCTCCCCAGCTGTTCCCCCATCCACCCAGCACACAGAAATTTAAAACCCAGAAACTTTTTTCAAAAAACAACAACATGGCCCAATGGTCACAAAAATCATAAAAATTCAAAAAAAGCACACAAGCTCCCAGATTCTTGCAAACACCTCCCCAGCTGTTCCCCCATCCACCCAGCACACAGAAATTTAAAACCCAGAAACTTTTTTCAAAAAAAACAACATGGCCCAATGGTCACAAAAATCATAAAAATTCAAAAAAAGCACACAAGCTCCCAGATTCTTGCAAACACCTCCCCAGCTGTTCCCCCATCCACCCAGCACACAGAAATTTAAAACCCAGAAACTTTTTCAAAAAACAACAACATGGCCCAATGGTCACAAAAATCATAAAAATTAAAAAAGCACACAAGCTCCCAGATTCTTGCAAACACCTCCCCAGCTGTTCCCCCATCCACCCAGCACACAGAAATTTAAAACCCAGAAACTTTTTTCAAAAAACAACAACATGGCCCAATGGTCACAAAAAATCATAAAAATTCAAAAAAAGCACACAAGCTCCCAGATTCTTGCAAACAACTCCCCAGCTGTTCCCCATCCACCCAGCACACAGAAATTCAAAAATTCAAAGCCAGATTTTTTTTAAAAAAAATAAACATGGCCCAATGGTCACAGAAAATCATAAAAATGCAGAAAAAAACCACACAAGCTCCCAGATTCTTGCAAACCTCTCCCCAACACCAAGTCCTTGAATTCTAAACACCCCAACCCAAAATCCCAAAAACCCAAAAAAGTTTTAAAAGTTCAACTTACCAAACAGCTGTAGAAGAAGTTTTGGAAAAGCTTCAAAAATCCAGCAAACTCTTTAAAAAGCTCAGAAAGGCCACCACACCGCGTGCAATGTGTTGCTCCTCGAGGTCAAGTCGCAACTGCACCTCTTCAAGCAATGCACCCTGGGTTTTAACGGTTTTACGAACAAGGAAACAAACTTGCAAGACGTTTCGTCTTGCGAAGCAAGCCCATAGGGACATTCGTCTTGCGAAGCAACTCGAAAACGAAAAAACCTTTCGTCTTGCGAGTTTTTCGTTTTGCGAGGCGTTCGTCTTGCGGGGCACCACTGTACTGTTTCAAGGTTTGGTTGCCTCATCTCAAAAAGAATATTGTAGAGCTGCAAAAAATCCAGAAAAGGCCAACAAAAATTATCCATGATGCTGGAGCAACTCCTTTATGAGGAAAGATTACATGTGGGGCTTTTTCGCTTAGAAAAAAAAAATGAGTAAGTTGCAGACACACAATAGAAGCGTATAAAATTATGTAAGATGCAGAACATGTGAATAGGGTTGGTTTTTTCCTCCCTCTCTCATAATACTAGAAACCAGGGGTAATGCAGTGAAGCTGAATGGTGGAAGATTTAAGGCAAACAAATAGGAAATAGGAAACCAATGCATGCCAAATCAGACCATTGGTCCATCTATCTCAGTACTATCTGCACTGCCAAGCAGCAGCTCTCCAGGGTTTCAGACAAGGAATGTTTAGAGATTATGGGAATGGAAGCCGGGAACTACTACATGCATAGCAGTTGCTCTATCACTGAGCTACAGTCCCCCTATTAGTTGTAGGCAGCTTTCAGAAATCAGTCAGGGAGGTAAGAGTCAAGAAGCACACAACAGTCTTGAAGACTTTATTGCTCCAGCAAAATATCAGGCCACCCCAAAGGGTCCCCCCCCCCATATAGCCCAGGGGTCAACCTGAATGGGCAGGGTCTGGATCCTGACAATATTTCACTGTTAGGAAGATGCTTCAAGCTGTAGTTCTAATAATTTACTACATGGGGCAGTCACACACAGAATCTGGTTCTAAACTGATCAGTTCTTGACATGGTTACTGGCTGAAGTTTCTACAGAAGTCATGCAGAATTTCCAACTCAGGAAACAGATTAATTTTAGTAGTTCGGGAGGATCATGCAACCTTTTGAGTTACACTCGAACATTACACCTAAACTGATTAGAATCTACAGAGTCCTCACAAACTTGAAGATTGCTACCCAAGGAGAACTTGGCCAATTGATAGTTGTCAATTTATATAAATAAAGAAAAAAATAAAAGAAATTTATATTTCTTCATCCCTGGAATCAGTATCATATAGTAAATTACATAGTTTGGATAAGCAGATTTCTACAATGTTTGTCTCTGCCTGAAAGTATAACAATTTTATTTTTATTTTTGGTTTCTTCTCCTGAAATACTTCTGTGTTTGGAGGGGGGCCCCCCACATTATACTGTATAGCAACTGCAAATACGTAGATTTAAGAGAATGTGTTGCAGCTGCTTGGATCAGCCCAACAAAAGGCTTTATGTAAGAAATGAATATTCCTTGTATTTTATTTTTTAAAAATAATTATTTTAAAGTGTAGAATGTGCTTTGGCATTTGCAAGAAATAGAGAAAATCAACAGTTCTATTTAAAGGAGCGTTGTTGTCTTACACTGAAAATGGTTAGCTCTGCAGATACTAGAAAGGAAACTCTCACATCTGCCTCAGCGATTTTCTCAAAAACCTGTTATGTTACATGAGTGTAAAAAAAGAAAAAGAAGTTAGAAAGCTTTATTTTATGATTAATTGTCACTCACGTTTTTTGCTAGCAAGTGCTGACATGATTTCCAAACAAGCCTTATGCTGTGCAAATCCTTGTTTGTATCTGAAAGTTTGGGAACTACTATATATTTTTCTATTTCTACAGAAAGCTATTGTAGTATTCAAGTATGTGTGTACATATATTCCACACTTCTTCCTTTAAATAAGAGAATAAAGCAACAAACCCGCCTGAAGTCTAATTCAAAGCAAATTCCTCCAGAAATATTTTTTTGGTGATGTAATCTTCTACCTATGTACTCTACCTCTTTCTGGATGCATTTTTATTGGTGGGGTGCTAACCGTGTAAAATCAGTGCTTTTTTCTAAAAAATGTTTAGGGGTACTCTCATTTTGACTCAAGAAAATCACCATTTTATAGTTCAAATTGGGGAAAATAAATACAATAAATGGACAAAAGTACAAGGATTCACAAAATGTTTAGGGGTATGCATCCCCCTGCATCCCCCCAGAAAAAAGCACTGTGTAAAGTAATGCAACCCAATCAATAAATGTGAGAGGTATGTATGTAGCTGTCACTTCATCATCACCATCATTATGCTTATAGTGCCATTTTAGGTGTCCAAAGTGATGGTGGCAAGGAAAAAAATAGGTGTAAAAAGAGAATTCTTTGGATGCTAAGATCCAGGTATGGGGCAAGTACTCTATGGTGAGAGAACACCAGCAGAGATTTAAAACCACAAAACATGCAGTGAAGTAAAGTGTAGAAAGAGAGGCTGTTAGACCTTTAAAATATGTCTTTCTAAGTGAGTTCCAAAATAGTCCCCTCTTCCGCCAGCATAGGAAGAAACCACATGTTTACTAAGTTTTAAATGGTTTACTTACAAACTCTCTAGTGGGCAGGTACATGTGCTTTTCCATATGTCAGCCAAAAAGCACAGGCAGTAAAACGTGGCTTAGTTACCGTGGTGAAAGTTCCTGAATTATTGGTATGGGAACTAAATAATGGCTTGTAGAAGCCAGGCGGTGTCTTCTTGGAGCCACCATCACATCACGTTGAGCTTCTCAGGTAGACTGAGGGGAACAAAGTCTTGATTACCTAGTCCTGCCCAAGGCTGAGTTAAGCCTGGCAGGACAGCTTACTTTATGGTCTTAACCCCTTCATGCATAATTAGACTTAAGCATGTTCATGGAATCATAGAATTGTAGAGTTGGAAGGGACAATGAGGGTCATCTAGTCCAACCCCCTGCAGTGCAGGAAACTTTCACCCAACATGGGGCTCGAACCCATGACCCTGAGATTAAGAGCCTCATGCTCTCCCAACTGTGCTGTCCCAGGCATGTTGGTTATATGAAGCTGGTTACACCACAAACCCCTTCTCAGGCAAATATAACAATTGCATGCACAATTAATGAACCACCCAGAGTCCCATCTTGACTCAAAAGTTCTCAGAACTGTCTCTTGGTAGTGGCTTGGTCAGAATGTTGGCTGCTATTTCTTTGGTTTGACAATGCACCAATTCAACAAGTCAATCTGACATTCCTCTTCTCTCGCTGCTTACTTGGTGTGCTGTCATGGGAGGGCGGTGAGTGGATAGGGACAGATCCCTCTTGCTCAGAAGTCTACAATGATCACTTGCAGAGACTCATATAAAATTAAACTGAGGTCTGCATGTTGCCCACTCCTGAACTGAAGCACAACTATAAAGTTTGGCTGATTAAACTCTGAGGGGGTTTTATTTTAAAAAAATCATATCCGATATTTTCTCCATAGAGCTCAAGGTGGGATACATGGCTCTCACATCTTGCATTTTATCCTCACAACAACCTTGTGATGTAGGTTAGGCTGAGAGACAATGACTGGCCTAAGGTCAAACAATGAGCTTCATAGCTGGGTGGGGATTTGAACCCTGGTATTCCAGGTCTTTAATTGCAATTCTATGGTTATTTTGCTGTTTCATTGTTAGCTACATTAAGGATCTTTTCTTGATTGAAAAGTGAGATAAAAGGTAAATTAAATAAAGAGGTGGGCTCAAAAGGCCTCAGTTAACTTCTTCTGTAGGTCTCCAGGGTTTCAAGAAAGTATATCTCCCAACCCTACCTGGAGATGCTAGGGAATGAACCTGTGACCTTCTGCTTGCAAGGCAGACAATTACCACTGAGCTATGGCCCTTCCCTATAGACAGACATACCCCCATTAATTTATCCTCTCCCTTTCATCTACCTTAACAATTCTCAAATAATATGTATTTTAGAGTTACTGAAGGTGAATCAAATCTATAAAAATGCTGGAATCCCCCAAAGTTTAGATTTGGAACAAGTCCCCAGGATCTGATAAAAGGGATCTAAGCAGGAAAAGCCATGTCAGAGGAAACCTGGCAATGAAATACTTTTAACAGTCTATGTGGTAAGATAGTCTATATGCTGGACTGAAGTTAAGAATAAATTTGCTAATTTGTGGTTAACCTGGTCAAGAGCATAACGTCCATTCTCTTGAGGCCTCTTTGCAGGAAACACCTTTGGAAATAGGGAACTGAACTTGGATGATTTAGCTAATGCACAACTAACGGCTGTGCTTGGTGCAACATACAGCAAATGAAGAAAAGTGTGGCAAGGGTCATGTCTGGGGCAACCAGAATGGCTACCCACCTACATAGACACCTTGCTTAAAGCTGCTTGTAAAAGCTGTAGAATTTGGTGCTGACACACTGGACAATATGGCTTTGGGGGTTTTTTTGCCTATAAGAACTAGCCAGGACTAGACTCAGGTCAGAGATCCAGGGAAGCACCATCATTAGAAAAACTGACTGGGGATATGTTCAAATTAGGTGCTTGAAACACTGTGAGGTCACCCATCCACCTCTTGCTGCATTTCAAGCCACATTTGTTCACCTCAGAGAGGGGTTAGGGGTTTTTTCATCTGACATACATGAGATTTCGGGTTTTCTCCACTCCTGGAACCCCACTGGACCTCTTATTTGTTATATTATTAATTATTATTATTATTATTATTATTAACAATATACTGCCCATTATCCTAGGGTCACAGGGCGGCTTACACTAAAAACACGAAAATACATAGCATAGTAACAAACAAACAAAATACCCTCACCCCAAACTGTCATTTGTGCTTGCGCACTTATCTGTGGCTCTGCAACGGCTGATATGGTATTGTAAGTAAGCAGTAATGTGAGCATACCCTATGAGAGAGAAAGAGAAAAACATACATAAATACATACATAAAGTTATTTGTGTGCCACCTTTCCATAGTTAAAACCATGCTCAAGGTGGCTTACAACATGAAAAAAATACATAATTACAAACATAACACAAGCAGTCATAAACAATAAAACATCCAAAAGGACACAACCAAATTAAACAATTTCTGTTATGTTTTTCTATATGCTGGAAGCTGCTCAGAGTGGCTGGGGCAACCCAGTCAGATGGGTGGGCTACAAATATTGCTTATTATTATTATTATTAAATCATAATAAGGTATAAAATAAAGATACAAAAAATGATATCAAAACCAGCAACAGCAACAGCAACAACAATCCCTGTGCCAACAAAAAACCCTAAATAACACCCCAACCCAAAAGTCTGTTCAGTCTCAGCTTTTGTAGCTGGAGTCAGGGCCCTGCACTCCCAAGCGAGATGGAAACATACACAGTTAGGTGCATAATCTAAAAACAAAACACTTTTTATTTTATCCCTTTTCTTCATAATAACACAAAAAGCTGCCTTATACCGAGTCAGATCTAGCTGATTATTGGTCCAACTTGCTCTGTATTGCCTACACTGACTGGCGGCAGCTCTGTGATTTCACACAGGGTTCTCTCCCAAACTTAACTGGCTGGGGATTGAACCTGGGACCTTCTGTGTGCAAAACATATGCTCTGCCACTGAGCCATGACCCTTTTCCAAGGTCATATGCAACTTTCGCACACTTAATCCATTCACCAGTTCAAAACTTTTTTTAAAAAAATATTTATAAACTGCACTTTCCTAACAACATCAACAACAAATTGTTGTTGTTTAGTCATTTAGTCGTGTCCGACTCTTCGTGACCCCATGGACCAGAGCACGCCAGGCACTCCTGTCTTCCACTGCCTCCCGCAGTTGCGTCAAACTCATGCTGGTAGCTTCGAGAACACTGTCCAACCATCTCGTCCTCTGTTGTCCCCTTCTCCTTGTGCCCTCCATCTTTCCCAACATCAGGGTCTTTTCCAGGGAGTCTTCTCTTCTCATGAGGTGGCCAAAGTATTGGAGCCTCAGCTTCACGATCTGTCCTTCCAGTGAGTACTCAGGGCTGATTTCCTTCAGAATGGAGAGGTTTGATCTTCTTGCAGTCCACGGGACTCTCAAGAGTCTCCTCCAGCACTATAAGTTCCAATTGTAGTAAAAACACCAGTACTGTAGAAACGTCCATAAATGCTGGTTGGTTCAAAGAAAATTCGCATTGCATCTAAAAGAAGGAATGATTCCTGACCAATTTTACTGGTCACTGGTCAGAGATTGCCACATGAAAGGCTTGGGCCCTTGTAAAGACCAACTGAATCTCAGGGTCATGGGGTGTCTGTAAAAAGCAAAAAAAGAAAGGGTTCTGACCTCCCTTTGTCTCCTCAGCCTGTTCCTCAGACCCTTGTTGGCATAAAAGAGTCCATGAGAAAAGTATCCTTGCAGAGTTTTATTCTTAAAAGGCTTTGTACAAAAGCGACTGACCAACTGTACACACCAACACTAACTAACCAACCAACCAACCCAACACAGCACAGCCAACCCAACAACAAGCTAACATTTCTCACTCTATATATACAACTCAGTGCAGGCCGCTGACTCATGCTGACCCAGCTTTATTCGCATTAAAGAAACAGCGGCCATTTTAGCCGTGACATGGGGAACCACAAGTAGCGATCTTAGGTGATCAGATGGTCCTCAAGGCACTTTGGGCCCAAGTAGTTTTTAGCTTTGTGAATTTACATAAGAACCTTGAACCTGGCCTGATACCAAATTGGCAGGTCTATCTCAGCAATAGAGTAATGTGTTGCCAGGATCCTCGTCCTGTGAGCAGTCTGGCCACTGTATTCTGCACTAGCTACAACTTCCAAAATGGAAAGTAACTCCACATAAAGCATGTTACAGTAATCAAGTCTTATACGATAGACAAAGATTGCTTCAATTGTTTGACATTAATAATTATAACCTGTGGCTTTAAATGGTAATAGGTTTACTTACTCACTTATAAAGATGTTTGGGACTGACTGACTTGCTCACTTGAGTGAAAATCAAAATTATTATGGAACTTCCAGACCACCTAGAAAGCTAAAATTTGGTGTGCACAGAATTCCAGGCACTTACTGGAATTATCTGCACTAGAGTCTTACATTTGCTGTAGATTTTAGCCATATTCATTATTGCTGGAGTGAGACAAAATCTACAAGGACCTTTTGACGTTTTCATCCAAGTGTTCCACTGCTACTTTCCTTGGGGGCAGGACAATTTTCCAGCTCAGATTCAGAGCTGGAAAAATGGGTGTGGGGAGGTGCAGAAGAATAGGCTGAAGAATAAAACATTTGGTTATAAAAGCTGCATTGCAAGTATAGAAAATGTTTTCTTGCAGGCCCACCTAGTGCATAAGCTTGCAACTGATATGTGACATGTGGAGACTACTGGCTTGTGAGAGACCAATCTCTCTCACACAAAGAGAGATTATTGTTGATGAAAAAATACAAAGATGTTTATTATAGGAAGTACATAACTTGAATAGGATAGAGGTTCTAGTTCTAAGCTACTTTACTTAAGCTAGAGAAAACAAAGGCAGCCATGCTTGACCCTTTGTTCTCAGGAGAATAGCTCCAAGTTGACCTTCTGGCTTGAGGTCCAGTGTGTGAGAGAGGCAGAAGTTGGAGAGGATGCCAGCTAAGAATGTCAGAGCCCATCCACACTTTTGTTTTCCCTGTGTGTTCTAGTATTTGTTTCCATCTATTATGACAGGTCTGAGAGGTTTCTTCTTCTTCTTCTTTTGCTCTGCTGCTTTTCCCAGGTAGGAAAACCCAATGTTTACTGCTGAATCAAATCTTATGAAATCCATGGAAAACCCAAAGGGAGTTTTGTTCCTCTTCCTAAATTGCTCCCAAAATAGCTCCTGAACAGGTTTCCTTGTTCTTTCTGGGGAGTGGTGTTTGGGGTAGTCTGCTCCCACTCTTCTTATTTCCCCGCCTACCCCTCAAGCATCATTTTTCAGTTGTCTCTCTTGTTTCTGAGCATCTGCATTGAAGTTCTGCATGCTTACTGGGGGGAATCTGTTTAGCACTCATGTAGAATTTTTGATTCTATGGTACATGCGCAAAACACGTATATTTCTTCTGAATTTTATACTCATCTGTTTTCAGTTTATATGTCACAGGTTTCTTTTTCTGTTTTCCTTGCCCTACCTTTTAAACTTTAATAAGTATTGATAGTGGAAATGTTTCAGCTCCTTTGTATGTTGAACATCAAAGCACAAAACCAGGGGAGGATTCCACTTCCTTGCAGAAAATTGGGGGCCAAATCTGCAGGTGGCAAAGTCCTCTTCCCCATTGTATCCTATCATGTAATTCTTTGGGGTGTGTGTATGTCCAGGTGCTTCTTATACATTCCACAGCCCCACTTGCAATGTACAGTGGTACCTCAGGTTACATATGCTTCAGGTTACATACGCTTCAGGTTACAGACTCTGCTAACCCAGAAATAGTACCTCGGGTTAAGAACTTTGCTTCAGGATGAGAACAGAAATCGTGCTCCAGCGGTGCAGCAGCAGCAGGAGGCCCCATTAGCTAAAGTGGTGCTTCAGGTTAAGAACAGTTTCAGGTTAAGAACGGACCTTTGGAACGAATTAAGTACTTAACCCGAGGTACCACTGTACATTGTTGGTTGTTTGCAAGGGTGGGGAGAGAAAAGAACTGAAAAGCAACTTTTGCTTTATTTCTTATCTTTATTCCTTTTTTTTTACTTGTATTGTGTAGACTCTTCCACAGGTGTCCAAAAAATATTATGTTATTCAATTCAACTCTAGGATCAAGGCTTCCATTACAGTTGTAGGAGAAAAGGGTTTTCCTTAGACAAGCTGTCATTAACTGTAGAAATCCACCCCTCATGTGCAGTTGACCTGCACTGATACCTGAATGAATCTGGTATGTTCTGCAAACTTTGTGAACAAGTTGACATTCCTGAGCAATAAGCTCTACCACAGAATGATGGCCCCTCCCCTTTCCCTTTGGGGTTATTCCCAGGCGGTTTATTTTTCTATTTACCAGATGCTTTACACCCACAAACCACACAGGAAGCCTGCTGAGGACTGTTAGACCAGGGGCTAGCAAAGCCAGTGGAAATGACACACTACCCTTAACAGCGGCTGTAACCCACAGTTCCTGTGCTTGCTGGTCATTCTTCCTTGACTCAGTCCTCTCCCTCTTGCTTCTGGTTGAGTCCTAGAGGGCTACATCAGACATGGCAACAGCTGCCCTCTGGATGGAGCCCTAGTGCCACAGCTTAAGCGAAAGGGCTGCAGCTCTGTGGTAGAGCATCTGCTTTGCAGGCAAAAAGTTCCAGGTTCAGTTCCCTGACATCCAGATCAAGGGCAGGGGAACTTTATCACCCCAAGGGCAACCTTCTGAGAGCCACATGCCACTGGTAGGTGGGGCCAGAGGCAAAAATGAATGGTGCAATTAATGTAAATGTTACCTTTGTACAGCAGACTAGTTTCTATGCTACCATTACAAAAACACCAGAAACCATGATTTTTTTATTGACTTGCCTAAGATCCAGGACAAAGTGCCGCCTTTCAGAAATCTCCCCGGATGTTTTTCCGCCTTTGAAATCCCGGTAATGTTTGGGAAAATCAGAACGTATGGCAGCCTTATCTATGCATACCCCTCTCTGTTCTCCAATGCAGACAAGCAATGGACATGATCAGAATTCCAGCCAAGCAGGGGCGAATGAAGGCGTCGTAACACCCGGGGTGGGGCATCGCTACGTACAACGCATGTGCTGTACGTAGTGACGCCGCACATGCGCTGTACATAGTGGTTTGCCGCCGGCGGTGCTCCAGCGCTGTACAGACAGTGCCGGGATCCTTCCGTCGCCACTATAGCCACGAACGGAGGATCCTCTACATGCAGCTGTAGCGGTGATGGAGGGATCCCACATTTGACACTCCAGTACACATGCATGAACTATCTCAAATCTAAGGATAGAACTTACGCATTGCCTGAGATGCAATGCTTTTTGGTGGAGCCATTTCATGTACCATGGTGCATGCATTGCTTTATCTCTCTGTGCTTGAAAACTAGCAGGTAAAGTGCATGCCAATGGTGGGCAGGGCCAGAGGCAAAAGTGGGTGGAGCAATGGATGTGACTCTTACCTTTTGCACAGTAGGCTTCATTCCAGCCATGTACAGCCCAAACGTTTCGGCAAACTTCTCAGCATGCACACATCTCTCCAATAGATACAAGTAAGAGGCCTTATTACAGCCCAACATTCCAGCCAGACACTCAAGGACAGCAGGGAATGTGGCCCTCCAGGCTTATCTATTTGGCCCTTCTCCAGGTGAGACTCCCTGTGCCTAGGTCACAAAGCCCTCCTGGCACTATTCCATGTCTTCTTTGTCTGTCTGGGATGTGTCTATGAACTGTGATAAGACTTCTTGCTTGCCTGGATGAAGATACATGAAGATACGGTTTGGATTCTTAGATCACGGACTGCAGTTTCTTGAAGATGGACTTCTGGCAAGCGATGGGCTGCACCTCACAACGGTTGGGAGAAATGTTTTTGCCAAAAATCTCAGAAACCTCATCAGGAGGGCTTTAAACTGACTAATGTGGGGGAGGAAGACAGTGCTCCTGAAGGTAGGAGTCTATCAATTGATGAAGATGATCATCCAAATGTCATAGACCAAATGGAGCAAACAGCACACAGACCTAGTGGTGGGAGGAAAAAATCCTTAAATAAGAGTCACGGGGAATGATTAATGGACTTCAATGTCTGTACACTAATGCGCAAAGCATGGGAAATAAACAAGATGAGCTTGAGCTCTTGGTACAGCAAACTAAATATGACATAATAGGCATCACTGAAACCTGGTGGGATAAGTCCCACGATTGGAATGTAATAATAGGGGGATACAATCTATTTCAGAGAAACAGACCAGACAAGAAAGGAGGAGGAGTGGCGTTATATGTCAGGGATGTGTATACCTGTGAAGAGATCCAAGATTTAGAACCTCAAAGCCAAAGTGAGAGCATTTGGGTCAAAATTAAGGGAGAGAAGAATAACAGTGACCTCATTGTGGGAGTTTACTATAGATCCCCAAGCCAAACGGAGGACATAGATGATGCCTTCCTGGAACAGATGGCCAAGCATGCAAAAGGAAGGGAGATAGTAGTAATGGGGACTTCAATTACCCGGATATTTGTTGGATGTCAAACTCAGCCAAGAGCATAAGGTCAAACAGATTCCTCACTGGCCTTGCAGACAACTTCATTGTCCAGAAAGTGGGAGAAGCAACAAGAGGAACAGCCATTTTAGATCTGGTCCTAACCAATGTTGATGACCTGGTTAGTGGGGTAGAAGTGGAAGGATCATTAGGCACGAGTGATCATGCTCTTCTGAAGTTTACTATACAGCGGAAAGGAGCAGCCAAGCATACTAGGACTCAATTTCTTGACTTTAAGAAAGCTGACTTCATAAAACTTAGGGAAGTGCTGGGTGAGATCCCATGGACAGTAATACTAAAAGGAAAGGGAGTTCATGATGGCTGGGAGTTTGTTAATATGTATATACTAAAAGCACAACGTCAGGCAATACCAATGAGACAGAAACATGGAAGGTGCCTAAAGAAGCCAGGGTGGCTATCTAAAGAACTTTTAACTGAGTTAAGATTAAAAAAGGATGTGTACAAAAATGGAAAAGGGGGGAAACCACCAAAGAGGAATTCAAACAAATAGCCAGCACATGTAGACACAAAGTCAGAAAAGCTAAAGCACAGAATGAACTCAGGCTTGCTAGAGAGGTTAAAAGCAACAAAAAAGGCTTTTATGGGTATGTCCGTAGCAAAAGGAAGAACAAAGAAACAGTGGGGTCACTCAGAGGAGAAGATGGTGAAATGCAAACAGGGGACACAGAAAGAGCTGAACTCCTCAATGCCTTCTTTGCCTCAGTCTTCTCCGATAAAGAAAAAATGCCCGACCTGAAGAATTTGGAGCAAATGATTCAGCAAAGGAAACACAGCCCAGAATAACTAAGGAGATAGTACAAGAATACTTGGCTAGTTTAGATGTATTCAAGTCTCCAGGGCCAGATGAACTGCATCCAAGAGTATTAAAAGAACTGGCAGATGTGATCTCAGAACCACTGGCAGTCATCTTTGAGAATTCCTGGAGAACAGGTGAAGTCCCGGCAGACTGGAGGAGGGCAAATGTTGTCCCTATTTTCAAAAAGGGGAAAAGAGAGGACCCAAATAATTACCGCCCAGTCAGTCTGACATCAATACCAGGGAAGATTCTGGAGCAGATCATTAAGCAAACAGTCTGTGAGCACCTAGAAAGGAATGCTGTGATCACCAATAGTCAGCATGGATTTCTGAAAAATAAGTCATGTCAGACTAACCTGATCTCATTTTTTGACAGAATTACAAGCCTGGTAGATGAAGGGAATGCAGTGGATGTAGCCTACCTTGATTTCAGCAAGGCATTTGACAAGGTGCCTCATGATATTCTTTGTAAAGAAGCTGGTAAAATGTGGTCTTGACTATGCTACCACTCAGTGGATTTGTAACTGGCTGACTGACCGAACCCAAAGGGTGCTCATCAATGGTTCCTCTTCATCCTGGAGAAGAGTGACTAGTGGGGTGCCACAGGGTTCTGTCTTGGGCCCGGTCTTATTCAACATCTTTATCAACGACTTGGATGATGGACTCAAGGGCATCCTGATCAAATTTGCAGATGACACCAAATTGGGAGGGGTGGCTAACACCCCAGAGGACAGGATCACACTTCAAAACGACCTTGACAGATTAGAGAACTGGGCCAAAACAAACAAGATGAATTTTAACAGGGAGAAATGTAAAGTATTGCACTTGGGCAAAAAAATGAGAGGCACAAATACAAGATGGGGACACCTGGCTTGAGAGCAGTACATGTGAAAAGGATCTAGGAGTCTTGGTTGACCACAAACTTGACATGAGCCAACAGTGTGACGCAGCAGCTAAAAAGGCCAATGCAATTCTGGGCTGCATCAATAGGAGTATAGCATCTAGATCAAGGGAAGTAATAGTGCCACTGTATTCTGCTCTGGTCAGACCTCACCTGGAGTACTGTGTCCAGTTCTGGGCACCACAGTTCAAGAAGGACATTGACAAACTGGAGCGTGTCCAGAGGAGGGCAACCAAAATGGTCAAAGGCCTGGAAACGATGCCTTATGAGGAACGGCTAAGAGAGCTGGGCATGTTTAGCCTGGAGAAGAGGAGGTTGAGGGGTGATATGATAGCCATGTTCAAATATATAAAAGGATGTCACATAGAGGAGGGAGAAAGGTTGTTTTCTGCTGCTCCAGAGAAGCGGACACGGAGCAATGGATCCAAACTACAAGAAAGAAGATTCCACCTAAACATTAGGAAGAACTTCCTGACAGTAAGAGCTGTTCGACAGTGGAATTTGCTGCCAAGGAGTGTGGTGGAGTCTTCTTCTTTGGAGGTCTTTAAGCAGAGGCTTGACAACCATATGTCAGGAGTGCTCTGATGGTGTTTCCTGCTTGGCAGGGGGTTGGACTCGATGGCCCTTGTGGTCTCTTCCAACTCTATGATTCTATGATTCTATGTGTGCACAGAAATGTAGTCTACTGTACAAAGATGAGAGTCAAATATATTGTCTGACCCATCTTTGGCATGCAGCACCCACCCACCCACCCCAGGTTGTCCACAAGGGAATGTGGCCCTTGGTCTGAAAATAGATTCCCACCCTAGCCCCAGGGAGAATGCAGCCAGGGCTAGCCCAACAGAATTTGCTGCCTGAAATGCAAGGACAAGAACAGGGACAACTGCCTTTTGAAGCTGGATGGCAATTTAATCTTTACCTCAATGCTGATGACAAGACAGCATCCTCAACCACACATGAGGCCAGCTTAGAAGTATAGAAAAAGTCATGGGAGTAGCCAGGGGGTGCATTGGGGGCAGTTTCCCCTCCTAAATCAAGTAAATAAATAAAAATACTTAACTATCTAACCAATTGCATCGCAGAGAACTCAGTCCTCCCCCCCCTCGATAAAATAAATAAATCCTGGCTACGCCCATAAAAGAAGAATAGAGTAGGTCTTATAGAAAGCACAATTATGGACTTATGCACACTTTTTGCCCCACTCTTTCCAGGCACAGGTCTGCACTTACAAGCTCCGTGTCTAAGCATTTTTGTTTTTTGCCCAAGCTTTGTCCCCAAAAACCAGCTCTTTAGTGCTCAATCAGAGCAAACATCAGTTCAAATTTTCTGCAGATTGCTGTTTTCTCCGATGGAGCTTTAAAGGACGGGTTTTCTTGGGGAAAGCTCTGGAGCAAAAAATGAGGGTGCTTGGACACAGAGCTTTGAAAAATGCCTGGAAAGATCAGAGCAAAGGTAGTGTAGCTAAGTCCTTAGTCTTCAAACAGCACCTTAGAGATCAACTAAGTTTGTTATTGGTGTGAGCTTTCGTGTGCATGCGAAGTGTATCTGAAGAAGTGTGCACGCACACGAAAGCTCAAACCAATAACAAACTTAGTTGGTCTCTAAGGTGTTGCTGGAAGGATTTTTTTAAAATTTTGTTTCAAAGTGGGACTAGTGAGCTGTTGTTGGCTGGAGAGAGGCCCAATGGCCAGACAGCAAGGTCTGGCGTGGGGAGACACCTGCAGCCCCTGTGCCTGAGGTTCCCCATCTCCTCAGCAGTAAATGACCTCGTGTCTACTTTGGGTTTACTCCCAAGTAAGCATCCCTTATCCTGTGCCGGGCAACAGCTGTCTTCCCTTTAAGCATGTCGACAATGTAAAAGAAAAAGAAAAAGTGGGGGGTGGGGTGGGAGGAAAGGCAAAACAATTTTAAATTATGGGTGTGATGCTGGGGAGGAGTGGGGGCGTTCCTCCGACACTCCAATCAAAGGCAGCCGGGGCTTGGAAGAAACGCATTTACGCCAAAAGGCAGCCAAGCCGAGGAGGCGGGTGCATTTGTTTCGTTTGGAAAAGTTACCGAGCGTGACTGTGTCCGTCGTCGCTCTATTGAGAGTGCGGCGATTTGCGTTGTAGGATCTGCAAAACAATAAGGAAAAGAGACTCCCACATCCTCGTCGGAGACTGCGATACACACAGCTCTCAAAATACAGTAAAATAAAAGCCCCTGCTCTGCACAGGAATGCAGCACTTTGCGAACAAACCAGAAACCTGGTGCCTTGATCGGCACGCCAGGCACGCCGGCCTGGGAGTAGAACTCACTGAATACAGGAAGCAAACATAGATGCGCGGTATCCGAAGTCAGTTGATGGTTCCTTGTTTGCCAGAAAATTGCCCTTGCCTCCCGGGCCCGGGCTACCTTCCAGTACAAGTTTTGCAGTAATAGTAAAAGGGGAAAGGCGGGGAGCTTAAATCTAACATTGCAATATCTGTTACCTCCTGAAATAATTAACTGATTGCTTAAGAAGAATAAGCTACGTGTGCTTAGGAGACGACGACGACGCCACGGTTGCAGAGTCGCTAGTGATTGCAAGGAATAACGAATTAAAGGGGAATTTTAGAAAGAGGGGGCGGAGTAGTTGGTGCAGAGCATAAGGAAAAGCTAGCCGGTGTGTTCGCGTGTGCAAAAGAATGGAGGTATAAAGCGTGCGGGGGGGGGAAGAGGAGAGAATAAAAAAGAAATAAGGAAACTGAAGGAAAAGGAGGAGGGAATGACAAAAATGTTGAGTGTTGATTTATTGCAGAAAGCCGCTGGTCATTTCCATATATTGAAATGCGCCCAAGCGGCCAGCGAGGCAATTTCCTTTGAAGAGCCGCTGCCGCTACAACCGCCGCCGTGCCTGGCCTAGGCTGTTCCCACGTGACATCTCCCCCCTTCTCCTTTCTTCCAGCATCTTTGCACTTGTGGGCAGATGAAGACGAGTAGCATCTTATATATGTGATTGAAGAAGTATTGTAAAGGCAGGCTCTGGGCTTTTGGGAGGAAGAGGACTGAGTGGCGGGGACAGGTGGGCTCGTGAATAACAGCCCCCCCCCCGTCTTCTTTTTCCACCTTTTTTCTCCATCTACCTCTGCTCGGGTGTCTTTGTGCCTTTCACTGGGCTGCGCAAAGAAGTCAAGCGATTGACTTGTGTGTTTTCCAGGCGAGGCTGGTTTCTTCCGGGGATTTGCTCCCCGAGTGAGTGGGGGCATACAGCTTGTCTAAGAGGTCAGTGGGGCTCCCTACCCTGCCAGCTGAGTAAGGTTCCCTTTCGTTAAATATGCTGAGAATCGGCCTGCGCTGCAACCCAGCGTGAGGTTAGTTGAGAGGAGAACCTCACTGGCCTCGTTGGGAGTTACTCCCGAGTAAACATTCCAAGGCTGCTGCAGGCTGTTCTAAGCTGAGTCGCAGGGGCGTAGCCCATAGCTGTCAACTTTTCCCTTTTCTTGCGAGGAATCCTATTCGGAATAAGGGAATTTCCCTTAAAGGGAAACGTTGACAGCTATGGCGTAGCCGCGTGTAAACGGAACGAGAGCCTTTTCTTTGCGAAATTTATCAGTTGAATCCCCAACTTCTACACCTTTACATAGAGAAGCCCCACCGCATTCCACCGTTGGGTCTTAAACACATCTACACACATCTACACTCTCACATTTCCCTGATAGTTGGATGTTGTGGGCCTTTATGAATGAGGGGATGTGATATAAATTTATTGTGAATTATTCTGACAGTGGAAAGTACAGCTCTTCATGTCCCTAAAAAGCCACCTCCCTTTCACTTAAATAACAGGTTTTGTTTTAGGCTCAATATACAATAACAATAAATAATACAAAATAACATAGTTTAGCGCCTGACAATACAATCCTATGTAGGTCTACTTGGAACCAAAGGTCAGTAGGTCTTATCCCCAAGTAAGAGTGTATTGGATTGTAGCCAAAGGCTTCTGAGTTGACATTCATGGGGATGCAAGCCTAAGCACTAAGGAGTAAGTAAGCCCCATTGGACATAATGGGACTTACTTCAGTGTAAGCATGCCCAGCGCTTGACTGTAAGGTCCCAGGCCTTTGCACACTTACTTTACAGCAAGCCCCATTGAACTTACTAGCCCCATTAAACTTAATGAGTCTTCTTGAGTAAACAGCTGCAGTCCTGTGCACCCACATTTATTTATTTATTTTGACAATTTCTAAGTGCTGTACAATAAGGTTACAAAAGAGATGCACTAGAGATAAAAACCATAAAATCGGAAAAAGACTTATTTAAAATGTCTGCTGAAATAAAACAGCTTTCCCAAAAAATGTCACTTAAATTAGAATAAACCTCATTGTGTTCAGAAAGACTTAGGTGGCAAGACTAGCTGTGTTTACTTGGAAATAAATCCTGCTGAATTCAGTGGGGCTTGCTCCCAGGTAAGTGGGTGTAGGATTGCAGCTTTACTTCTGAGTAAGCATGCATCAGCTTGGGCCACATATATCTTTTAAAAACCAAGCAAAAAACTTTAAAAATATTCATTTTCTCTGTTTTCTCTAATGTTTTCTGTGCCACTATTTCTTCTTTCTTTCCTTAAAGCTGGTATGTAAATAATAGGTAGGGAGGTCATTTATAAATAATGGTTGGAGTGGGGGAGTACACCAAAGATTCCAACGAGGGCAGGGGCTGATAAAAATGCAATGCAATTCTATTGCTGAGCAGTCATGAATTGTTCAGTTTGCAAAGAGGTTTCTGCTATGCCCCCCCCCAGGTGTTGGAGAAGGAGGAGGTGTGGATAGGAAGTGTTTCCTGTACAGCTTGCATCAAACCCCTGCTGAGAAACTAGGGGGTGGGGGCGAGAGAGGGGAGGAGAGACAGGGACAGTGGCGAATGAGGGACTCCTTGGAGGTGAATAGTGGGGGGGATCATACATATCACAGAAGCCCCGTCTAGATTTATGGTTGCATAAGAGGCTTGATCATTTCCATATATTGAAATGTGGTGTCCTTTGCACGCATCGCCCAAGCCCTTGGAAAAAAAAAGGGAGGGAGGAGAGAAGGAGTAAGGCAAGGGATGGGGGCTGGTGGGGGGAAGAGACACTGGATTCTGCCTTGATCAATGTTGACTGTGAAGCCAGGGGGAGGGGGGACTGGGGGAAGGAAACCCTATGCTTTCACCAGATGGAACAGGGTCTATGCAAAGGTCAAGGTTAGCTCAGGCTGCTATTGAATCGGTTGCAGGCTCAAAGATAGCTCTCTGCCTTGGAGGCACCCACTGGGGCTTCTCAAAATCAAATCTAATAGAAAAGGCAGTCACAGAATGAAATCGCTTCATCTGAATGCTAAAATTGTTATTTGGCTACATTAAAGACAGCCAGGGAGGGGTGGGGGAGAGAGAAAGGGAGAGACCAGTCACATTTCTAACAGTTTGCATCTGGGAAAGGGGAAAAAATATGGACGCATTTGTGCGTGCACACACGCGCACACACACACACACACACTGAATATGTTGATAGCATCAGCAACTTGCAAGAATGATAAAGAGGAGCATGTAGTGTGTATGTGGATCAGATTTAAGTTGCTCCAGGAAATGCACATTTAGAAAGGGACTGCACAATTCATAGTTCTGATTTTGCACTGGTACAATCTCTACACTCATGTACATGGACTACCATACCAACCCCCAGTGGGCCTTCTTAAGGCTTTGTGTTGCGAAGTTTAGCTGATTAATTAGACCAGCCCTTTTGATTGATTTAAAACACACACACCCTAAATTAACTAGGCAGCAGTTGTTCTGTTTAAATGCTGTCTACTGTGTTTTTAATGCAAGTGTATTTAATACAACAGAACTGATGGTGACAGTCACTGTAACAAAGGATATATATACTACATATATATATATATATATATATTGCTTAATAACTCCATGCAAGTGGTTTACATAAAATATTCATTAAAACAATGATAAAAGCAAAAGTTAAAAATCAGTTGACGTAACATTTATAAAGATGTAAACAAAATCAGCATTTTAAAAATAAATATGCATGCTAAAATTAAATGTTTGTGTAGGCTTGCCTAGATAGAAAAGTCCTTAGCAGGCATCAAAACCAATATAGCAAAGGTACTATATAATTGGGCAGGGAGTTCCAAAGTGTAGGTGCTGCCACACTGAAGGATTGCTTTCTTGGTGAAATGAACATTATCTGGACTTGTAAAAGTGCAGATTGAAACTGTTAAGTGGGCACGTATGGAGTGAGTCCATCATTCATGGCAACTGATCCCAAGCTACTGGGGGCTTTATATACTAATAGTAAGACCTTGGATTCCCCTGATTCTTGTTGCACATGAGAGAGCACCTCTTCTGGGAAGATTGCTGCTATGATGTCTACCTTCATTGTCTAAAAACAAAGCTTTTGCATACGAAGAGGCAGCTTTACAGAAAGATGTCTCCTTTGGCTCATGGAAGAGTTGTGTTCATTCACACCCTGGTCTAACGCAAAATGTAAAAGTGGAACCACATTCAGAAATGATGTTCTGCTTGCACAAAATTTGGTGCCAGCATGAGAATTACTATAGGACCTCTCTTTATTACATCACTGTGCAAACTCTTCCAC